CCCCCATGCTGCTTTCCCGTCGTTCCGTCTTCTTGCCATGTGCTATCTTACAGCATACAGTGCTCCCACCCAGTCCTCGCCTCGTCCCTCCGCGCCGGACCTCAGTTCTTCAACTGTGCAAGATCAACCCCCATCTGGCTCAGCATCTGCCTGAAAGGCGGGAAAACATCCGGTCCCTGCGCCGTCAGGCCCTGCCTCCAATCCAGCCCGGGCTCAGCCTTCTCCATTGCCCTCTGATACGCCTCTCTGGCCCCGATACGCTGCAGATACGCCAAAATAGCCGGGTACGGCGAGAGATCCGTGGGGTTCCACTGACGGCCATTGGTGAGGGACCAGACGGTCATTATGTCCGCGAGCGTCAATTGGTCACCGGCGAGGAAGGCGTTTGTGACGGCGAGCCTTGCGTCCAGGGCGGCGAGGTGCTTGTGGAGCCCGGCGCCGAGGGTCTTCCTGAAGGGATTATCCGGCGCGGGCTTAAGCAGCGCGGCGGTCAGGAGGCGGAAGAATGCGCCCGACAGGCTCGAGTTGGCGTAGTGGAACCAGAACAAGAAGTCGGCGTAATTCTCGTGCTCGGGCCCCAGGGACAGTTTGTTGCCTCCGAATACCCCGTCAATGTACGCGGCGATGGCGCCCGACTCGGACATGTTGAACTCGGCCCCAGTCACGGCGTTGGTCGTCGTCATCACCGGCGCGGATTTCTGGGGCGTCAGAGCAGCCAGGTCAGGTGGTGCGAAGATCGGGTCCCGCGTGTACGTCTTGAGCGTGTAGGGGATCCCGAGCTCCTCGCATAGCCAGACGATGCGCTCCGATTGCGCGATGTGAAGGTGATGAATTGTCAAGGACATGTCTCCGATTGTAGATCTTGGGGTGAGAAGGGGGGTGTAGACTACAGTTGCAGTGATGAGGGGGGAAGGATGTGGATATGGATACAGACAAGGTGGTCTCTGTTTGGCATGGGATGGGGTTGTAGAAGGGACTGGCTTCTCTGTACTGGGTACTGTGGTAGATATAGACATCAAAAGCTTGAAGACTCAGTCACCTACCTCCTCGCTACCTGGATATGCCATCGAGTGAGAGCGCTGCGTATGACGTTTGCGTATCTAGGCAGACGTTGTAGCTCCTAATTCAGCAGGACAAAACCTACTCCGCAGTTTGTACCTGGAGTGCCGAGGTATCACATATCCTCTGGTAAATTGGTCTAGCATGGGAATCGTGATGGTCAAGATTGCGGTTTGATCGTGAGTATGCGCAAATGGTTGCTCAATGCGAGCTCTAGCTGGGCCATAACTGAGTCGGTACCTGTTTCTGTAGGCAAGTACCTAGGGGCACATCGCTGAGAACTTCCTGCACAACACGAGAAGCACCGGATCAAGGCGCCCTGCACATTGCACGTTTCCCTTTTTGGCAAGTGTTTAAAGAGGTATTAACGCTATGCCAAATTAGGGTTATTTGGTCTCTAATTAAGTCATATCAGAAACTCTAATTTGTCTTGGCATGTGCTTGGCAACCAAAGATGAGGAAAGTGCCAGGGGCTCACGCGCGACTGTTTTTAATTTTATTCTCACTCGTCCTACGATATAACTACTGCTGATTTCGCTTCGTGATCTAGCTATGAATCGGTCATGTTAAATGCCGAAGATCCAAAGACGCCACAGCCACAATGCGTCAAAGATCATGGCACGACTGGCGCCATTAATGAACAGAGTTTCGCATAGACCGTTGAATCAAGCTATCATGGCTGAAGCTGAAGCGCAGACTGGTCTGTGAGGTAGGTACTGGGCTACTTTAATGGCCAAAGCGCACATTTGAAGATCGTGGACTTTTCTTTTCTTCCCGACTACTCTCTTCGTGCCGTCCAACTCGCTCACGTTCGTTATATCCGCGTTTGGTCTTTTTGGAAGTCATCGGATCAAGATGCTCTTCGTCCACTCGTTCTATTTCACAATAGTTGCCATACAGTTGACTTCTGCACATGCCTGGAAGGGCCCTTCCGGTAGCGATAAATATGTTACCATCACAACAACAAAGACTCATTACGTGTGTCCGTGCGACAAGAGTTCGCATGTTACTCCACAGCAGACAGCCGGTTGGGGAGACTGGGAAGAATCGACTCCTTCGACGGTCGTGACCCGTCCTACAACCTCTTCCTTGCGCAAAGCTTCAGGTACCAAAGACCTCTGGACTGGCTCGGAGCCGCCACACACTGCAAAGATAAGCACCCATCATCACTCGAGCTCTCGCGCCGCTCCTCCGTGGACCAGCACGAGTTCGAGCTTGCACAAAACTAGCAGCACCAGATCGATTCCACATCACACAACCTCGACCACTCTTGCGCCCTCCGGCAGCAGCACGCCTCCGGTTACATCAATTACGAGCACAAGCTCCACGGCGTCCATCACAACTTCTGCATCTACTTCAACCTCTCTTATAACAACTTCTTCATCTACCACGACTTCTCCGTTCACCACCTCTTCATTGACCACCATCTCTTCATCGACCATCACCTCTTCATCGACCACCACCTCTTTATCGACCACCACCTCTTAATTGACTACCAACTTTTCATCGACCACCACCTCTTTATCGACCACAACTACTTCAATTACCACAACCGCCTCATCTACTACAACCTCTCCGGCTGCCACCACTTCTTCTACTACAACCTCTCCCACTACCACCACCATTTCCACTACTACCACCTCTCCTATTACAACGACCTCTACGACTACAACAACCACGTAAGTCCCACTTCTAACCACTTCACTATCAACAGGCATTATTTTCGTCCTGTATATAAGGGTATAGACTAATGGATTTCGAAAGAACCTTCAACTCCTGCCCAACCAGCAACATCTACGCAATCCAAGACAGTGCCGACAACAATTTTGCCCGTCTTGAAGCATCGGCCCCTGACCAATATGCCATTGTCTTTGATCAAGCCACGATCGCGACTGCCGTCGAGTTCTCTTTCGTCCTCAACGGTGATGGCACATGCAGCCTCGTCGCCCCTGTTGCCGCACCTGGAGACTTCAGTTACGTGATCAATGACCCGGGCCAGTTTTCGCCCTTCAACTTCATCGACTTGACAAATGTAGGCGTTCAGGCAGCATACGGCGAAGAAGTCACGCCGGTAGACTGCACGATAGACACATCAAACGTGCTCCACTGTGTGGTCCAAGATCTAGACGTGTTGCAGCTATTCAGTGGTGCATTGGCCATAGCTGCCGTTGACGAGGGGACTGGCCCGGCGACGTTCACCGTGGTGCAGATCTTGTAGAACATCAAACAACTTAAACACGCAACCCCAATCTTGCTGTGGGGCAGGGTCTAATAGCAGTATTGCAACATCAAATCACAAGTACCAAGGCCCTTGAGGGCGTATTGAGATGATGTGGGGTATGGCGCGTCCACCGCCTGTGCAGTAGCCAAGATGGCGGCATCTTCGTCGTTCCATCAACCATGGTGACTGAGGAGGTCAGGCATAGAGGTTAGCAGGGATCGATCACGATCATCCATCTGTTTCCTCACCCATGCGCAGCTGATATCGCTGTGTAGATGCTCATTATATGCAGCACTAGCAGCGCCGACTTATTGAGGTTACGTCCGCTGCCTCTCACTGCCTGGCTAAGCAGCTCCAGCGCCGCGGGGCTCTACTAAATACACAGGCTGAATACTATTATTACCAAAACGTGGACCTTCCTATATTAGGTTTACGGCTTCCTCTTGTGCCTTCTCCTCCTCTTCTTGTCCAAGGTCGTGGCAGCGCTCTGCTTTTCGGTCGTCACTGTGCCCAGCACCGTCTTCGTAATCGTGTAGGTGTTGACGTCCGTAACGGTGACCGTGTAACCATTAGCGACGATGACCTCGATCATATTCGGGAAGTCGACCTTGGCCCAGTCGGTGCTCACCAGCCTGCCCACCGCAGCGTTGTAACTCACGAACGACACATTAGTCGGCCATCTACTGTCCCTCACGATCATGTTGACAAACTCGTTAAAGCATGACGACTTGGCCTCGAAGGAGATGTTGAATGTGATTTCGTTGTCCGTCATATCGATGCGGAGACGGCAAGCGGTGGGGAGGTGAGTGTGGATGGTGGATTGATGTTCCATTAAAAATCAGCTTCTAGAGGCTTGTCTGAAAAGGGAGAACGACTACTAGTTTTGATCAACCAGCGGGACAGTCTCAGGGCATCCTCTTAAGGTCCGCCCATGAAAACGATCAATCGAACGGCTCTCACGCAAGCGGATGGCCGTTGGACGTTGCTAGGTTTCCTGTCGGTGCGGCATAGAAGCGAACAGTCGGAAGCACGTTGCTCGAGGAGGCTACACGACAAAAGCGCCAGCAGAGGTTGAGGTTACGATATGATTAGGGCATGGGTGAAGTTACCCCGCGACCGACCTCGCGACCCCGTCCAATAATCGAGGCGCTGGGGAAGCCCGTGGAGATTCTCGGACTAGACTTGGGATCGAAACAGTAAAGTCTGAAACGCAAACCTTAGCCAGATTGTTCTTGAAGGCATAATGTAGACGATGTAGTTTTATTACTGACAAAATATACTGTATCTATATATCAAGTATTGATCCTCAACAACACTGCAAGCAGTGATGAATCGAAATACGCTACAAGATGGACAATTTTCGGGCAGCATGGACCGCAGGGCCTTGCCCTGGCGCTGTTGTGAAGTGCATTCGATGGAGTGAATGGGATGGGACTGGACAATCTGCCTTCTGAGAATGTAACATCACTCCTGGGAACGAAAAGGTCGTATAGAATATGGAGTACGACGTTCTTTGTGAGAGAGCCACAAGTAACGATACCATGCGCAAGGAGTGTGTAGGTTTGCCACGGTACGCTGATAGTCATACTTCCTCTCACATCTTAGCCCAGAGCGGCCACAGGATCTGTACAGCCGACTCGGACTCGCTCAGTCTCTCCATGTAATGGTTTTGGTCTGTACCCATTCCTCCAAGCCTTCGATGCTGTTAAACCTGCCAAAGCCACTACTCTTACGTCCTCCGTGCGGCAAGGCCGACTCGTCGTGAACACTCATGCTGTTGATATGGACCGCCCCGGACTGGATCCTCTTTGCTATACGAAGACCTCTTTGCAAGTTCTGGGTGAAGACGGCCGAAGTAAGACCGTACTCGGTGTCGTTGGCGAGCCTGATAGCCTCGTCGTCCGACTCAACCGTGAAAAGCGAGACGGTTGGCCCGAACGACTCGGTGTGGTAGATGTCCATTTTCTCATTCACCTTCTCAATCACCACGGGATGCAGGGCGGTCTTGAGCTTGCCTTGGTGGTCGGGCTCTCCGTGGACGACCTCGGCGCCCTTGGAGACGGCGTCTCGGACCAGCTGCCTGTTTTTCAGGACCGACTGCTCATTAATCAGGACGAGGCCTTCCTGTTGGCTGAAATTCTCGGACAGTGTGGCTTTGAGCAGGGCCTTGAACCGGCCCGCGACGGCGGCATGGACAATGATACGCTCGGTGGACATGCAGATCTGGCCGCCGTGAAGGAAAGCCCCGACGGCGCTCTGCGCCGCTGCGTCTTCGAGATCGGCGTCGTCACACACAATGGTGGGAGCCTTGCCGCCGAGTTCCAGGACGATCGGCTTGGACAGCTTTGCCGCCTGACTGGCGATGATGGCCCCGGTCCTCGTGCTGCCGGTGAAGTTGATCTTGCGGATCGGCCAGGCCGAAATCAGGTGCGACGTGACTTGCGCCGCGTCTTCGAGGCGGTGGATGAGCGTGTTCAGACAGCCCTGAGGGAGCCCGGCCTCGTGTAGGACCGACGAAATGGCCCAGTACGTCGCGGGACACGCCTCGGCACCCTTGAGGATGACGGTGTTGCCCATGGCCAGCGGGCCCAGACAGGCCCGGAAGCCCAGGCCGTAGGGCGCGTTCCAGGGCGCGATCGAGAGGACGACGCCGTACGGCTCGCGCAGGACCATGCCGCTCTTGCCCTCCTCCGCCAGCGTGGGAACGAAGCCGCGCATCGCAGGGATCAAGCCCGCGACTGTTTTGCAGCTGTCGACTGCCGCGTTGAACTCGAACTCAAACATGGACCGTGCGATGCCGGTCTCCCGGTGGCTGATCTGAAACAGCTCCTCTTTGCGATCCAGGAGGCCGTCGGCGGCCCGCAGCAGGATGTCTCGCCGTGTCGATGGCTTGGTCTGCGACCATGTCTCGAACGCCCTCTGGGCCGAGTCGACGGCTGCTTGCGCGTCTGTTGTGGACGCTGACGCGGATTTGTACAGGACCTCGCCTGTGTTTGGGGATACGACGTCGAACGTCGTACTGATGGTGACCTCTTTTCCATCCAGCCAGAGAGGTACGTCCCTGTTCGGTCCAAATCGTGTTTCGCCCGAGTGTGCCATCCCCTCTAATGTAGACACTCTAGGGAATTGCGTGTCCCAGATGGGCTTTGACCGTCGCAGCGAAAGTTTCCCTTCTTGCTGTACCTACTCCCGAACTTTCAGATGGAGATCCCAGCAAGATCATTCAAGAACCAAAAGGCACACGGAGTTGTTGCTGTTTGTTGCGTCCATAAAAATCATGGGAAGGGAGCACTCTACCCCGGTCACCCTGGGCCCCGGCACGCCCAGATGTATCGCCTTCCGCGGGTTCTGCGGGTGCCCCGCGGCTTGCAATGTTTTGTGGGCGGGCCACTAAGTAGAGTCTGGGTCGAGATGAAAGACGCGGCGATAACGTTGGCTCTACGTAATCGAGGACAATCAGGGGGACTCCTTTTCGTCCTCACCCGTGACCATCGCTCGCTAAGGGTACTCTGTATGTGAAGAGGTCAAATATGACCCTACGATGGCGGACTTATGGTTCAGACGCTTGTGATGGTTCGTCTGCCTCCGTTGGGCCTGGGGCTCGGTTCACATTTGTAAAAGTCGATCAGAAGACAAGTTCATCAAAAGGCAATATAGCGTGCCGTGTACCGTGACTTCTCAAGTAGGCTTGAAGCTGCGGCCAGAAAAGCGAATCCGTGATTTCACAACCTTCTCACACTTAGGCCATTTGGGGATCGATGCATTTCCATAGTGGCATTCTCTGTTATATCTTGGCAGTGGCCCAAACAGCGTCCCGGCCAACATCTAGTTGCACTTCCAGCACAGCAGAGCTCCCTTCCCTGACGACCGCCACAGCCTTCGGTAGCTCCCTGATCAGCTGCTCGACGGAATTGACACACCCTGCCCAACAGTTGCCATGAGCCGCGGCTTTGGCAATCCCACTGTAATCCGGGGTCGGGTCGAAACTGATGTTCAGAGCTTTGTTATCGACACGCGAGCCTTGGCCGTCCGGGTGGACAAGCAGGAGACTCTTCCGCGGCGCATTCCAGCCTTTGTTGTTCAGGACAATCGTCAAGATAGGAATTTTGTAACGCGCGGCGATCCAGTAGACCGAACTTGGAACGCTGAACATGAACGATCCGTCACCCACAACCTGACAGACGAACCTGCCTGCGCCAGGTCCTTGCTCGAAGTCGGTCGCCAGCTTGACGCCCAGTGCCGCGCCACCGGACCAACCCAGGCCAGAGGCGCCGGAACCGATCCACGATTTGGGCAACGCTGGCCGGATCTGATCGGCCATAACTTGTGTAAGTGTCACGGCTTCGACCACGTAAATTGTGTCTTCTGGACAGGACTGTCGAAGTTGCGCACCCAGCAGCGCGGCGTTGATGGCCGTGTTGTGGTTCGATGGCAATGCGGCAAGCTTGTCGGCTTGCGCGATGCGCTCCATGTGCTGTCTCTTGCGCATCTCGAATTGCGATTGGCTCCCGACTCCTGGCCGGTGGTGGGCGGCAACTTGAGCCCGGATGAGCTTTAGGGACAGAGCTGCATCGGCCTTGTATCGGTCCGAGGCATTGATATAGAACAGGGGCATTTGCTGCTTCAAAGGGTCGACATCAATATGGATGATCTTGGCGTCGTCTCTCGGCTTGCACTGCGTAGGCACCCAAGGCACGTCGCAGTCAACAACCAAAATGAAGTCTGCTGCTGTGATGGCCTCGTGCCGGCCGGTACGAACACCAAGCGACGCAGGATGGTCCGCAGGAAAGCTCATGTCACTACCGCCAGCGTCGAGCACCGACAGCGCCGGCACAAGGTCTGCCAGCTTCACTGTCTCCGTTACGGCATCGACATAGCGTCCCGTATATCCAACAACGATGAGGGGGCCTTGAGCCTCGGCAAGATACTTCGCGACACGCTCGACGGCATCCTGTGGAAGTATGGCTGGGGTCAGTCTATTCCAATAACTCTGATTCAAGCTGTAGGGGTTAATGTCTTCTTCCATTGCTTCTCGTGAGCCCAGCAGGTAGACCGGACCCTGTGGATCACTCGTCGCAAACTGCAAGGCCCGATTAACCATCTGCTTGACGTTGGCGCCCCGTTTAATCTCGGCGGCATAGCGACAGTACTGGCTGACGATCTGCTTCTGGTCTGGCACGTCTTGTAGCCAGTGGATAAACTCGGTCCGTGACCCTCTATACTCGCCTTCGAGAGTATAGGGGGAGAGACCGGCGAAAATCAAGACCGGACATCGGCCGCAAGATGCGTTATGGACAGCGGCGCCCAGGGCTTGCGTGCCTACGTCAACGTGGACAATGACGCACTGAGGCTTGTTGGTCAGCCTTGCATACCCATCCGCCATGGACAAAGCAACCATCTACAGTCAGGCCCTTGTTAGTAACCCCCCGACTCCAAAAAGGGGTAGTTCAGATATTCTGGCTAACCTCGTTTGGGCACGTAACAATTCTGGGGAAGTGGCTGCCTTTCTGGCTTTGTCCCTGCACCATCGCTTCCATTATCGAGGGGTGATCTGACCCAAGGTTGACGAACACATGGGTGACACCGGCCTGTGATGATTCGTCATTGGTTGATTAGAGATGATACCCTGTTTTTGCGTTGCGACGTACCTCCCAGAGCGCCTCGAAGAAAGCGAAGGATGCTGTATACATGATTCGTGGAGTTTGACGACACGGTATTCGATCCGAAAATTTCAAGTTGCAATGGTACCACCAGTCTGTCCCATTCCGTTGAGGGAGAGCTCTGGTATGATATCAAGGTGCGTGGGTGCTAATGTTGTAAGATCGCCGCCGCACCTTTAGATGCACAAGGTTCTGGAGAAGTGGGAATGCTGTGAATTCAACTTGGTGAGTTTGTAGCATATCCGTAGGCACGAGTAGAAGCGAGTCTTCCGGCTCGGCATTCGGGCTGTGCGCACTGCACGAAGAGCAACTGTTCGGACGAACGGGTGGCCCACGGTGCCCCCAGGTGCATAGACCGGCACTGTATCATGAGGTTGTTGCTGTGGCACTGGGGCAAACTGTCGATGCTCCAGGGCAAGTGTTTGAGGTGTCCGGCGATAGATGGCGTCCCAATAGTCTTGCCCCAAGTGCCGCTCATGTTCCCGCGGGAAAGGACTCATTCATTCCGAACCCAGCCAGCCTGTTGTCGGGAATGCCCCTGTTGATTGGACTGGAGGCCTTCCCCCACCCCCATCCCCCGCGAATTGCCCCAGGGCCTCTGCTCACTGAGCGGTTTGCTACTGCTAGGTACTCTTATCGCCTACTCATCCCCCCTTGCGAAGCAGACAGTCGCGCGAGAGTCCGCCGCGGTGCGCACGGTGCGGTAGTTTGTGCAGATGCCGTGATGTTGGTCGTCGTCTGAGTTCAGTGCGGCTCTCTTTTGCTCCTTGTTCTCATGGTCTGGCTCTCTCCTGGGCTGGTCTGTCTATAAGATATTCCCTTTAGGATTGCCGTTCGTCTAGTGGAATGCCGCCTTCCACTATCTCCTAAACAGCAGGCATCCTGGGACACATTCCAACTGATACTTCAGATCTTCTCTTAATTAAGTCAATTGTCTATATCCCTCTTTAAAAGGGAGTTATAACAAAAGAGTCGGCTAGAATGGGGAGCCCAGAGTTGCTGGCGGCCTCGGAAATCTCAACCCACAAGACCAGTGATGATTGTTGGATAGTGGTCGGAGGGAATGTATGGGATGTCACCGACTTTGCACCCACCCACCCAGGAGGCGAAGCAAGTTCGTAACCTCCACTGAAAGTCTTGATGAGAACTGGTGACTGATATAACAAACAGTAATACTCAGATACGGAGGGAGAGATGCCACGGCGGCCTATTCTGCGATTCATGCCCCCTCGATCATCAAGGAAGGGCTACCTCCAACAGCATTTAAGGGAACACTGGACTTGAGCACTGTTACAGACTCATGGTCCCGACCATTGAAAGCAGAATCGCCCCGAAGCACTCCCAGTGCCCTGTCAGAGAAACCAGCACTCGAGTCACGGATCAACGCCGATGATTTCGAGTTAGCAGCGAAAGCATATGCTCCGGCGAAAACCTGGGCGTTCTACTCCTCTGCAGATACAGACCTTGTAACTCTCACAGCAAACCGGACGCTATACAGTCGCATCTGGTTCCGGCCACGCATTCTGCGGAAGGTGTCAGAAGTCTCCACCGCGACATCCATGTTGGGAGTGCCTTGTATGATGCCTCTTATGGTCTCGCCGGCAGGAATGGCTCGCCTCATCCACCCACAAGGCGAACTCGCCCTGGCTGGCGGGTGCGCTGCGAAGAACATCATCCAATGCATAGCCACCACGGCTTCGTACTCGGCAACTGAAATCGCCGCGGTTGCACCAGAGCATTCGTTTTTCTTCCAACTCTACGTGGACCGCAATCGTTCAAAGTCGGAAGCCCTTCTTCGCAAGCTTCAAGAAGCGGCGCCGAATGTCAAGGCGGTTTTTATAACAGTCGACGCCGCCGCCACAGGCAAGCGAGAGGCCGACGAGAGGCTCAAAGCTGATGAGTCTTACTCGAGCCCCATGATCAAGAACAAAGCCAAGAATGACCGCAGGGGTGGTGGCATCGCTCGGATCATGGGTAACTTCATCGACCCTGCGTTGAGTTGGGACGACGTTGCGTGGGCGCGCCGTGCTACACACCTACCCTTGCTTCTCAAAGGCGTCATGTGCGCTGACGATGTCAAAATGGCGTTCGAGCATGGCTTGGATGGTGTACTTCTCTCCAACCACGGAGGCCGCAATCTCGACACTTCGCCGCCAGCCATTCTCGTTCTTTTGGAGTGCCATCGTCGCATTCCAGAAATATTCAGCGCCAAAACCCCCCGCGGGAACAAGTTTGAGATCCATATCGACGGCGGCATCCGTCGGGGAACCGACATCCTGAAATGCCTCTGTCTCGGTGCAACGGCGGTCGGAATGGGGAGGAGTTTTCTCTTCGCCACAGGCTACGGACAGGAGGGCGTAGAACATTTGATTGATATCCTGGAAGATGAATTAAAGGTAGCAATGGCGAATGTGGGAATCTCAAGTTTAGCTGAGGTGGGACCTCATCTCGTCAACACCGGTGATATTGATCATTTGATCCCCCAGAGCGCGTCACATCCTTATGCGCAGGATTTCAGGAAGTCCAAGCTATAGCCCAGTATTCTATTTTAGATGGCATCATGATCGAGATCCTGAGCAGTCAGCTTCAGCTCAAGATGCCTAGACTATCTATCGTAAATTCTTTTTATTATTTGTCTTCATAAAATGACCACCTCAGGGCCTCTGCTGCGGACCAAACATACTTAGTTACGACCATCAGGTGAATTAAAGCAAGAGCAACTCGAGAGCAGGCTAGATATCTCTACATGAGTTACTCCCGATAGTCAAGCTGCACCTAGTCGGAAGATGGTAGATATAACCTCCCGAGTACGGGAAAACGTCGACGTGCGTGGCATATCAACAAACTAGACTATTTGTCGTATTGGACCGAACGATCACGGCTTGACCTTCACAGGGTACCTTTGTTCAAAAATCGTGAATTTAATTGGGAATAAATCCTAAAATATCGACACGTAATGCTACAGGCAGATTGTTATTGTGTGGGCTCAGCCAGAACGGGAAGGGCTCCAGGCAACTGTTAAATAGTCTTCAAATAAGAGCATTGAATGTCAAGCAAATCAGCTCAATTTCCTGGACCGTAAGTTCCCATCTGAGCCGTTCTTTTTGCCATCCACTCTTCAGCCAGATGTATCTTGTCGCTACCGAGGAAATCATTGAATTTACCTGCAACCTTGACCGTTCCAGTTTGGTTCTCGAACCCCTCGACCGGCTTCATGGGCTGATCGTTGCTGGGCCTCACGAAATATACGACACTATATCGGTCGAAATCTGCCTGGGCACCGGGAGCCGGAACAACACGATGCTTGGCTGATTTAAGGGCGCCGTTGGTGAAGACGACCATGGCATCACCCATGTTGATGATGGCAGTGCCAGGGACGGGCTTGACATAGTCCCACTGGCCCAACCGGTCTGGCTCGTAGCTTTGGATCTGCAAGCCGCCCAGCCAGTTGAAGAGAATGGTTACACAGCCAAAGTCAGTGTGCGATGGCAGGCCGATGGCTGTCTTGTCGGCGGGATGGGGGTGTTTCTTGGTTAATCGAATGTGGTCCTGGGATGTCGAGGTGAAAATGTTGCGTTCGGTAAAAGTCTTCTCGTCTATGCCGAGTTCGCGTGCCAATGTGGTGAGGATCAGCATTCCCAGGTCGTGGGCACCCTTGGAGAAGTGTTTCAAGAGCGGACGCTGCTCTTCGATGACGGGTGGATAGGCTCGACTCTCCGCAAAGCCAAAGAGATGGTCTTTGCCGATGTTCAAGAATTCTGTAGAGTCAGGGCGGCGGTCAGGGTCGGTTGCCTTTACCGTGCCGGCGCTCTTATAGCCGTAAAGGGAGACTCCTTTCTGAAGAGCAAACTCCTGCTTCTCTTCGTCCGACAAGTTGAATGCCTCAGCGGAGAGGTTCAGGAGCTCTTCAGACTCAGAAAGCAAAGTCTTGCCCGTGGGAGCATCGGTCAAGTCCAAGTAAAAGAAGCCGTAGGTCTGACATGCCTTCAAGACCTTCTGTGTCTCCTCTGGGTCCCGACCGAGAATCTTGGCAAGCGATATCGTGGCGATAGGTGCCGTTCTGACGTCCGTGGGAAACGGCGGAAGGTTGGTAAGGTCCAATTTTGCAACCATGGTGAGAATCGATTTTTCGATAAGAGTCTCAGATAACAAAATGACAGTGCAAGTCGTGTAATTTGGTGAGCTGTATGAGGGTCGGAGCCAAATATGCGCTGGGCTTGTGGGCACTTTTAACAGACTAGCAACGAATCCACTTCTTCTGTTACGCCAATCATCATCGACCGTCCCGACAGCGGGGGAGGCATTGTTCTCGAACCCGATCAGACCTGCCCTTACCAGATCCCGACCGCGCGGATCCACGCTCCCTCCCGGCAAATGACAAAATATGGGGTGGGAGGCGCGGCTGTGGGGATCGGGATCCAGGCGGGGCAATCATAGATTATGTAGCGGTTGCATTCTTCACCTATATCCCCCCATCATGGCTGACAAGGCTGTGGAAACCTGTGAGGTCGAAAACGCGTCTCCTGACGCGGACCTTCGGAGTTGCACCAGTCTCGAGGCCAGAAGCGGGACTCAGGACCTCGATCCAGGTCTGGAGAAGAAGTGCCCTGTAATATGCTGCTAACGAGGGTCCGCCCGTCGATTTCCTCTCGTCCATCATCTTCAGCTGGGGCATCATCTCCATGTGTCAAGGTTTGACCCAGACTTTTGCCGGCCTGGCCGTTTGTAGGTTGATCATTGGCGCCTTCGAAGCGGGCTTTTTTCCCGGCTGCCTCTATCTAACCAGCATGTTCTACAAACGTCACGACCTTCAATGACGCTTCAATCTCTACTCTTCTGCCTTGATCCTGGCTGGCGCCATCTCCGGACTCCTTGCTTCTGCGACTGGTCACATGGATGGCGTCGCTGGGTACCGAACGTGGCGCTGGATCTTCATCCTCGAAGGACTTGCTACCATCATGGTTGCCGTCGTCTCCTTCTGGACCATTCCGGACTGGCTGGAGACAGCCAAGTCCTTGTCCGGGGATGAGCGTGCCCTCCTTCTTCGTCCGCTGGCTGCCGACTAGGCTAATATGGAAATGAGTCACTGGAACAAGAAGACGGCGAACCGCGTCTCTAGTGGTGCTAAGATATATTTTGGGTGAGCCCGAGCCTTGGGCATTCTTATAAACTAGGGCTTGACAGTTTACTAGGATCGCCATGTACTTTGGCATGGTTACAACCATGTATAGCGGCTCCTTCTTCATACCCACTATCCTGAATGACATGGGCTGGACCTCCATTCGTGCTCAACTCATGTCATACGTCTTCTCGACCTGTTGAACCCCTATCTGCGCCTGGATCAAGGACAAACTGAAACACCGTTTCGCTTTTATTGTCGGAGGAAGCCTTGTTTCCACCATTGGGTACGCCATTCTGCTGAACATGCGTCACGTCGAAGCTCTGTAATCTGTTCATGTGTACTCACTCAGGCGGATATTTCGTGCTCTTCGCGAAGACTTACGAGATTCGAGTTCGCAATATCAGGCTCACAAGCAGAGTCTCCAAAGCTGAGAGTATAAACAAAATTAAATGGCATGTGTGTTCCCTCATTCCAGATCAGTTCTCGCCTTCGCCCTCACCACCAGAGGCGCCTTCAGATCACTGATGCCTACACTGATCAATTCCGGTATCCGTCCTCGGAACAGACCTTTCTGGGCCGCGATAGTTTCCTGTTCGTCTGCCAATTCGAACCTGAATTCCCGGAGAAGCGTGCTCATAAGCTTATAGATGTTGGTTGTTGCCACCGTCTTCCCGATGCACTGACGCCCGCCGAGGCCAAAGTGCATGAGCAGGCGTGATTTTGCAGCCACTTCAGGGCGTTCCCACCTCGCAGGGTCATATATGTTATGATCAGGCCCCCACACATCGGGGTTATGGTGGAACGCATGGTTACACACAGCCACAGACGTCTGGTGTGGGAATCACGTTAGCAAGGAGGATCATTGCGGTCGCTACCTGTTGCTGATGAAATGGGGATTAAATGGAGCAGAAGAAAGTATGCACTTACGCCCTTTGGAATATGTTGACCCGCAACGACAATGCCTTCGGGAGACATGACGCGTCTCGCAAGAGGCATGGTAAAGACCGGGGTGATGCGGAAATTCTCCTTGATGCAATTCTTCAGGTAGGGCAACGACGCCTCAGCGACGGTGACTGAATACGCGTCTTGACCTGGTGTCAGGGGAGGGAGATTTTCGTCGACTTCAGCAACACACTGGTTCATCGTCCCAGGATTGTGCAGGAGGTGGTAGAAGAGCAAAGTCGCGGTGGCGCTGGTGGTGTGTGTGCCCGCAATGCTGTTGAGAAATTGACATTAGTCCTAGCCGTAGCTGAAACGTCCTCTAGACTTGTCACTTACATGAACCCAAATGCTTCAGTCTCCAGATCAGTTTGAGTCAGCCTCTCGCCAGTATCCGGGTGCTTGGCCAAGATGAGGTTGGTCAGTATATCCTTTCGTTCAGCCTGATGGGGGCTCAGCTCCTGCTGGCGTCTGACATCGTCTAACCGTCTTTGGACACTGCGGGCTGCCAAATCGGCGCACGCTTGACGTCCTCGAAACAGTTTCTGCAGTCCAGAGTGAGGCAGCATGGGGAGATATGTCTTGAGTGTCTGCGTCATCAGAGGCCAGGCTCCAGTGACGGCGGCAAGCAAGCTATGCTCTACGACTGGAGGGACTCGCGATTCGTCGTCGGTTTCCTGGATGCCAAAGGACTTACTGAAGGCAAGTTCTCCCAGTGCATCAATCACATAGTAATGGAGGAGTTTCTTAAGGTCGAATGCTTCGCCGGTCCGAGAATATCGGGTAATTTTGTCCTTCAAGAGCTTGATGTTGATATCGAGGAATGGCTCCATCTCCTTCACATAGCTGATAGAAAAGCTATGAGACATGTGTCGTCGTCGAGTGGAATGAATCTATCGTTGCGAGATGTCAGATGACCCCCGAAGCTTCATACAAGTATCAAGGACAAATACTCACGTCTTCATCGCGCATTCCAAAGACGTTGGGGTGGGCCGCGCCATAGGCATCATAAAACTCCGTCTTTGGCATCGACCTAGCCGACTTCTGGAAGATAATGGGGATGCAGGCCTCGTCGGTGACACTCAGCTTGTCTGGCCCATACCGGACGATGGGTCCATGTTTCTCATGTAACCGGGTCAGGTTGTATGGCTGTTGAAGTGTCATGAACTGATGTGCCTGCCAGACATCGGTCAAGGACGCGAGAAACGGCCCCGGGTACTTGGCCAGCGGGTGCAGAAAGCGTTGGTACACCACGTACGCCACTAAAGAGACCACGGCAAGCCCACTCAGCCACAGGACTGGGTGGGCGGCAACCACATGGATCAACAAGACCATTGGGACCTAGCGGAGTATTCAAGGAAAGTGCTTGTGAGCCTTGTGCTGAGACCGTCTGTAGGCCTCGCTATTTTGCGTATTGTAGCTTTATGCAAAGGCATTGGAATCATGAGCTGGAGTTGGCATTTCTATTGTACAGTCCCGCACGGCGAGGGTTCGGTGGAGATGATGTCGCCCTGGGGCCTCCGCTCCCGACTGCGAACCACTTTTCTTGGCCATGTCCAATGACCGGGTGCCGTGCCGGGATCCGGATACTTTCCGCGGGCTGGAGAAGGAGTTCGAGTCCGGAAGCGTCGGGAACAGAGCTGCGGGGAGCCATGACCCGGTTGGCAGACATCGCCGACACCAGAGCGTCTTCTAGAACCCCCGACTTTTAGAGACTTTGATCCGCCCGCCACTGTGCAAAAGTCGGCTTCTCGACTGCACATCATGTCTGCAGATGCGCCTATGAAGAAGCGTCGCCGGACAGAGCTGGCCTGCACGACCTGCAGGCAGAAAAAGCACGGGGTACGACTTGCTCCGCGGCCCCCACTGCCCTCCAGATCCCGGGGTTCGCTAACGAGTGTCCTGACAGTGTGACGGAATCCGGCCACAGTGCAGCCCTTGTCGCTACAAGCAGCTCGAGTGTGTGTATGAGCCGCCACGGTTCCGCCACGATGCTCGCCACGACAAGTACGTTGCTCGCATATACCAAGTAACACCCAGCTGCATGCTTACCACTGCCCTCAGGCCACCTTTACATCCACCCCACCCTTCCTTCGGGGAAGCCAGCCTTCAGGATGCAGACTTGGTGCCCATCACCCCGAGACGGCTTCAATCTCACTCTCTGGGCCCAAGTCAGATGGTGCCCAACATTTTGGGAGCGTCCTCATCGCAGGACGCGCGCAAGCCATCGCCACCGGCCGACACATCTGCCCACGTGCTGCGCGCGAGGTCGCATGAACAGCCTGTGAGTTTGTTGGATGATAGCGCCCTGGTCGACTTGCTCGCGACCAACCTATCCAATGACGTCTCCGATGCGGATATGGGCTATTTTGGTCTGTACGGCGGCTCTTTGTTTCGCTGATTACAGCTGCTTAAAGTGACCCCCAGGCCCATCTTCGAACCATTTCATGTTTCGCTCTCTCTCGGAAGTCTTCGTGGAAGCATCGCAGCTGTTCGGCGCCGACGAGCCCAGTACCGAGGGTCCACTATCAACCCTACCCGCACAACAGGCAAGCGATGATGCTCCGACGCACGTTGACCTCCGACATCCAGGGGACCAGGAGCATTTTGCCCGGGGCGGTGGCATCCCGTACATCCTGCCTCGTTATCAGGATACCATCCTCCTAATAAACCATTACTTTGCGACGGTTGGCCTCGTCCTGCCATACGTTGACAAGGCTTCTTTGCTGTCCCATTATCTCAAAGCCAGCGGCGAAAACCCGCCCAGGTTCCGGCGTGCGATTTTCTCCCTGATTTCTATCATCTGTGCATTTTCACTCAATTCATTGGAGAATGATCAGGCGGAGGTTTATTATCAGCGGGCATTGGCCGTCCTCGACCCACGCTGTCTGAGAGAATCAAGCGTAGAAATCGGTAAGCGCCCAAGTCTTCTGTAGGCGAGATCCCGCGTCACTTCTAATCCCGACTTCAGTTCAGGCGCTTCTCTTGATTCTTGCCTACCAGCAGAACAGCCAGCGCTCAATCAGCAGCTGGACGACTCATGCCTTGGCTGTCAAAGCTGCCCTCCAGCACGGGTTGCACTTGCCCACTATCCGGAAACTCCAGACCAAGGCCGATGCCGAGCTGATGCAGCGTCTCTGGACGGGAATTGTTTTCAATGACGGGTGGGTGGATTTATCCTGTGCTCAGCCCAGACATCTGCTAAATTGGTCCAGGGTGCTTGGAATGACATTAGGCAGGCCGGCACTTGTGCACCCTCGCTTATTGCAGTCTCAGCAGACTCCAGGCTTGCAGTACCATCAGCATTCGCCCCATATCATCACGGTCGAGTCGACCGGTGGCCAGGCTTATTTCTCTACACTTGGGTACGCACGCAGCCTGGTTGTTCTTCACCAAACCTATCTTCTAACGGCACTCTAGGTCCTCATCTGTCCTGCTCGCTGCCATCGTGGAGCATATGTACAATTATAACGTCGAGACACTGCAAGAACGGCGTCTCCCTGATTTGGGACGCACCTACAACGAACTGTTCGGGCGCCTCGAGGAGTGGAGGGAGAGCATCGCCCCTTTTGGCGGTCTTGTGTCGGTTCCCACACTCCGTGATCTGGCCAACGGATCCTTCGACACACTGAGGCTACAAATCCTTCTGTCCATGCACTACTATCGCCTGCGCTTGTTGATTGGCTGGCCCATCCTCATATCCTTTGTTGACATGCTGGTGGAGAGTGTGACCAAGCCGCATCTGGGCCAGTCCTTCCCTTCGGAAGAGTACACGGCTATGGTCAACGCCGACTGGCTCGCCATCAGGGAGCTAGGTGGGATAGTCCACGCCGTGGTCGTCGCGGTGGAACCCTTTTTGCACTCCAACGCAGCCTGGTACACCTGCAATTACTTAGGTTGGTGAGACCCTCCCAAGCCAAGCTCTCAGCAAGTTGCTAATCGCATGCCCTGCAACACAAGCACTCACTGTGTGCCTTCACGCATTCATCCTGATGTTGGCGACCAAGTTCGACACCGACAGTCGGCTCGGCTTTTCAACCGCAGAGACCAGAGCGACTTTGGAAACTACCTTGGGAACCATGAAAGTGTTGGCAGAGACAAGCTTGATGACATTCAAAGCTCGCAACTGCTTGGTCAAGCTATTGGGGGCCTTTGACATGCTAGGTGAGTCTCTTTGTCGATAGTGCCGGAGAAAGAATTGGGCATTCGATGCTCTCTCTCGCTCTCATCACCCTAGTAGTAGTTTTCTTTTTGATTTTCCTTCTATCCTTTGCGCACCCTCTTCGCATACACGCTCAACTGACATTTATTACACCCATCTCAGACCAACACCCGATGGCGTCCGTACCCGAAATGATGAACTCGCATATGTACCTTTCAGAATTCATCAGAAAGTCCGCGGACGAATTTCTCTTCCAGCCAGGTCTGGAGGACTTTCTGGACACCGATGTCAGCTATGGTGAGGGTACTCAATTTTGATTACTTCCGAAGCCGTGGAGTGGCTCAACATAAGGATCTTGGTAAAAGAGTGCTGGCGGCTTGAATTGCGATGTGAGAACAACACATATGCCACCCAGCTCCTACATGAAACGCAGAAACATTCGCCTGGGGCCTGTGGTGAACAGCAGAGAGAGCGGCGCGAAGGTGTGAAAATGTCTCAATGTCACCTTGGCCGCCTGGAACACCTGTTACCTGTGGTATGAGAAATATCTTCGTGCCAAACGTAGAGAGTCTCAAGTCTGGATAAGCCCAACATCTAAGCTACCTATTCGGGGGTAGAGGTGCTATGTAGGGTGCGACTCAGATGTGCCTGCAAAGCTTTCACGAGGTGGTAGGGCAAAGGCCACGATCCCATGCTATATGAAATGCTTGGTCTGAACGTGGGAGGATTTACCAGCGTTTCAAGACTCAAGAACCGCGAGGCAGAGGGTGTGGAGAAAGCTGGAGCATTTCGTGGACAAAGTTGACGCCATCATCCCGCCAGTACGACTTGCTCATTTGGCTCCGAGTATCTCCACAGGGTCCTCCTTGAAGCTCTCTATCTCGCTCTCCGGTCTTGGAGTCGTCATGGCCACGGCTGATCCAGTCTCTAAGTAATACAACAAAAGCAAAAGCCAAGGTACAATGCCCTCTCCACCTTCTCACGGCTCTGGAGAAATATGGTCCATCAACGAGATGGATCCGGAAGTTCAGGGCTTCATCGCTCCAGAGTTCGAGGAGGAAATATAAAGTTTTGTGGTCATTGTGGAAGCAGCCGATACCGATATCCTACTTCATGCGACTAATGCCGTGCGAATGACTATCCTGACTGAGACGGCCGTCCTCAGCGGTGACCTCGACGTGGATAGAGCCACTAACCTTCTCGGCATCCTTCTCTTGGCCATTCTCCCCGGTGTATTCCAATGCAAACTGGGTGTGGTTGGTCATGTACATAGTGGGATCTGCAACACAGAGACTGCAGAGAAGACCGGGGATGGTGACTGCAAGGGTGCACAGGAACATGACCTTGTATGCGTGTCCATAAGCAACCTTGATCGCGGCGAGTAGGGCCTGCTCGACCGCCGGAGTGATGCCCGAGAGACCGTCGAAAGCGTGGGGGATCCCCAGGTTCGCGTCGACCGTGGCAGTGAAGAGCTCAGGCAGCTGCTCCAAGTTCAACCCGTTCTTGGTCGCAACCTGCGCAATGGCGGCAGGTCCATACTTTGCAAACCGACTGTTGAAGATGACGTTGAAGATTGCGTTGCCCACAGCCCCGCCAGTTGCCCTGAAAGTCCCGACGAGACCCATGGCAACTCCCAGAGTCGAGTGGGGGACGTGTAGACTGGCAGTGGCGTAGGACAGGATGGTGATCCAGATGAAAAGCGGAACTCCAATGCCAGGGAGAAACATGTAGGCCAGCTTGTGGTTTGGATCGACCGAAAGAGCACTGAGGGCAAGAAAGATGGCCTGGCAGGCAAGGGCGAAGACGAGCTGCCATTTGACATAGCCCACCCTGTGTGATACAAGAGGCACCAGGACGCCAAAGACGCCCTGGAGGAGGGTGTTGGGCAAGGAGATGACTCCAATTTCCATTTCGTTGCTCGTGAACATGTATTGCGAACCGCGAGGGAGCAGCGAGGCCATGGGATAGAACTCCACTCCTGCAATGAATACCATGACCAGAAGAGCGCTAAACTCTCGGAACTTGGCAAAGAGAGCTCGTGGGAACATGGGGCTCTTGCTGAAGCTCGAGTCGAACGCAAACGTTCCGAACGTGACAAGAAGCCCGATCACGATGGGAGCGATGACACCGGCACTGTTCCATGGGTGGCCGCTGGTTCCAGCCCAGGTAAGACCGATCAAGAAAGTCGTCAGTCCGCCAGCAAAGCCGATCAGACCGATGAAATCAATCTCGAGGAATTCCTGCCACCGCGACTTTTCGAAATCGCCCCGAGGTCGAGAACTCGGTCTGTAGAACCAGAAGGTCCCCGCGAGGGCGACGGTTTCCACGATGACGGCAATATAGAGGATCCAGCGCCAGGAGGCGCGCTCGGTGAGAGCCACCGCCAGAATTGTGGAAGTCATGGCCCTGTCGAGTTCAATCAGCAAAAGAAAAAGGCAAAGCTTGGCCACGAGGTATTGTGTGCTTACCATGGGATAGCGATGCCAGCCTCTAACAAGCCTAGGCCCACCGACCGCCACTTGTTGGGGAGCATTTCCGGCACACCAGCGTACGCAACAAAGATCACTCCAGTCCCAAGTCCGATCAGAGTCTGGCCGGCGTATATGGCGGGTATATTTTGTGCGGTGCCGGTGACAATGCAGCCCAAAATGTTCATAACCTCACCAGCCAGCATCGGTATTCGGCGTCCAAAGACATCGCTCAGAGGGCCAGCAAGAGAGAATGAAACAGCGGACGCCAAAGACCATGAGCCCACGATCCAAGTAAAGTTATCAGGGCTGCCGCCCAGGTCTGTGACAATGGTCTGCAGAACTGAAGCTACCGCGAGGAAGCCGAGGCCAAGCGGTGGGCCAAATGACAAGGCCAGGAACTGTGTTGTTTTCTATTAGCAAACACGACTTTTCAAGGTATTGACTCTTTTGGTTGGGGGGAAGAGGCGTACGAAGACAGAAGCCCAGGTGGAGGCGGACACGCGAACATGGTCTGGATTATCCTCTAAAGCTGCTCTATGAGGATCTTCTTCGAGCTCAATTCGAGCCTTGACTTGGCTCCTCGTTAGATGTATGCTGTCCATGTTCGAGTACTAAGATGAGGATTAAGCCCAGGCAGTGGTTCGGGGGGCGTAGGAGCTCTTATACAGCCCCCCAGATATCCATTGACGCGTAGGTATCCCCGCAAAAGGCCTCTGAGAAAATCGTGGGGAGGAGGATTCCTGGGGGCTTTCGGGGGTTTCCTGGAGAGGGTGGGACGGACCCGGGCAGACCGGGTTGCCCATCGGGAAGTGTCAACCCTATTGGCAATATCTATACGGGGCATCCGCGAAACCTCTACATATTCGAGTGTTTGGGACAGGGACAAGGATGAGAACAAACAAATGAACGAACGAACTGGATTGGGTCAGAGGCCTGAAAGTCGAGGCCCTAGGGACCTACAAACTCTCGCCTAGACGTGGTGATAGGCTCGGCGTATAACTGCCTTCAGCCGCTGGATCGCCTGAAATGAATTCGTCATCATCATCATTATCATCTTCTGCATATTACGATCCCACCCCGCAGCCCTGTAAAGGCTGGTGGTTACCACTGTGGTGGGTAAGTGGTTAACATATGTCGAAGGAAATTCTACGAGCTACAATTCCAGTGCATTAGGGGAAGATCCATGGCACTTGATATCAATTCTTCTGGGGCGCTACTCAGCGCTTCTCAACGCCTTGGTAGCTGTTTGCGGCCCAGATATTAATAATTTGATTCTGGGATACGGAGCAGGTCCCAGGATAATAGACTGCGTTTACACGGGTCGCAATGGGTATGTCGAGGTTTTCCGCCAATTGTATAGCATCCTCCCGCTCCGGTTGGGTCTGCCGCAACATTGACGTCTTTGACGGTCCGACCACCTTGGCGGGATCTAGAACCGGAAGCATGGTTATCGTTTGCTCGCATCCGAAGTTCCTCATAGATAGAAGAAGGCAGGGGTCATTGCGGGATCATTAGCTCTATTCAAATTCTTGTTCGCTTGGAGTCTTTTCTGGGAAACCTACTTCTTTGCTCCAGGCGATTCGACCGTGGTGCTACCTCCAGCTGTGTCGGAAATCTGTGTCTCTACGCATCATGTTTCAACAAACCAACCCAGCTTTTGAGATCCCGAAGGAAGGTTGGGGCGGCGTGGTGGTAGGTACTTATGAAAGACAGACTCCTTATAGTGTTTGACCGGGGTTATAGAAAAATGAGGGCCCAGATTTCTATATCGAAGTGGAGAAAGTGCCTGTGCCTGAAGTTGGTCAGTCTCCGGTATCTCTCAATACTTGACGTCAAGTCCCCCATCTAACAAGGCTATCGCCATTCCAGGCCCTAACGACGTCCTGATCAAACTCAACTGCACCGGCCTATGTCTCACTGACGTCCATTGTATGCTCAATGATTGGGGCACACCCAAAATGTCCGCCTCTGGCATTAAATGCGCGGGTCACGAGGGTGCTGGAGTGATCGTCAAGGTCGGAGAACGGGTCACAAGCTACAAGGTTGGTCAGCGAGCTGGTATCAAACCTGTCCTTGATGTTTGCCATATATGCGAATACTGCCGCAGTGGAAGAGAAACATACTGCCAGAAAGCCGTCTTGGCTGGTGGTCATGCCGATGGTAATACGAGTTTTGAACGGATGATCAAGTTTGGCAATGACTGACAAAGCTCTAGGTTCATATAAACAGTATATTATATCACCAGAACGCTACACTACTGTAAGTTACTCTGCCACCTGCCCTATCAATAGATATACTAAGTCTCGCTCCAGATAATTCCCGATGTAAGCCTTGGTATTCTCGATCGGTCTGCCAAAAGGAGACTAACCAGTCGTTAGGGCGTTCCTGACTATATTGCTGGCCCAGCGATGTGCTCTGCTTCGACAATTTATACTGCTATCAAGAATTCGGAGGTCAGGCCCGGTGAATGGGCCGTTTTCCCTGGAGGTGGCGGCGGTGTCGGTATCCAAGGTGTCCAACTGGCGGTAGCTATGGGTATCCGGCCTGTTGTAGTCGATACCGGCAAGGAAAGAGAAGAATTGGCCAAGAAGTACGGTGCGGAGTATTTCGTCGACTTTAAGGAGGTGGAGGACCCTGTGAAGAAGGTCATAGAGTTGACTGAAGGTGGTGGCCACGTTTGTTTCGTCACAGGTGTGTTTCAATGAGAAGGTAAACACCAGTCTCTTATCTCTTGCTGACATTCGATTACAGCGGTGCAATCGTACCCAGTTGCTCTTGATTACTTAGGCTCCCGTGTGGGTGCCAAGGTGATGTGGTAAGTCGACACCGTTTGAAGAATGGCGTCAGCATGCACTGACCGCTTTGCAAAGTATTGGAATCCCTGCGGCGGGAAAGTTCAACCTGGACATCCCTCCGGCGACACTGATCTACAAAGGTCAATCCGTTATGGGCACCTTTGTCAGCAGTTTGGTTGATATTGATGAAACCTTGGCTTTCGCCTGCAGAGGTATGCTATTTCTTGAACAACTTATAGCTTTGTGTGTGAATACTCTTGCTCACGCGTTCAAAGGTAAACTCCATTTGGAGCCGACCGTGGTGGGCCTGAGCAAGTGGAACGAGTCTATACAAAAGCTCAAGAATGGTCAGGTTGCAGGGTAAGTATCGAGTATAGCTGGATTTGGTGCGGAGGCCGATTATGCTAACCACTTGCCAGGCGTATCGTGGTTGACTTTAACCTACCATAGTAGACGCGTGGACATCGACGACATCTCAAGGGTGGTACAAATTCCAAGGCCAGAAGAAAAGCCAACCAATGTTTAGACAGCGACAGTCTTGTCCAATTACTGGTTCTGCTGAAGCTATCAACTATTCCCAAATATCTATATTCGTCCAGTCCGACCCCACAACGGTGAGACTCAAGGAGTGAACAAAACGAAGATAGACACTTTGACTGGATGCTTTATCTCGTAGTCACAAGCCGTAGCGCAGGCAAGCGAGAGCCCACATGGTGACCGAGAATATCCGTCTTGCTGAAAATGCCGGGTTTAGAGCTTGGGAAATTGAGATCTAAGCACATAGCTGCCTAAGGCCATTCTGAGACGTATATCAAATCAATGTTGTTGGTTAAGTCATTTTCAGGTGCCATACCGACTAACATGGAATAGATTAATGGCGTCCTTATGGTAAGGTCAATTTTATACGAAGAAGTCGAGATCGCGCTGTAACTGCTGAGCCTAGGGCTTCTGGGCCCCAGGGGGCTGTCGAGGAGCCCAGAACCGTGGGTGCATCCTTGATCGCCCAGGTGAAGCTCGAAGGCAGTATCAATCATGAATAAGTCGTGCTCTGCGTGATCAAGCAGTGGCCCTCTTCACATGAGGATCAATTTTCAACAAACACGTTTCACAAATACAATCACTTGCCAATTGAAGAATTCATCCACTCGCTGAGTCGTGCAACAGCACCATTACCGAGGGAGCCATCCCACCAGTCGAAAGCACAGATATGAGTCATGTTCAAACCTCACTGCTTACCTTCTCTTGTGCCTCCCTTAGCTCCTTTTCGGACTCCTGTCCAGCACCGGCCTTCTCGACTTCACTTCCGGATTCAGCCATTCCTTCTGGGACAATGAGACTTCCAACGACCCTCAGCCTGGCCATATGGATAGACTGCGCCCAAGCCTGCGTGCTCATCCCGGGCTTCTTTAGCGCCTGGTACGCCTTCTCCCACGCTCCCCAGCCAACATATCTCCTGGGCCCCCATGGGTCGGACTTGCTTTCTTCTTCGTCCTGGGACATCGTCTTCACATGCCATCCTCTGATGTCGTCACACACCGCCACCTTTGCGTTGTTAGTATCACCACTTTCGGCGACCATGTACTCATCCCACGGCGCTTCGCCATTCGCAAACAGAACCCATTTCCTCGCTGTTTCTCTGGCCTGTCGCTCGAGCCATTTGTTCCGGTGCGTTGGGTATCGGTCGAGGAGTGTGAGGAAGACGAACAAGATCTCCACGAAGTGGTGGCCTGGGACGAAGCTGTGGTCGGATCCAGGAAAGGGGTTCGAGAGGCCGAAACAGTAGCGGTAGACCTTCCGCTTTGGAGCGCCGCTATTTGAGGTGGCTATGTTCTGACGAGCCAGATGCGTGACAAGGCGGTGGATCGGCACAGAGAAGAACATGTCGCCGATGAGCTGTGTCAGGTTTCGCCAGAACAAGTTCTTGTCCGCCACTGAAGCAAGCTCTGGTGATGTGGGGAGGTCATATGCGCAAAGCAACCGAGCTGCGTCTTTATCCGGGAATATGGAGAGCACGCCGCTGACGAAACGTACAGCTGAGGTCGATCGGAGAAGGTCTCTGAAGACATGTCCCTCCCAGAAGTCATCCCCAATGACAACGTCCTCCAGCCACGGACACGAGGAAATCAGGGACGTTTGCTTCATGAAGGTTGGTCGGCCTCTGGAGAACAATGGCTTAGGCACACTCACTCCCGGGATATCATCGACGAAAGGCATTATGTGGTACCCAGGATATTGGGCCAGCGCCTCCGCGGGCACTTGTCGAAGCTTCTCCAGTCTCTCCGAGGCACTTGCACCTTTGATCTCGAAGTGTTTCAATAACCCCTGATATTCTTTGTCTTTGTCTTCAAGCGAAGTGTGGCCAAAAATGGCGCCTGATTGCAAGACCGCTCGATTGAAGAGTCTCTCCGGGCTGCCGCAGATGTGGTAGATCAGAAAGATGCTGCCCGCCGATTCGCCGAACGCAGTCATTTTCTCCGCGTCGCCACCAAATCCACCGATGAATGTACGGATCCATGCGAATGCGGCTCTCTGATCTTGGATCGTCAGGTTGAATGGACCGTAGGGCGAGGGTGATGGGTCGACCTTGTATTCCTCGATCATGTCCTGGCACACAAGGCTGCCGAGCCAATTGAGGCGATATCCAATGTTGACCGTGACAATGGGCAAGGAAATCTCCGATGAGTATGCTGCGAGAGGAGCATTATTGTGGAGTCCGTCGACATGCCCGACCCCTTCCTGCGCGCCGCCACCGTGGACATAGATCATCACCGGTAGCAACTTGGGATTATTGGCCGAGAGATAGGATTCGGGCACGGACACGCTGATGGTCAGGCAGGTAAACTCGTCAAAGTCCAGGCCCAAGTCATCTTCGAGGCGCCCACCGTATGCTTCGAACCAGGTCGGCTTCGTCGCGCCGAGCTGGGGACATGCGCTGCCAAACTGCGTGAAATCCCGGTGCGGCCTTGCGTCAAACTTGTCTGGTATTCCTTCTAGTGGGACGCACGGTGCAAAGCGTTTGAGGACCTGGGCATATGGGATCGAGCGGAACTGAACGGTGGATGTCCCAGGGAAATGCGATGACTTGATCAGACGTCCCGTTAAAGCGCCCAATTGGGGATGCTGATATGTGTAGGTTGGACCATTGTAAGGCTTTCTACCAGAGATAGAGCGGGTCGTTGTCTCAGCCATTATCGACAAACAGCTCTGCCACTATGAAGAATAGTGTCCGCAGCCTCGTTAATCCGTCAATGTTGTGGTCGCGAGCGCGCAAGGTTTTACTACCAGTCTAAAGGTAGACTTCACCTCACCCTTTCTCTTTGACAGACGAGCCGGTCTTGATCGTGTCCTGGAGGAATGCAATCGATATTGAGAACTTCATCAAATAATCCTGGCCCAAGTATCGAAAGAGGGTGTTACTCTTAGTATTGTGGAGGAGGGGGTGCGAGGTTAACAACCGAAGATCCGCCGGCTGGTCGGATGAACTTCCTGCCGCCCACCAGGCTGGGGAACAACAGGAGATCTTCGGGTTATTCAGTCGACCAGATCCATGTGTGGTATACAAGGTAAGAAAAAGAATATTCTGAAGCAGAACTTGATCATGGGATTGGGAACGGAAAGATGAACTTAAGACCGTGCTATGGCAGTGCCTTCATCCGATGAGATCTGAAGTGATGAATTCGGGCCTCGGCGACGGCAATACAAAAGTTGTATTATTTGTATATGAGAAGCATGTGGCCTGGGGATGTTCGACAACATTCGAATGTTCATCGCACTTTATGTATAGAAGGTAACTATTATCAATGACTTGACCGTGTCTTGAAAAGTAAAATCTAGTTTTGTACTTACCTAGATCTTTCCAAAGCTATAATTCGTTTACATCCAACTCTGCCAGAGAGGAAACGAACTTTACTGGTTGATCTAGGTCCCCTGCTGCCTGGCTTCTGCCTGGCAGAACGGTCTCAACCAGCTGACAGCGCGCAAGTTCCCTGTCGGGTTGCCAAGCACGGGAGAACGTGCGCACTAAAGCAAAAGGTCTGGCTGCTGTGATGGGCGCATGTTTAAATCAAATGTCTCTGAGTGAAGCTCTCTGAGGTATGTCCTCGGGGCAGAATGTCGCTGAAAAGAAATGTCGCTGACAATCGAATACGAACGTATCTAGTTTCTTCGAGAATCTCATCCAATGTGATCAGCTCCCCACCATCCATTGATGTTGGGACAGAAAGTATCATCTTTCATTTCTATTCAGTGAGTAGACATGGGGGTGGGAAGGTTTGTGCTCACAGGAAAGGAGCGCTATCAATGGAGAAACCAGACCAGTCCCAAAGGGGAAAGTATACACTAGGCTGGTCTCTTCTGTGAAATGGGTTCTTCGCAGAACCCCGCCGTATCTTCATCATCTCACGTACTCCGCGAAAGCATGGAGCAGGTGAGGATCTATCAGTGACCATGCAGTCTTCCTGGAAAAGGTAGGCATAGACTATTGTGGTAGCTGCCGTACAGTGATTGCCGTGTCATGCCTGCCCCGAGGTCGAGTCAATGAGAGATGGAAACCTTGTTCGTTTCCATCGAGTCTGACTACAAATGCAACGGGACCCGCCCCTGTAAAATCAGTTCTGTCAAGAGCTGCAATCTTGTTGTTTTATGCTGAGCACTTGTCCCTGGCCGCAGGATGCACTTCACCTTTCTGTACAGCGTTACAGCTTTGGCTGCCTGTTCGTCTGCTCTTGCTGTTCCCGCCACCAGCAGCGTTCGACAGACCAGCATCGGGAAACTCACAAAGGACGACGATGACTACGACCTCGAGCCTTCAGCCAGTTTCGCTTTCGCGGGCATTACAAGCTTTGCAAAGCTTCCGTCCGTGCAATGTCTGACCGAGACTGGACCGGTGGACGACATCTTGATCTTGGGATTCCCCTTCGACACGGCAACGTCGTACAGGACCGGTACCCGTCTTGGTCCAAATGCTGTGCGCCAGGGCTCTCGAGCAGCCTCTCTAGCGTGCGTTTTGATACTCTCAAGGGGCCGTAGGTGGGAACGTTTTCAGCTAATATTTTTTTTGGAGGGCAGTGGTCACTATAATTACCGCCAGTCGATCAATCCTTACAAGCAGAATATTTCCGTGGTTGACTGTGGAGATCTCCCCATCTCTCCTTTCGACAACGGTCTCGCTTTCGCCCAGATGGAGGAGTGGTACAAGCGGCTTTTGTGGAGGGAGGTGAAATCTACTGAACATGGTGTCAGGTCTTCCAAGGTATTCTTTTACGCCTTCGACAAACGAGTTTTCTGGAAATCATGCTAATGACAGCGCTTCTAAGACCGGTAAATATCACCCTCAAATCGTCGCTCTGGGCGGTGATCACAGCATCTCCCTGCCAATTCTGCGAGCCCTGAATACCGTCTACGGCAAAGTATCCGCGATCCACATCGACGCACACATCGACACCTGGTCCCCCAAAGTGTTCGCTGGTGCCAAAGCCGGCAGCAAACAAGCCCAGTTCGCCGACGGGACGCCCTACTACTGGGCCGGTATGGAAGGGCTGCTGAGCGACAAGAACGTCCACGCGGGAATCCGTAGCTCACTGGATTCGGAGAAGGACATGGAACTTGACGAAGAAGTCGGCTTCGTCACCATCCCCGCCGTGGACATGTTGAAACGAGATGGCGTCTGGGGCGTCATTGACAAGATCCGTTCGGTGGTGAGTCACGACGAGCCCGTCTACGTGTCCCTGGACGTCGACTGTTTGGACCCGGCTTTTGTCCCCGGCACCGCTGGCCCGGCCTCTGGGGGGTGGACTCCCAGAGAAATCATTCAGATCATCATTGATGCGCTTGATGGGCTGAATATTGTCGGCGTCGATGTCGTGGAGATCCTGCCGTCCTTGGATCAGGCGGAAATTACGGGCATCGTTGCTGCCGAGTTTACAATCGAGGTATGTTCCTTAAGAAGTTAACAGGGCTTGGGACTTGTGCTGACCGGCCCAAAGCTCATTACTAGGCTGGTTCGGAATAGACTGGGTCTGTGATACTGATCATTCTCTACCTTGGTGGCGGACGCTCTGGACGTGATGAGCACAATGGGACTACATTTCCTTCATGTTTTGATGGGGAATTCGTTCTGAAGTAGGTGTAGTAGAGACCAGTTTTACTAGGGGCGTGCTGCGTTCAGTGAAACCTATCTCGACATCATCTGTACGCTGTCAAAGAACCTGTATCTCTGAAGATTTGAACTCCATTAGTCGACTGTGTTGTTACTTGGGAGAGAAATACCAGATGTTCCAAAATAAGCAATTCGAGGTTATAAGAAACTGCGTCCCGTTCATAGGTTCTCGTGGCAGGGACAATGATAGACGACCCAGTACCAACCTTTCAGGAGTCCCTGCTGGTTCATAAAGCCTCTCAAAAGGATTTACACTTATTGACAGCTTGAGATTTTCTAAGTCCTATAGCTAGAGCTATATCCGTGAATACTTTTAGACACTGCATATTTCACTCCGACGTGTCATGTAACCTGGATACTTCTTTAGCCAGCCGCTTCCACCGTATGCTCAAGATGCAGCAGGATTGCAGGACAAGAAGTGCACCACTCCCAGTGATGATGCCCGCCCACAAGCCAAAGACACCGTACTGCTTGCGAAAGCATAGGAACCACGCCGTCGTCAGGCCCACGCCATAATAAGCCACGAAATTGCAGACGCCTGCCATGTGAGTCTTTCCAGCGCCCCGCAGGATTCCGCTGGCACCACCGTTGGAAAGGTCCAGGACTTGAAACCCGGCCATCAGTGGAAGCACCTGCGCAGTCTTTTCAATCACTGTTTCATCGCCGGTAAAAATACGGCCATAGGAGTTTCTCGCAAGCATGATACCGACGAATTCGATGGCTCCGATGATAAAGGATAGCAGGTATGGTGTGGCGATTGCTCTCCTCGCTTCCCGACCTTTGCCGGCACCCAGATAGCCGGCAATGCGATGGCTGGAGGCGACACTTATTCCGAGTGCTACCGTTGTGAGCAGCAGGTCGGAAGACATCAATATCTGCATTTCATCTCAGTGGGAATTCGGGGCGAACTAGAAGGCTGATGAACTTACGCTCTGCGCCCCAATAGAGCTGGGGTCCAGCCTTGCGGCCATCATTGCAAGTATCTCGAAGCTAGGACGCGCCACAAGTCATTTATGATGTCAGGGCAGAAGAGACAGCAGACTCACCTCCACCATTCTGTTGCACATGTAAAGATTCCAGTGACGGCATAAAATATCAAACGCGATATCCCTTTCTGAATGCCAACAATAGACCCGTGCCAGGTCTTTCTGACGGCGGGCTTCCTGAAAATGATGCAGAGCAGAGCAACAACGGTGACAAATTGGTAGATGCAAAAGGCGCAAGGAACACCCCAGAGCTTCAGCTTCGTCAGTCGAACAAGGACGAAGGTGACTAGGACGCCCAAGCAGCTGGCGACTGCCGTAGACACCCCGACGATATTGCTTTCACCCTGGACCTGCAAAAACTTCTTCAAAGACTCGGCCACAATCTGCAACACGCCGGCCGGCAGCATGAGCACCAAAAATTTGCCCGTCGCAAACGCAAAGTCTGGCTGCTGGCCCAGGGCGATGAAGAAGCGGCCCGAAAATACCCAGATGGGCGCGAACACCACGCCAAAGATTCCGAGAAGGACAAGCACGCACTGCTGCAAGAGGAGCCCTAGTATTTTGGGATTGTCTGCCACCGAGTTTGAGGTGAACGCTTGACCGCATAATGTATCGAGTGCCGTTGCGCCGCCGATTGCAGTCATGGTGCCCGTGCAGGAGAAGAACATAAACCCAAACGAGGTAACTCCTAATTCAAAAGAGCCCAGGCTTCCGGCTATCAAGGCACTGATTGCTTGCACCAGATTTTGCAAAGCGAATGAGAGGCATATGGGAATCGTCCGCCGGATAAGAGCACTCAGGTCGTGTAGAATATCGAAGGTGACATCCTCCTCCTCCTTGGACGCGATGGATGAAGTCCGGGACAGCAGCAATGAGCGCTCATCGGCAATATGTTCGCCCATGCTGATGGTGTTTTTTGGAGTGTTTGAATAAGGGATAGGTTCAAAGGCCGCAGAGGGCTATGAGGCAGGTAGAAGATACTTACCAAGTACATGCTGACGGCAGGTGTGTTTTAATCACAGGGCATGTGCTTTAGGTCCTGAGGCATAGCCACGGCATTTAGTCTTCCCCACAAATCTGCCAATGGACATGTCCGACAGATAAAATAATGTGTGCGTTTCTGGCCGATATGGTGCTCTTCTCAGACCGCGATATTCGGACGCGTTGCATGATAATTACGTGCGCTAAACCCAGAGGGGAAAGCTTATCCTATCTTCTTTCCGTCTGATAACTGCCTCCTTCCTTTCCGTTCTCTTCCCGTGCATGAAACCCTCTACCAGAAGAGCTGCGAAGTAAAGAATGAACATTGGATCTGATCTATCAAATTGCCCTAAAAGTCTCCTCCTCATCGAGTTAGCTAAGGGAGCAGCTTTTGGGTGACCCATTGCAGAACTTGTACGGGTGACAACCCCACCTGCTGCCATTGGGAAGTTTCAACGTGCACAACTGGACCCCTCTCCATCGCATCGCCATGGCCTAGCTTCGGCATAGCCTGTTGATCAGACTGCCTGCTGCTTCTGCACCCGCCAGTTACAGACGGGTCCCCAGCAGACAACCATGGCAGACTCCAAATCCACCCCACTGCAGCGTCAAACGCGGTCACGCACAGGGTGCGAGGAGTGTCGTCGGCGGCATTGGAAATGTAACGAAGCGAGACCAGCGTGCTCTTACTGTCAGAGCGTAGGCCGTCCCTGTGTCTACTCTCGGAAGCTCTCCTGGGGCGGACGTCAATTTAAGAAGTCACGTTTCGGCGGCTGTCTGGAGTCCGGAGCAAAGGCCGTAAGTATTGAAGCCTCAGGCCGTAAGTTTTATACTCGAGTGGATGAAATATTATCTGGCTCATTTCTGGAAAGAACAGTTGTCGACGGGTAAGGACTTTATCTACACGTGCTCGCCTAGAAGAACCAGCGACAATTCGAGCCGTGAGCGAAGTACTCCTGCAAACCATCGCGTCGTAACCTCTGAGCCACGGCGGAATGAGTTCGAGGACCCAACCTTGGACCCTAAGGTCTCTATAACTTCGCAGCCACTAACGCCGATGCCAGCATTAGCAGAGGAGTCCAAACCGCTATTTGAATATTTCATCCACAGAATGACCATATCAATTTCCTGCCATAAAGGAATCCAAGATGAAATTTGCTCGGCCATCGTCCCCATGGCGATGCACGTCCCGCATCTGCTCTCTGCCACTCTTGCTCTAGCAGCTGCGCACAGACGGACATCTGGCCTTTTCCAAGGGAGTTGTCAAGTTGAGTTGATGAAGGGGAAAAGCCTAACCCAGTTGAGATCTGCCCTAGACCAATTCAGCCCAACCGAAAACGACAACGTCCTTGCCACCACACTGCTCTTATGTATGGCCGAAGTCATCTCCCCTGCTACGAGCACCGCGTCATGGAGGTCACACCTCTATGGCGCCGCCACCCTTTCCGCCCAACACGCCCGGTCCAGCGGGTCCAGCGTGTCGTCCACTTCGAGGTTTCTGAGGAGAAAAAACCGGGCTCTGCAGGCGGTTGCTCTGGCTTGCTGCTCGAAAACGTTCGAGGGACACATAATCACGGCGCACCATGACGAAGGCGATGCTTATATTGACGACCTAGCCGGATACTCTCCGACACTGCTACCCATTTTTGAGGAGATCAACAGTCTGGAGCGATTACGCGAAGATTGCGGCTCTGACTTTTTCTGCGACGCTCCACCTGGACCACCACATTTTGACTGCAACTCGCCTTTGGAGCATAAGTCGCACTTGTTGTTCGATCGCATCAGAGCATTGATTGCACAAAAGAAGATGTCACGGACACGGGTGGATGGAGACCTCCCTTGGCCAGTATACCATGACCTCTATCTGGTAGATGAAGCCTACCATCATATGGCGCTTCTTCAGATATTTCGACGTGGATCCTTGTCCGTTCCTCTGCAAATGATTGACGATAGCAGACGATCAATCCTCGATTGTCTTACTGCCGTCACGTACCAGTCCGGGCCCTGTCCAGGAGTAGCCGCCTTACCTCCTTTGTTCGTGGCGGGTACCTTGTGTACGAACAGATCAGACAGGGACAAGGTGCGCAACTTGTTAAAGACCATGTGGATGAACTATGGAATGGGGAACGTGAGGTCTTGTCAGGCAGTGCTGCAAAATTTGTGGAAGCAACAAGATGAGAGGCTTACTCAATCGGCGTTTTCAGAGCAGCTGTACGATTATCAAGGTACGCTATATGTTTCGTGTCTTGCCTATGCCTCCACACTGACCGGACGGCAGTTAATGATGATGTCTTGCCGTATTGAAGGAGTGCATTTTGAGAAAAAGTCATTCGATCAGTGCCAGCTACATGACTTTGCGCAGCAAGACAGTATAGTCTAGTGTTCAGAAGGCCAATTCGCCGATGGAAGTCTATGAAGAATCGAGTGCTGAATGCATGATTGAGGGTGCTTCGGCGGCTGAGCAGGCCGCTATGATTTGACCCGGTCACGTGGCATAGGGGCTAGTCCCGGTAAAGCCTAAAGCTGGTGCTCGAATAGCAGTTCCCGCCGCCGCAAAGATGTCCGGGCGCTGTTCCTCCGTACAGTGCCTAACAAGTATTATTTCTGGCGCCCCCGGATGCCCTGGCGCCCTCTGCTCTTCAACTAAAGCACCCAAACAAACTCGCCTTGAAGCCCAGTGTGTGTTTCTTACCCACAACACGCGTGGTCCACCTCAACCAAATTTTCTTTTTGCCGCCTTCCTGCGCGTGTCAATTTGTGACTGGGACAATCATGGCGGCCTTGACTCCATCTCTCTATTATCGTCCACAGTCCTTCTCGTCTTCGCTCTTGTCTCCGTTATCGCATCACAGTCCTTTGGCACGCTCTGCACGCTCCTTGTCTGCTGCTCGTTGCTCCCCCGCACGTCTCCTGCATCGGCATTTGCACGTCCAATCGCTCGAGCCGCTCTCCCAATCCCCCACCATCGTTTACAAGTCCACCAGGAAACTTTTCAAGCTGGCTCCCTCCGGCTCACGTCCATATTCCCAAGCTACGGGTCGACTGAGTTTGATCTCACGACACCTGGAACAACATCAGCAGACTTCTTACCCTCGCATCAACACTCCCTATACAATTGAGCTGGACTCGTTGTCGGCTTCCACAGACGACATTCCCTACGTGCCTCCAGCGGCCCCTGCACATCTCACCAGAACGCCCTCTCAAATTCAGAAACGTCAACTATCCACCTCATCCGCCGCCAAAATGTCCTCGCAGCCTCCTCATCCCTCCCTCCTCATCCCGGGGCCAATCGAGATCACTGATGAAGTCTCTCAGGCCATGAGCCACTATGCGCAATCCCACGTTGGACAACCATTCGTGAACACCTTCGGTGAAACGCTTACGCTGTTGAGAGATCTATTCCAAACCACCAACCCGGCATCTCAGCCATTTGTTCTGGCTGGAAGTGGCACATTGGGCTGGGACCTCGTGGCAGCCAACCTGGTCGAGCCTGGTGAAGATGTCTTGGTATTGCACAGTGGCTATTTCGCAGACTCTTTTGCGGACTGCCTGGCAACCTACGGCGCAAAGCCTACGCAGCTGAAAGCTCCCATTGGGGACAGGCCACAACTGCCCGAGATCGAGGCAGCACTAAAAGAGAAGAAATACAAGGCGCTGACAGTCACACATGTCGATACCTCTACCGGAGTGCTCTCTCAGATCCAACCTCTTTCGGACCTCATCCGGCGCGTGTCTCCCGAGACGCTCCTAATCGTCGATGGTGTCTGCTCCGTTGGAGGAGAGGAGATTCATTTTGACAAGATGAGCATTGATGTGTGCTTGACAGCCTCTCAGAAGGCCATCGGTTGCCCTCCCGGCCTGTCGATAGTGATGGTGTCGGAGAAGGCCATGAACGTCTTCAAATCGCGCAAATCCAATCCCGGAAGCTACTATGCTAGCTTCAAAAACTGGACACCAATCATGCAGAACTACGAGGCCAAGAAACCCTCGTACTTTGCAACTCCGCCCACGCAATTAGTCCAGGCGCTGAACACGTCCCTCAAGCAGATCCTCTCCCAGCCTCTCGACGCCCGCTTCGCTCAACACCGCAAGGTGAGCGAATACGTCAAGTCGAAAGTCACAAGCCTGGGTCTCAAGCAGCTGGCCACAGACCCAGCCAATGCGGCCAACACCATGACGGCAATATATTTACCCGAGGGGCTGACTCCTCCGGAGATTCTTCCCAAGCTGATGTCCCGGGGAGTTGTCTTTGCCGGTGGCCTTCACCGGGAGATCGCGGCGAGATACATTCGTTTCGGCCACATGGGTATCTCAAGCATGGATGAGTCTAGAGGAGAGATCGACAAGGCGCTCGAGGCGTTGAAGGAGGGTTTGGCAGAAGTGGAGAGTGCTAAGAGCAAGTAAAAGGCAGTTAGTCTTGGACAAAGCCTGAGGATGGAGCACAGGATCTGGGGACATGTCGGAGACAGATGAGCTCAGTGGATTCTTGGCCCATTTGAACTTGGGGGGGAGCAGGAAGCAGGAAAAGCATTTTTTGACGAGGTACCACTTCAGTTATTTTGCATACGATGACAGAGGGATGTCCAGTGAGGCGAACTTGATGGGCAGCGATGGTCTAGAATTGTGTATTACAAAACGACGAGTGGCAAGACTATGATCACAACCTGACTCTATGTGCAGTGTATATATATGCATGCATGTCAGTGGAGCTGCGACAGCATCATCTCAAGACACTAAGATTTTGAAACACTATTAGACATCCATCATTATTCGTCCGTTGTACACTCCATTATCTACTCGTTCCGTTCGTCCATTTTACAATCCAATATATATCCATCCCTTTCTTCGTCAATGTCAATATCAATCCATATCGACATCGACCTCAGCGTGATCCGTTGTGTGCCCCAGAAAAGAAAGCCTAACCCGTAGGTATTAGGCTGCGAGCCGTGTTTCCCCCAAAAGTATTCAGACAAAGCAAATCTGCCAGCAATTCAACAGAGGAAATCCAATCCGCTGGAAGTCCCGTGAACCAAAAAGGAAGCCCTCGCAAGCACCCAAACGCCAAGCGCCACGCTATACGTGCGTAGTACATGGGACCGCAAAAGACGCATTTTTTCAGGCAGCTGTTTAGCCACCCCGGACCCCCATTGCTCAACGCTTCTCAAACGGTACAAGTGAGAAATAAGACAACAGAAGAACAAGACTAGCGTGTTGGGATGGACTCTCTATGCGGAGTTATTGAACCGGCTCCTCGACCGGATCTTCTTGCCGTATCTGTAGAAGAAGAATGGCATGGGGACACAGGCCAGGGCGAGGAAGCCCAGCAGCGAAGAGGCCCACTGGTAATCGAGGTTTTCGTACATTTGGGTGCCGAAAAGAGGGAATGCTCCGGCGGCCAAGAGCCGCACGAGACAGTTGGCTGCGACCGCGCTGGCGGCGATGCTGGGGTACTAATTTTGGCCCACCAGTTAGATACTATATAAAATGATAGAGAAACCGGGCGGGGGAGTAAAACTTACTGCGTCGACAAGGAAGGTCAAGATGCCGGTGAAGGCGAGGAACAGGCCAATGCCAAAGACGGCGCTGCCGATGATGGGCACGATCCAGTGCACGCTCGAATACGTCGTCCAGCCGAACCAGAACAGGCCCACGGGGACCAGAATGCCTCCGAACATGGCGGGCGGCAGGCGGTACTCGGGCTCGGGCTTGATGCCGACCTGGCCCGTCTGCTCCTCGAGCTTGCGCACCATCCTGACGTAGTTCTTGTGCCAGAAGGGGTCCGTCAGGACGCCAATGCCAATGCCGACGAGGAGGCCAACAAAGGTCAGGCCGACCTGGTACAGCGAGAAGCCGTGGTTGTTGCCAAAGACGAGCGGGAAGGCGCCGAAGAACAGGTACACGATGCCCAGGAGGATGGCCGAGTAGAGGCAAAGCAGCAAGCACATGGGCTCGTAGAGCAGGAGCTCAAACGGCGTGGTGCACGAGTGGATGACGGTGCCGAGGATGCTGCGGTTGAGCTTCTCAATCGGCGCGTACCACTGGCTGTCGCCCGTCTGCTTGCGCTTCTGCTGCGCGCGGCGCTTCAGCAGGACTTTGTGGTACGTCTCGGGCACGAAGAAGACGACCAGAACCAGCAGGACGCCGGTCCAGATCAGGAGCGTGTAGAATGTCCACCGCCTATACACCAGGTGGTTGGTCAGTATTGGCCATCGAAACAAAACATTCACATAATATAATCAGGATAAGACAGGGATCACATCATACCATGAGGTGAACTGGTTGATGAACCCGCCGACGATCGGCCCCATTGCAGGACCCATAAAGGGCGTGGCTGTGAAGATCATCATGGGGAACTGAAGATCCTTGGGCTCAAACAGATCTGCCACGGTGCCCGCCGCCACGGCGAGGAACGCACTCCCCGCGAAGCCGTCGAAGAACCGGCACACAATCATGGTTTGGATGTTCTGAGCAACGGCGCAGGGGATCAGCCAGATCAGAAAGAAGAACATCGACGCGATGTAGATGGGTCTTCGACCGTAGAACTCGGACAGCGGCCCCAATAACATGGGACCAAACGCTAAGCCCAAGACGAACAGCGTGAGACCAAGAGTGGCAATCTCCCTGGAGCAGTGGAAGTCCTTCATGAGCTGGTCGTAGGTGGTGGTGTAGACGGACGAGGTATATGTTCTAACAAGCCGGTCAATATCTGTCACGGAGGATACCTTTTTCGGATCCATCCACCAAAGGGGAAAATTCCACTTACACGCAGAAAGAAGAAATAGAAGTAATGAGGACAATGACCCATTTTCGGACGATGTTGAAGTTGCGAGGGTTTTCCTTGTCACCGGGTCCCTCCCAGACAACCTCGTAGGGCTTCGTCTTGGTGCGCTCCACGGCAGCCTCTTCGATTTCATCCTCGTCCACATCGGCCACTGAGTAGCCGTCGGTGGCCACAGAGCGTACCCTCCCCATGGACTGCGACCGTGTGGCTGATGCCCTCGAGCCTGATGTGGGGGTGGGATGGATGGTCTCTGCCTTTTCCAGGTCGACCTCAGACTCGATTCGCGAACCGATGGTGTTGACGCTTGTTGAAGACGAGACGGAGTCCCGCGGTCTCTGGAGATCAGCCATCTGTGGTGGAAGCTTTTCGCTCTTGCGATATTGCTGTATTGCGGTAGTGGCACGAGTCAAGGGACCTCTTGGGGGATACTACTATATATCTAAAAGACAAGTTGTTATAGTATAGGATGTTTCGTTGTCGAGGTCGAGGTCGAGGTCGATGCTGATGGTATTGCCGATTCACAAAGCCTTCCCATTGCATTGCAATGCTTGGAAATATATAACAACACTCCATTGTTAAAGCCGCGACGAGAGTCGTTAGTAAGTATGCGCCTGTTGACCCAAAAGGAGCACCTCTGGCTTGGGGCTAGGGAATCCTCCACAACGAAACCCGCCGTTGCGTTGCGCGATTTCAAAGACATGGGAATCCGGATCTCGACATTTTGGTACGACGCTTGAGTTAGTAAGCGCCCACGCGCCCAACATGCCAATCATCACACCATGATAGGCTGGGGGAAACCCGCTGGGCTAGGGTTTGGAGGACGTAGAGCGCGAAGCCCCAGTCTACGGCCTCGGCGATTAGCCCCCTCGCGGATGAGGAAGTGCGAGATTTCAACATCCCCTGGCTTTGTTCACGGCTGTTCCCAGCCTGGGATGTTTTCGGCGCAAAGGCTAGACTCGTGGTGATGGGACTGGCAAGTTAGCGACCACTACGAGGGGACCTCGAACATGCAGAAGACTCCGGCTTTAGACTGTGGCTTGTTGACCAACAAAGGTATGCGACGGCCAGGAATCGTTACAGACTCACCATAGGCCTCGAGGCCGACTTTTCCGGGGTGTCTGGAGGTGGGCGTGTAAGTCACCAAAGATGATTAGTATCTTCATCCTACCGATTACCTACCTAGTGTCTACCAGATTCGTCGCCCAGTGCATCTTGAAATCTCACGATCTGCGCAGGACTGTTGTAGTGGGGATGGAGGAGATGTTGGCTGTTGATGACCAAAGCACGGCATCCTTGAATCGTTTTGCCATTCCTCTCTTTACCTTCAAGGTTCGTAGAAGCATCTCTACGTCATCTTTTACGAAAAGGACTCTCGGTCTTGTACGATGTCATGTACGACAGATGCTAGCGCCAAAGCCAAACCAGATTCGGCGCGCACATTGCTTCGTTCATGTTGGTGGACCGAGTACGAGGTACTCATCCCTAAGGCCTGATGGCTTCTTCTATTACTGGGCTTCTTTCTCTTCCACGCATTTTTCTGGAATATCCTATACGACATCATAAGACTCGGACAATAATGCACAGATCCATCTACCAATGGGTCTGGTGTCTTGGACACCGCCACCGCTGCCACTCAGCTATTGTCCGCTTCACTGCTTATCTCATAAACCCTAGCGTCCTAGCCTACTTGCCTAGCTGCGGGCCCCCCCAGACGAAGCTGCCCTTATAGCCGTCGAAAGTCCGTCGCTTCGCCCATCAGATCTATCGATCTCGCTCGTTACTTTAAAACCGACGCTTGAAGCCTTGAGTGCTGTTACATCGGATTGTGTCGGCGCGTGCAAGACATGGCCCGACATCTCCCGTCACCAGGTGCCGTCACTGGGAGACCAACAACACTGCACTTCAGGAGATGAAAATCCTTGAGGGAAAGGGGACCGGTAAGCAATCTCTCTGTCCGCACTGAAAACGGCACTGGGCACGGCACGCAGATCCAGGACTTTAATTACAAAGCCGCCTTTCACTTTAACAATGCCTGCCTGACTATCTTTCCCAGACCTGCCAGTCGATCTCGTGGCTCGTTCGAGAAAACAATCCGTATGTACTGGGCTTCCTCACTGGAGCCCCATCCAACCATCGGAGTCACGCAGGCTCCTTGTTCAAGAAGCGCTTCAGCAGCGGCGTCGGCCCGCCAACCCAGCGCATCTACACGCAACAACAGCGACCATCCACCGCTGGGCTTGCCAACGGGCAGTCCACTGAGTTCTTTCAGACACAGATCCCTCCGAAGCTGCAGCTCATGAACATAATCGACAATAGTCGTCTTGGACATCCGAAGCGCCTCCTGCGTAGCTCTTTGCGCAATACCTACGGGAACAACAACATTGGCCATCGATACTAAGCCGATGTCCTGCATAATGTGCTCGGGACCAACAATCCAGCCTACTCGCCAGCCGATCATGCGCAATTCCTTTGAAGCCGAGCCCACTGTTATGGTTCGATCCGCCATGCCCGGGAAGGATGCTGGGTGAATAACCGGCAGGTCGTCGAATAGCAGACGCTCCATGGCTGCATCATACACCAACAGTATATCATGCTTGACACAAAGTTCGGTGATGAGCGTCCAATCTTCCCGATTGAGGTAAGCCCCGGTTGGCATGCTGGGAGACATGAGTAGCATCGTTTTTATCTTGTTGTTTGGCGATTCCACTGCTTGTCGCAGCTTCTTCCGGTCCAGGGACCATGTTTCCCCCGGGTTAAACTGCAAAGGGACCAAACGTGGGACGCCACCAGCAAGCCGGACTCGATTGAGCAACCCAGCGTACACGGGTTCCGTCATGAGGACACCATCCCCTTCTTCCACAGTCGCCAGCAGGGTATTGAGGATCCCGCTCAGACCCCCAGCAGTGATGATGCAGTTCGCCTCGCCATTGTATTTGATCGCGCCCTTGGTCACGGAGCTTACATGCTCAGCAACAGCATTCCTGAGGTCAAGCTGACCGAGGAACGGTAGGTAACTGTTGTCGTCATCGTTTGTGGCCGCAGCAGAGGTCAGGTTCTGCACAATGTTATCGGGAGGAATGTCGACGTCAAGATTCTCCAGGCGTAGCAGCTTCTCTCTGAGAGGGCCGCCTTGTGACTGTTTTACCTTGACGTTGTCCGCAATATTGCCCATCTTGTCGACCCCGATCCCATGAAGTGCCTGGAGCCTTTTTGGTCTGTGGCGATTCATTTTCGTAGATATCAGATATACCTGAGCTGCAGAACTGAGTCCCCGCGGTACTGATCTCGAACTTTGAAGATCTAGGTGGGTTTAATGCGACGGTAGATGGCGAGTAGCTTGAAGGTCGCGCCCTTTGACATGGTTGAACCACTTCCGGATTTACGCAAAATCTTTCGTACCTTGAACCAAGTCACGCTTACCCTCGGCTTTTTGGGATCGGTTTATCTGAATTGACCGGCTTGGGAATGAAGGTGGAGCTGGATACGACCGTACTTGTCGATGACAAACGAAAAGTACTTGTACGCGGCTGGTTAATTCAAGGAGAAGCCGCCTACCTGGCGCTGGTTCCCTGGGTATCTAGATGACAACACGATATCGAGTATACCCAGGTAGGGAAGCCTCTGGCGCCTAACACTCCAACCCGGTGAGCCCCAGGGCGCCTAAGGTCGAGGATCCCGCTCCAACTAGCGCTTAAACCCTTAGTGGCTGGGGCACAAACACATATAGATGTAGCAGCTATTGCTTAAATCAACACGGGTCGCTCGTGCATCTCCTTGATCATACCTATCAAGTTTCGCTGCCAATGACGGGTTCTTCGTGAGCTTGGCCTGATGCAGATCCCAACATGAACGGTGAGTGTCCAAAGAGATAAGCGGATTTGCAGGGCTCAATCAGAAGCCTGGTTTTGAGGCGAGCAGTCGCACCGAGTATTTTGCCATCCATCAGCCCTCTTGCGTGATGGCCAGGTCAGCTTTGCCCATGGCGGAATCCCATTGCTCCAATCCACCACAAGCACAACAACGTTCTTTCTTCCTTTCCAAAGATGCAACTTTCGATAAGAGTGAGGAATGATCGGGTCATCTATCCCCAAAAGCAAAGACAGAACGGGAGATAGATATCCAAGCGCGAGAGAAAAAGGAGAAAAGACTGTCATCTTGTCGCGCACGTGACTGGCCGGAGCAGCCATGTCCACCGTGTTTGTCGGCAGCAGCAGGCATCGACACCTAGACGATGAGCTGGCCTCAAACGGCTCCTCGATCTCGCTGGACGAGCAGGCCGAAGCCCTCCTCAAGCCGCCGGAGAAGAAAGCCGATGCTGCGAGCGCTTCACCGCAGGATGTGCCACCCTTGGGCCTGCCCCATCACGAGAAGAGGTTCTGGTTCCAAAGAGGTGAAGCATACGATCCTCACGCAATCGCAACTCAGGTCTATCTCGCCGCCTGCTGTGGACAGCTATACGGTAGGCTGACTTACTCTACAGGCAAGCGTGTTTGATAATCCGGACACCGCGAGGGAGTATCTGCCTCGGCCAGATTGGCAAGTTTCTCCTGGTATTGGCCATCGCATTTGTTTTGCAGCTAACAGGCAGCGTCGTCAAGGGAAAATCTGCACCGTTTCGACCCGTCTGCGCGATGGACCTGGGGCGAAGAGTACAAGATGATTCGCAAGATCGATGCGCGCATCATGGTCTTTGCGTGCATCATGTTCATGGCCCTAGAACTTGATCGCGCGAACATCACGCAGGCTTTGACCGACAACTTCCTCCAGGACCTCCATTTGACGACAAACGGTGTGAAAACACTTCATGACGCAAAAATCCCTCCCAAGGATCTGGGACAAACTGACCGATTTTCTTATCCGCAGACTACAATCTCGGCAACACGATCTTCAAACTTTCCTTCCTCTGCGCTGAGGTGCCGTCTCAACTGGTGTCGAAATGGGTTGGTCCCGACCGCTGGATCCCCATGCAGATGGTCCTGTGGTCCATGGTCGCTGTGACCCAATTCTGGCTCCAAGGGCGCACCTCGTTCCTCGTCTGTCGCTGTCTATTGGGGATCTTACAAGGGGGCTTCATCCCAGACGTGAGTGCTCGAGAAGGAAAAACCACCCTTGAGAGAGGAAGCCTCCCAAAACAAAATCTGCCGAGCACTTTCTTACCCGTCAAATGCACAGGTCATTCTCTATCTGTCGTACTTCTACAAGCACCACGAGCTGTCGTTGCGGCTGGGCTTCTTCTGGACCGCCATGAGCTTGGCCGACATCATCTCGGGCTTCCTGGCCTACGGCGTCCTGCACATGAGAGGCGTGCAGCGGCAGTCTGGATGGCGGTGGTTGTTCCTGATCGAGGTGCGCTGCCTTTCTCCCTCCTCTTTCCCAAGGTCCTCGTTGGTGACAGCATGACGTGCTAGGGACTATTGACTATGTCCGTCGGCCTGTTGGCGTTTGGACTGATGCCTGCATCTCCAACGCAGACTGCAAGCTGGCTCCGGGGGAGGAATGGATGGTTTACACAGAGGTAAGAAGGGACTTCTCAGTTTCCAAATGATGTAGGCTCACTATTGTTTTGTAAACAGGGAGGAGATCATCATGGTCAACAGAGTGATCCGCGACGACCCCAGCAAGGGAGGGATGCACAATCGGCAGGCGATAACTCCTAGCCTCCTATGGCAGAGTCTGAAAGATTTCGACCTCTGGTATATCTCCAGCCTTATCCCAGTCCTACCCTAGTGCTAACCATATCGTCCTGTCTAGGCCACTCTACATCTTGGGCCTCACGTTCCAGATCCCCATGACTCCCGTACAGCAATATCTCACACTATCACTGCGCGGTCTCGGGTTCGATACATTCCAGACGAATCTACTGGCGATTCCCTATACCGTCTTCCACAGTACGTGTCCCTCATCCATCCGTCCTAAGGAAACCAGAGAACCCAAACTCCCCAGAGGTTCAAGCCGCAGCTAACGCATTTTCCCGGACAGTGATCAATATGATGCTCTTAACCTACGTGGCCGAGATCCTGCAAGAGCTCACCTTCACCGCCGTGACGGGCCAGATCTGGGCGCTGCCGTTCCTAATCTTTTTCAACAACGTCGACACCTCCAAGATGAACAAATGGGCCATGTGGGCCGTCACGACTCTGCTGCTGAGTTATCCCAATGGTACACAATTTTGCATATGACATTTTTCCCCTTTTCCCAAATGTCTGCAATATTGGGAAGGAGAGGCTAACCAAGGTCCCAAATGCCAGCCCACCCGATCCAAGTCGGCTGGAACTCGCGCAACTCCAACGCCGTGCACTCGCGCACCGTGTCGGCGGCCATGTACAACATGTTTGTGCAGGCCGGGGGTGTTGTATCCTCCAACGTGTACCGAGAAGGTCAGTTTTCTGTTTCTCTTTCTGTTTCTCCGCTATTTAGCGGCGCCCGGCGGGTGACCTGTCACCTACGTAAAGGACAAAACGCCCAATCACCATTCTCTCCTTACAGACCTGGAATCCCTACACCTTCACCCCCAAAAGTACACCATAATATCCAGATCCCTTCAATCCCCCAAAAACCCCTTGTGATATATCTGACCATATGGTAGACGACGCCCCTTCCTACCGCCGCGGCAACCGCGTTTTGCTGGCAGTCGCCCTGCTCAACATCGCCCTGTACCTGCTGACCAAGACGTACTACGTGCTCCGCAACCGATACCGAGATCGCAAGTGGACGGCCATGACCGAGACGCAGCAGCTGCAGTACCTCTCGAAAACGCGGGACAGGGGGAATAAGAGACTGGATTTCCGGTTCGCGCACTGAAAAAGTCCGCAAAGGAGGGGAATGGGCATCGGAATCGGGAAGGCATCTCAATGCGAGCGATGGTGGTTAACGGAATCGGAAGATGGGGTCATGGAGGGGGATTGTGTAGATGGATGGATGGGCTGGAGGTAGAGGGTGGAGGATTTGTAGGAAGGATATCAAAGGAATCAGGGGAGTCAATGACGGGGGCGGGCTGTGATTTCTTGTCTCTAACTATGAATAGTCGAATCATCACTTCAATATGTTCAGAGCATCTCCCACTCGAACATTGAAGACCCTTTTTGAGTGTATGTCGGAGATATCTATCACTTCCGTGTGCGGCGCCTCTCCCTCTATCCCTCGCACACGAGCATCGATTGACGAAGATCTTACAATCATCACATCACCATCTGGACGAACCATCAGTAAGAAAAACAAAAACATTTAAAAATAGCGGCGATGGTGGGAAAAGCTTACCCGAAAGCCTCTTCGAAGTACTCGACCCCACGCTTGCCCTGCTTCAGCGCCGCGTGCACCGCTGCCCTTGCCTCGTCCGCCATGCCGCCCGGACCGCAGGTCAAGATGGCGATCCGACCGCCGGCCTTCCCGGCGTTGTGCACGTCGTTGATGATACTCATGATGGTCGCGGAAATATCGGGTCGGCCGTGCGAGATGGTGAGTCCGTCATCGCTGATGTTCGTAGCGGAGCTGCCCTTGAGAACAACATCCTTGTTGTCGCAGGCAACGGCGTGGTGGTCTTCGTCCTTGGGGGCATCGAGGCTGCTGCTCTGCGGTTCTTTGGAGGTTGTGACGTGTAGGTGGATGTGGATATCCTCGCGTCCAAGCATGGGCTTCAGCTCGTGTGCTACAACGCTGCGGATCATGGCGGACTGCTTGGTCGACCAGACCAGAGTGATGTCTCTCGTGCAGGTAGCCACTTTCCTGCCTGGGCGTGGTGTTTGTCCATTGTCACTTGTTCTTTTGACATGGTCTTGCAAGTAAGGCATCGCCCCCGAGATTCCGGTTCCACCGACAATGAAGACGACATTCTCATACGTGTGCAAGGGGCTGTGCTCACCGTACGGGCCTTCAATGAATAAACGTGGCGTGATGACCCCGGTAGGTGATTTGAGACATTGATCTCGAAGACGCCTCGTCCAGCTGCCAAAGGGCCGGATAAGGAAGGAGAGTTTTTGCCGACCGACCTTATCTTGGAATAGTGCGAGTTTATGCTGTGATGGGTCTGGCGTCACATCCATGGAAGGAGGAGAGGATGAGCTTGCGGCAACCACCTCGGTATCCTTGCCCTCGAGTGCCTCCATGTAAGTCCTTGGCTCGGCACCAGTGTCGACCGTCGCGACGCTGGCTGGCTCAGACTCCCTGACAGTCTCATAAGCTCCCAGAGTGAACGGGTGGTTCTCCCAGCCCTTCCACTTCAATGGCTGGTACAAGAAATAATGCTGGCCTGGTCCTGGTCTGAGCATCCTAGACCCAGGCACGATCTCGAGTCTGATAAAGTCGCCGTCTTTGTCGTATGTTGCCGAGGCCGTGGAGCTAACAACAGCGTGGGACCATCTGATGTGGAGGTTGCAGTATGCCCACCGGGCCAGACGAGCCGCCCGATCAAAGCTCCAAATCGCCACGAGCGGCCATAGGTAACCGTTATATTCTCCGTTGAATATGGCGGTGTGACTGGTTTGCGGAGGTCAGCTAGTGCGAGGGTAAGGAGTAGGAGGTTGGGCACGTACTAAAATAAGCCAACAATGGTCACCACAGAGAGTGCGATGTGAATGAGGAGGAAGACCTCATACGATTTGACGCGGAACCACATGAAAGAGAAGAGCACGATTAAGCTCATTGCAACTGTCGCCTGGACCTCATATTAGCAAATACACGGATAAGTGAGTGGCGTGAGAGCTTACCATTCCTCCCATGTACCAGTACTGCTCCTTCCACGACTCACTGTAGTAGTCGACTAGCAAGACAGTCAGTATCTCTATCCAAGGCAAAGTCCATATGCATGGATCATACAGCCGCCCTCCAAGACCGACCATCCCACCGAATGGACAATCGCCAGCACTGTAGCGCATCGGGCAATGTGCCTGTGGAAGATGTTGAAAGTTGCAAAGCTCCACCCAGTTAGCCACAAGAAGATGTTGTTCCTTCCAGAGAACATCCATAGCCAGGGCAGCATTGCGTAGCAAAGGATGCCAGCGCGATCGGAAATGTAACGCCAGGCCTGTTGAGGCTCAGTATAGCTGAAATCCAGTCAGCAAATATTTCTGGGAAGGAGACAATGAGATCGAGAACCTACTAAAGGTTGGGCCAGAAGATATGATAGCCGACGCAGCACAAGATGAATGTCATAAGCCAGAAGGAGATCACGACTATAGTCTCCATGCGGGTCGGTATTGTAGTCCAGAATAAAGGCCGGTTGTGATGGGTGCCGAATGCTGCGGGAACGATGACATTTGACCTGAGCCAGTGATGAATTGAATTGACAGAAGCAATGACTCCCGATCGAGGCCCTTCGTGACTGGAGGGTCCCTTCCTTCCCTCGACGTCGTCTAGGGTTTTCAGGTGGCGAGACTGATAGAAGTGTTTGGAGAGACGGTTGAGGATGCCTATCAACAGCAGGCCGCCCCAGAACCCGTACATGGCCCAGCTAGAACCAGCTTAACACCGATCTTCAACAGTCTTTGATATTTGCAGAGGGAAAGAACGCACCCGTATCTTTGATGGAGGACGTATTCGAGATCGAAAGTGACCTTCTCATTGTCAGTACAGAAGCAAGATGCAGGCATGGATCGGACAACAAGGACGGACATAAGTGTCTCTCCCAGCCTTGTATAGAGACCTGGAGATCATGACGGATGTGTTGAAGACTGTGAAGTCTTCAATGTCGCTAAATTGGGCAATTGGAAGAGACTTGATATAGTCGTCGGTGAGAATGGGGAGCACCTCGGCATAAGGAATGAGTTTGACATTGCTATACTCCTCACAGTATCCTGCAAACTGCTTTTCGCCGGCTGCAATTTCCCGAGGTGTGCAATAGACCTTTCCAGCAGCCCACATAGATGTCACGACAAGTTTGTTGGTGCAGGCATTGGTGTAGTAATCAGGGTCTCTTTCATTGAAAGTGAGGTATGAAATGGCTGTCTGGACGCCATCCAAGCAACCAGTATACTTGTCTACGACCCCTCGTGAGAGGCCGCACAGGAAAAACAACAGGCTTAGCGTCTTCATATCCAAAGTATACCAAGCAAAAGCTTGTGAGAGCGCTGAAGGGGACATCTAGAGCAGAAAAGAGACATCCTGGCAAACATGTGGATATATAGTTCAATTCTGGACACCCACCTTTGCAAAGAGTTGAGTGGATGGAAAACTGTGTTGGAAGCACCTGACGACACTCCAAGGCAAACCCGAGTAGAAACAACAAAAGTCTTTGGGTCACTCCAGACCTTGGTTGCAACGGCGCTCAGAGAACTCGCTATACCGACGCATACCGTAGCAGGCAGCTGTGAGTGGTTGTGGTGGAGACGCTTCTTCCATGTCCGAAAACGGTTGGAAGATTATCGGCGAAAATTTTGATAATCTTATCAGATAAAAATTCGTATTGGGTCTAGTGGGATCCAGACAACGACTTCCAGGTCGACAAAGCGTGACTGATTGACTCTTCCCTCCCACCGAACCACTTGGTCTCTGGCTGCTCGCGCTTCGTTGCCAAAGTCAGTCAGATTTTTCATGCAAAGTCTCAGGATCTTAAGAGTCCAAGCCTTTCCAGTCCGGGATCAAGTGTGGTGTAGATCTGGGTGGCTTCTTGAGTCTGGATTGCGACAACGCATGAAGGCCCAATGCTACAGAGTAGGAGTTGCAACATGCCCGATATCGGCCATGTATGTCTCTTGAGGGTCTGTCCGATGAGCTCTTTGCATAAAGGGTTACATAACGAAGGGAGACGTACCTAGGTACCATTGTGCATGAGACCATGCCTCGAGGTATACCCCTTTCTTCTGCGAGGCAAAAACGGTTTCATGGCTGAATACCATTGCCGTTGGAATAAAGCGAGCTGAGAAGGGCGTGTAAAGTGTCAATATCGACGGAATGGAATTCAATTGTCCTCGCTATGCAGTGTCTGGGTCGACCATGCCCCCACCATTGTCAGTCGATAATCGCCATACAACTCACATTGTAAGCCGGGTCCCACAGGCGTAACTGGAATCTTGTAGAGTCTAGTTGCGTATAGACATTCTGTGGACCTTCCTCTCATGATCCAGTGGCCACCGCTGGGAGGGAATGAAAAACTGCTCGTGACTCAAAATATGGGCGAAGCGATCTATCTTCCTCGAGCGAACCCAGCATCCCAAGCACGGTGGATATCATCATGCAGTGGTAGGCAAACACCTGGTAATTCCGCACATGCCAATCCCAACCATCCTTCAAGAGGTCAAGAGCGGGTATCCGAGTCTGTTTTCCTCGAGGTGGCTTCCTTCAGGGCGTACATTGTGTCTTTTACGAGTGATCTCGAACATATTCGGCTTAGAAAAAATAGCGCTATTGTCAAAGGGATGCCTGTCTGCGAAGATCACCGATCCTGAGGCCATAGTGGAAAGGAGGAAGGCTTCCGGTGGTGTCCGACGAGGGTAGAAGGCGTAGTTCAGGATCAGCTCATTTGTGCAGAGCTGCGGCAAGGCTGCAAGGCACCTCAACGAGGCTAAAGCGTTAGCGTCTCTCGGCTTTGAAGTTAGACAATTGCCTCAGATGGCACACTGCACGATCCAACCATTAATGCACCTGGAAGGTCGGTATCTTTGTCGCCCTTGGACTAGTACAGGCCTTCGTCGCTTCCCCCTGACATAAATGTGAGATTCTTCCACTTCTCCGACCAAGGAAGTAGATGCTCGGATCGGGCAACGTTTCGCTGTGGGTTCGATGTGGGACATGGAACGGCTGAGACGTGCAGTCACAAGGTGGAATTTGAAGCGAGCTGTACAAACGGGAACCTTGAAATTGACGGGTAATGCGTCTATGTTTGGCAGTATCTACCTGGGAAGGACTACGGTGGCGTGGAAGCACCATCCGTCAATACTTTTGGGATCAGTGTCAATAGGTCGGTACGTGCCACCTCAGTAGCTCGTCCTATTCTCCCAATTTCCCTACGACGTCTACAGCAACAGCATCTATTACTTCTAGCTATGAGTTCTTCGTTATCCCAATCTTCTAGAGAACGAATGCCAACGCAGCACCACCGAATATGACTGCCGCACCAACAGCACCGGTCTTCAATGGTGCAGCAGCAAGCCCAGTGAAGGTGGCAGCGGCAAGCGTGCTGCTAGCTGATGCCGTACTTGAACCATCGCTTCCATTGTTAGCGGTGTTCGAGATGGGCCAGGCGGGTACACCGTCCTCAGTACCATTGACTGGCGGGGTCCAAGAGGCATTAGGATTCAGCACATTGTCCACGAAGATGACGAGGCCTTCAGAAACCGCGAGGTCCACATAATTGATTCCGGCGTTGTTGATGAAATAGTCTCCTGCAGGGGTAACAGAGACTGTCAGGGACTGACCTTGCAACGTGGTCAACTGCGTGCCGTTCTGTAAGTCGTCAAAGTGCCAGACTTTGCCGGCCACCACATGGTATTTGAGCACTTCAGCCAGTTGCTCGGTGCTCAAATCTGAGAGAGCTTGCTGCACAGTTTCGAAGCCATCATTGTCCGGAATTATGTATGTCGCATCGTGGAGGAGATCGACTTGTTCAGTCAGGCCGGTTTCGTTCAGGGCAGTCACGAAGGAACTGCCGTTGAAGTCGCCCGAGGTCACAGTCACGGAGACACTTGGGGGGATCTTCAGCACGCCATTGATGACATAGATCCATCCTTGAGAGAAAGGAATTGGCGTCGGAGGCCCCTCAGGGCTGTAGTCCAGTCCGCCATAGATGCCAACGACATTTTCGTCGTCGTCGTAATAGATACCGATGTTTTGTCCACCTGTCACATTGGTATAATTGCTTGAAGTCAATAGAGTTGGGGAGACGTAATAGTCTGTGATGTTGTTGTATCCTCCATCGATAACATGGTAAAGCAATAGATTCAAGAGGTAGTCGTCACCAGCATCCTCGATTGCCTGGCCAGCCGGAGTGTCCAAAAAAGTGGCAATGGCAGTATCGTTCGGGGCTAGGAAGGTGAGGTTCGTCTTTCCAGCTATAGCATCCAGAAAGCCAGGGACCTCTGAGACCACTTGGCTGATGGTGGAGGTCCCATTCGTGGAGTTGAGGACCGTAATTAGATCTACCGAAGTCTGAGCCAGGACAGCGGCAGCCAGAGCTGCAACGACAAGGCCGTTGGTCGCCATTGAGAGATGTGGAGAGCAAACTGGTGGTCGGCTCGTGCGAGTAGTTGGTACAGAACGAGAGACCATGAAGAGCTGAAGAGAACTGGACATCAATGAGGGCAGCAAGTAAAGTATTTGTGTACCGACCCAGCTCACTCCAGCCCCTTCGGAGAACGACTTGCCTTGAGCTCGCCCTGCGCTCCTGACCGCTCCATCGCGTATTTAATTGACTAATGCAATCCTGAAGGGATTCCAAAAACCATCGAGCAGACAGACTGTTCAGGTCAAGGGCAAGAGTATGGAGCCTTACTGTAGAAGACTAGACACGAGCATTTCCAAGGTAGTAGATCGCGTGAAAAAGCTTTTAGACGGAGGCATCAAGCAAAAAAAGTAGAAGTGACTTTTACTCCCTGCTTCCCGTCTGCGTCCCAACCGACATAGGCGACAACTTCGCAGCTGCGCGAGGGCCGCTCCAATTTTCCCTTGCATTTAACGCACACGTCGGCCGAAGAAAACTGCAGAAAGCTTACTTCCTCGAGCCTGTTTTGGATTCCACGATGGCGACATGAGCTTAGACCCGTCAAGCTCTTCAGCGCCGACACCGGCAGGGTCAGATGAGGAGACTGTTGAGAGCCAGAGAAGCTGGATGATACGGACGATGATGAGAAGGAAAAAATGTTACGACCCATTTGGCGCCTTGGCCCTACATCTTATCAGATAATAATTATCTGATAAGATTTGAAAAGCTTCCGCTGGTGTGGAGACAACCACGACGACTGGGATTATCCGTTGAGCGATTGAGGAGCAAGAGGAGGTACTGGAGTCCAGATGCCAGGACAGTGGCCTGCTTGTATGGTGACTTCCGCCAGCTCCCGTCACTCCAGAGCCCTGACGGATCCGACTCTGTTACGGATGAAGCTTTCAATGGGAAAGCACCTTAGTTACGACCCTATCACGAGATTTCAACGCTGCCTATAATCTTCTATAGCGTGTACTGAGTTCCGCTCAGATGGCTACCGCAAACCTACGAAATCTTTCCTCCAGCTCCTCTAACTCGTAGATGACATCTTGGTGGGAAGCTTCCTGCAGTTTAGCTTTCTCCAAATCATCCACAGGCCCGAAATCACATTGGATACATTTTCGGACAACTTCCGCGTACCGAGGACCCAAGATACTGGCAGCGTCATGTCGTGCACGGTCCGCTGTGTAGTAGTCCGTGTTCTGAGCCTCATGAGCATCCACGTCGGCAGGTTTCCGAAGGCCGTCTGTTCGATCAGAGTGCGGAAGTCTTTGGTGTACCGCCGTGTATTGGTGACCGTCTCTTATATCTGGGTTTTTCATAGGGCGACGTGTAATTTCTCTCCAATGCTGGGACGACCACCGCTCTCAGCTTGGTCGAAATTCAATGCTTTGAGCTCGGCATTAAGCAAACGGATCGAGGTTTTTAATGCCTCACTCGAGTCGGCCATACGCTCGGCGACGTATGTCTCGATTTCTTCATCTTGCCATCGCGGGTGGTCTGCATCTTTGAGCATCTCCGACGCCAGCTCGTCTCCAAAACCTATGTCACATGCCAGGAGCCTCGCAACCGTCTTCCGAAAGATTGTGCGTTGGATGCTCACAACCGACACCAACTCTTCCTGTCCCTCTTGAACCGACAGGATCTCTTGATGCACCTCGCAGCGGTTCAGTAGTGTTCGGCAGCAATTATAATGAGCGGTGCGATTGCGAGTGTAAGACAAATAGCCTCAGCCATGGCCGTAGGAAGAATCGTTCTCAGGGACTCGACCAGTAGCTATGCGTTATTCGAACCCGTTGATAGACCTGTAAATACGTAGGGAAACATCAATGACAGCTGCAGTATAGGGACTTCGATTGGCTTCATCTACCAACTTGAAGCTGGGAATGGAGGAATGCTCGAACAGTTGTCTGCGGCTGGGCTGTGCATGCTGCGGAAATGCCACCTAAAGTGCCGCTGTCGTTAATGGATGAAGAATGTCGCCAACGCAACAATGACATAGATCTTGATCAATAGAGCACCCATGAGCCAGTTCGATTTCCCTTCTTGAACAACGTAAGCCACGACAATAATAGAAGCGAAGGAAATCGCCACGGGAAATCCGTCAAAGTTTAGCGTCATTTCTTCATTCGACATTGCCCAAGCTATCATGACCAATAGTGGTATGATCAGTAGCGCAACCTGCATGCATTTGTCGAGGGTGAGTGATATACTGAGATAGAGTTTGTCCTTAACAGCAAGGAATATTGACTCGGGGTCGTTCGAAAGGATGGGGAAGATGACAAATCCAACAAAAGTCTGTGAAATCCCAGCCTGGTGCACCATCGTCTGAACACTACCTGTCGCGAACTCGGCATTGAAGGCGACCAAAACAGTCGAAATGGTCAAGGTTACTATGGCGACGGCGAAAGACACTGAGGGTTCTTCCAAGTCTTCCTCAGTGTCCTCCGATTCTTGTTCAGCAGCCTTTTTGCCGCGAAACTTTTCTGGGATGATTTTCATTGCGGTTCTAGGATTTTTCGGACAAGGCTCGTCGAACATGCGCCTATTTGTTCTCAACTGGAAAAAGAGATATAGGGCGTAGGAGATTAGTATTATTACCGAAGTTCCACGAGACTGAATAACGATGTCGTGGTCTGTCACACCAGAGACCATGAGGCGTGATGCCGTAGGGACCACGAGACTGACAATGGCTAACAGGAGCATCATGCTGACTGTCTGTGCGACGGTGATGTTGAAGGCCTGCTCAATACGGCCGATGCCACCACAGAAAAAGCACAACCCGGTCATGAGAAGCAAATTTGAGATGATGCTTCCCAGGAGCGAGGTCTTGAGAATTGTGATTTGTTTGTGCTTCAAGAGGAGGATGGATGAGATCAACTGCGTAGCGTTGCTATTGCTCATGTTAGCTTTGTGATGATCTTGTACAATTGGTGTAATGGACAAACCTAAATGTTATGCTGAGCAATGCTCCTTGCAATTCCCCTAATCGGAGACTGAGTTCCTCCACAGCGTAAGATACCATAACTGTGGATGGGATGATTGCAACAAAGTTGATAGCGAATACCGCAGCCGCATTCACATTGGCATAATTGAGAGCAAAGCCAACCGGTACCAACGAAAACAGCACATTGATCCAAGAATTGAACACTGTGGCACGGATCTGCGACCAGGCGGTCAATTTTGGACACTTCTTGTCCTCGTCGTAATTGTTTTCCTGTTCACCCTTTCGCCTTGTGACCCACGATTGGAGACCATGTTTCTGATCTCCCTTGGAATGATATCTTTTACGAGTGGGGATCTCACCGGTACTCTTCCAACGACGAGTCTTTGGCTCTACGTCCTTGGACCCAACCTCTTGGGAGGCGGAAGTTTCAGAACTTTCTGGACTAGTAAAAAGCCTGGGTTCTGTCAAAAAGGACTCGCCATTTTGTGAACCGTCCTCCACGTTCTCTGTCCTTCGTAGAGTATTCGACCTAGTATTGGGCCTCCATTTGGAAAAAGGGTTCCTGATGGGCAGGTTGGTCTCATCATTAGGATAATTATACCAAGCCGACACTTTGGCCTGATGCCTGAATTTATCTGGAAAAGAATCAGCCTCGGCAGTAAACACCTTTTAGTTTGTGGAAGACCTACGCATGATGTAACACCAAACTTTTGTTTGGGCTATTATTTGTGGTGATGAATTCACGTCTTAAGGAGCGGTATATGGAAAAAGCGAAAGCTGAGGGCCCTTAAAAGTCATTTCCAACTCATTTCAGCCTCATTGTGACGATTCCTAGGGTGGTGGACGAAGGCTAGCTGAGTAGGTTAAGGCACATACAATGGGGGCTGTGTCCACATGCATGATTTATCATCCACTTACATGCATGGGGACATAGCCCCATTTACGAACATCGTTACTACATGTTTGGTAGGTAGCCCAACTCTGGGAGCGTGGTAGCCAGCGCCATTTCAGCGCCTAGGCTAACTATTGGGTAAGCTGTTTAGCTAGCTGCGTAAGAGCAGGGGATCTGCCAGCTTTCCTGGACGAGGGTCTGCTCAGCTGAGAGGCCGGTATGGCCGACTTCTGGGGCTCAGTATAGGCCCTGCTTGTCGCTACTCAGGTAGTATCACGCGAGAAACCTGGCCTTCATTGTTGCTCACCCTGCCAGAGCCGTACCCGTGCCTCAAACCGTATCCGCTCAAGAGCCTCATTTCTTCTTTGATTTCTTGAATGTCGCCTGTTCTGATGTTTGGGTAACAATATTGAGTCTTGGTCAACTATTCCTAAGCCCTTGGGCGGGTTTGGAGAATGCCTGAGCCTCCGACGACAGGTCAGTCCGTGTCCTGCCGCCTTACAGACCCTTCGGCCACTGGCAGAGTCCCTTGGCTCTTTCTGTGTCAGAGACGAAGTCCGCACGCACTGGGCCACGAGACATCAAATGCGAAAACTAAGGCCATTTCTTTGTCTTCACGTGGCTACTTTAGGATACTGTAAGTCTAAGCACCCCGTAACGAGACGATGTGTCATGAGACACTTCCCACCAAACCGATTAATGCCATTCATTCTGTGCCGATCACGCTAACAACGCCGCTACGTGCCGTTCGCTACGGAGACTCTCGAAACTCATCTTCGTAATTGCCCCAGAGACTAATTGAACTTCCCTCGGTCTATCCCCACGATCACAGCCTTCCATGGGACGCAATATGACTTGTTATTGTGCACCCAGTGCAAAGCTCATTGTGACCCATCCTCTCTGATTTCCCACTGCTCGAAACTCTTGCACCGCTTGTACATATTGCTGGAGAAGAAAGGGGCGTATAACATCCCTCGGCGCGGAGGAAGTCAAGGAACGTTTACTAATGTCTAGATAGATCCGGTGCTCACGCTCAGACAGTCCGCCCGATGGTCGTTGCCAAAACTGTGTTCGATTCAACGAGGATTGTGTATTTTTGACATCGCTGGTCACGCCGCTCAAGCTTAAGCGCTTGTCAAGCCAGAGACATGAGAAGCTGACGACTTGAGTGGTGCTGACAAAGTAGAAGTAAGTTCTTTGTTCTCCCGTATATTGACCAACCTTTGGGTGCCGGTGCCCCAATGGTGCCATGATATACACCAGGGCTAATAGGAGTGGACCGTACAGGCCCGTGGAACCGACCAACCAGACATCTCCAAAAATGAGGGAGAACCAACGAAACTAGTTCATACTCTACTGGTCGAGGCAGCAATAAAGGCCTGGGTGAACGGGGGTATTCAGCCAATATCTTCAGATGCACCCCGAAGGAACGATTTGCTGAGCTTCACTGCTGAGGACGACGATGACATGGCTCCCTCCATCGATGATAAGGTCACCCTTGAGGGTGGCCTTGCTGAGACTGGCAATCAGGCTGAGCTCTTTCGCTGGAAGAACGGCAAGGGGTAGTCTCTCCGGACCGGTTTACCTTATGTCCCCACTCCTGGGGTCAAGACGAGCTATGAGCTTCTTGATGAAGATAACCCGTTTTACGCCCCGTCGAGTTGGGATCCAGAAAGGCCCCCCAGGAAATGAAAACGCAGGGGAGCGCTGCCTGAAAGCCCGCATATAGCAGTGTCACAGCCAAGCGGCGATGGGCTGATCCGAAACAAAAGTGGAAGGAAGGACACGTCTTTCGTTCAATGCTAGGGTGTTCCTATGTATGTAGGTAGCTACTCCTGGGGGAATAACCACACGTTTTGCCAAGGTCTACAGGCCACTAGAATATCGCCCACTGTGGTAAATGCGAAATTAGCCAGCAGCTCAAAGAAAATGCCGGGTTTGATCAACCGACCATCGACAGAGTCACTGGGAGGTGGAGTACCCTCGCACAGAAATTACCAAACAGTGAAAGAGTCTCGTCATTGACCGGACTTAATTGGGGCTGTTGCATACTAGGCCGTCAAGGACCAGGACGATTTCCTCAGTTTGATAGCCAGCCACCAATATTCGGCCGGGTTTTGACACAACTAGGGAATTTTCTAAGTGCCTTCGCCCCTCTTGATCTTGATGTTTCTAAGTGCCCGGGTTCAAGTTTCAAGCGACTGCGTTGCTGGAAGCCTCGATCCCAGAAATAATGGCCAAGAGCGCGAGCATCACTGTTTGTATATATCTGCCATTAGCAACTTCTCTTCTCAGAACACGAACCCCACGGAGAGTGTGTGAGTGGAGTGAGACTTACATGTCCCTGCTGTCAAGATGAATCCTGCGACCGTAAACGCCGTCTGCCAGTCACCCGACTTGATACTCCAGGTCAGTCCGACCACGGTCGAGAGCACCAGCGGTGTCATTCCGGCAATTGCGATCCTCGTACCGTTCCACCCCTCGACGAACTCGAGTGCATGCCGCTTGTCCGGTCCGCGAAGACGGAACACCCAGTCGATCCAGACGGTGTCTGTGTGGATCTGAGACGGGTGGTTGCAGGCATAGAGGATTTCTTGCAGGACAAAACTGTCCAGTTCGACGACTGTCGGCCGATTGTTGGAGACGTACTAGAGGGACCGGACAAACATAGTATTAGCAAATTCAGATCGTTGAGGGGGGCAGGAGACTCATGTATTGGAGTTATAGATCGAGAGGAAGGCTGTGCTTACCGAAAGCAGTCTCATCCCACGGAGGGTTTTCAGGAAGAAGACCCTCCGCCAGAAATTGCACATTTGATGACGGTAGGCGTCTCTCACCTTCTCGAAGAACTCCACATCGGACACTATCAACTCCGGGTTCTCTGTAACTGCTTTCTGAAACGTGGCGTCGTCCTTGAACTGCGACGCCTTTGCGACTCGAACCTGGACCATTTTACAACCCACTGCTCCCGAACGATAGCAAACTAGGTTTAGAGAACATGTTGGTTTCGTTGAGACATACGTTTTTGCTTTACCCGTGCCTTCCTCGTCGGCGTTGGTTGAGGACGTGCTCCTTTCATGCGGAGCAGATATGGCCATCTCATGAATGATCGGATTGTTGTTACCAGGCATAACAGTTCCCTCCACGGGTCGCGATTCCCCTGCGGAATTTGGGAAGTCTTCGATTAGTGGAGTCCAGACCTGGAACGGCTGGCCTGTTGGGGGCACAATATCCGATAGAGTTTGTCCTGCCTCTGCGGGTTTCGCTGTTGTTTCAGCATCGTGGACATCCTCTTCATGTGAAGATTTGGGCTCTTTTGTAGGTGGAAGTGTTTGGGAGAATAGTCCTTCTTCCTGAGGACTAGTACTGCGAACAGAGAAAGCGGGCGAAGGATCTGCTGCCTCACCGCGCTCTTTTACAAGTTCGTAGTGCTGAACGATAGTATGGGACACCTGCGGAATGGTAAAACTTTCAAGTCTAGCAGATATAGCTTCTTCGTCGCTTTGGGGTGTCGACTGCACCATAGATTCACTGGCCTCAAGCTGGCGCTGGACTAAGCTAATGCCCAGTGGCGGAGAATTGGGTATCTCGGGGCGACGGTCCGGAGTAAAGTCATCCGGCTCAATTATCAGTTGTATCTCCAGGTCGTTTCCTTCCGGAGAAAATAAATGTATAACAGCGTCTCCTGATCCGGAGGTCGGTGTATGTAGCTCCCTGTCTGTCACAATGAAGGGGGATGATATCGCATCGGGCCCAGGGTGACATTTTGGAGTAGAGTCATTCGGCTCAGATATCTGTTGTGCCGGCCGTTCGGGCGGATATGGTGTAAACTGAGAATGTGGTGCCGAAACTGGAAATTCGAAGCAGGATACCCGTGGGGGTCTAAATTGTAGGGTGTCTCCTTCATCGTGATCAGCAACACTTGATTGCGGTTCTCTTGGGGACGATGTCGGTGAACGCCGCTGGAAGGACCGTCTTCGCTCCTTAGTTGGCAACCTGCTGCTGCGCTTGGAGACCGGTGTCATGTTGGCGAAATAGTACTGCGCACACCCTTGATCGCCTTGTCAAGAGGCCGTCAAATTGGGACACCAAAAATATTGAGAAAGGGACACCAAGGAACCAAGGACGCAGCCGCTGGGAACATAACGAGGACGGCCTCCATTTTGAATCCTGTAGGATACAGCATGATGAGGCTGAGCCCCAGGTGGTGCACATGTTGCTGCAGCTCGGTTACATTGTGGGAGAAGTACTCGGTAGTAATTGGGCATCTACGCCAGCCATTGGGGCTGAGGGCAGCGACCAGTGCCCAACCACCAATCATCAACATCGTTGTGACATATACAAAAGAGGAGCTCGAGAAAGTCGACGCTCAACTCGTCAACGGTCATCACATTTGTGTCAATTGGGTACATACGAGATCCTGATAAGGGCGGGAGAGCAGCTAACACCAGCTCAGCCTTACACAAGGCAGATGGCGCAGTCGCCCCTGATCCAGTGAAGATCTTGGCCGAGGATAGTGTGCAGGGCGCTTTGCAAGTACGGCAAGGCGTTAGGTGAAGGCAAAAGGCTCCGTCGAACAAAGTGTCTCCTGCTGCGGTCCGTATGGTGCCCAGGTGGCTTCCTGCTGAGGTAGAGAGGTCAGGCCCACTGCATCCTTGCTTGCTCGGTTGCTCGCCAGGACCAAATCCATAGCTCTGCCATCAGGAATTTTGGTCTCAACGGACCTAGGAGTTAGTGAGGAGAGGCAACAACGTTTCAGGGGCACCTCAGCCTTGTTGCCACCAACAGCAGAAGCCCGCTAATTGATTTGCCGATTGTACCTCGTACTAGATATTGCCATAGCATGCACACGCCTTAGTTTCTGGTCCTGGAGCATTACCAAAACGCCACTTCCACCGGAAAAGAAGTGCGACACTTGTTTCTAGAATGCAAGGTACGTGGCTTAAGCAAAAAGTTGGCGTCCCAGAGTCTAGCAACCGACTTGGCATTGTCGGCCCTTCCATAGCCTTCTTCTTGTCTATCTCTTTTTCTCCACCTTTTGTTTTTAACTCAATAGTAGTACTGGTCACGAGCAAGCATGGTGGACTAAGCAGGTTGTTCTTTGCTGAGAAGAATGATCAGATCCGGTTCGAGATCCCGGTGATGTCATCCCATATCATTGCATATTAGTATGGCACGAAACTCCCTTGCGCCCATGATGAAGATTCTGACCGCGTTGCCTGGATATGTAGCTACTAGATTCCTTATCGAGTTAGACTCCTATTTGCCTCCAGCGATCAATGACGCTCGGTGAGGATAGCTGCAACTGGATTTCGACACGTCTGGTCACATTGTACTAGTAGCGACAAAAGGAAGGCTCCCATCTTGTCATGGACAACCAGTATCTGAGGTAAAAGTAGTAGTAAGCTTACCATTGCCCAGTCTGTTTTGGCGGTCGGTAAACAGAATACGGTAGATATGATCGCCCGAAAGACCAGAGTGACCGATATGATGCGAACAACTTTTGTTGCTGTAAAGAAGCCCGCAAATAGAATGCAACGGTCGGAGGCGGCGCGGAGATATTTTGAATTGTTTCCCTGCCCAAGTTGCGGTTTCCCTGCTCTTATCAGCTTCTTCGTCGGATACCCCAGCTGGAAGGAGTCGGCATCTCAAAGATGAGAAAGAGAGATAACAACCAACAGTAAGCGACCGCGTTATGTGGTATTGCTGGTGGTGAATGTGGCGGAGCTGATCCTAGCCTCCGACGGTCTCGATGTGCAGTTGTCTCAGCCGATAATGTCGATAGTCGACTCCCAGCGTCTCGTCTCCTCATGCGGTCTTGTTCAAGATCATGACTTCTCTACTCCGTTAGGTAGAGCCCCTGTTGACGAAACTCCAGAAAGAGCCCTCACCGAAGTCGCCGCGAAACTGCTGCGGCACCTCATTGGCAACCCTGCCACTGCCGGCGCCCGTACCAGGTCCACCGTTGAAATCGTCTTCGGATATGGAGAAAGGCTGCGCAATGGCCAGGTCATTGTACGTCAAGTCTGCGACTGGCCGAAAAGGGGTCCTATCAAATGCATAACCGGAGCTGACTGGCGGGGCTGTCGATGACGCTTGCTGGAAGGGCGTACTCCAATCAGGCATATCTCCGAACGAGGCATTGCCGCAGAATAAGGCCGACTGATGTTCTTGTTGTGGTCGCTGCTGTTGCTGTTGCTGCTGCTGTTCTGCCACGGGAAAGAAGGAGGCTGCGCCATGAGAGCTAGGCGTCACAAATAATTCCGAAGAGTGCTCGTCTGATCTAGGACTGCTAGACTTTGATGTCGACACCGGAGATGGTTGATTCTTCTCTGCTCGAAGCAGCAAATTCTGAATGACATCGGCGCCTTGGCCAGCCACTTTATTCGTATTGCGGATTGTTTTGAGTCTGACAAGGGACTCTTTGATGCATCTGAAGGCTTGTGAAACCAGCTGTGCATTTTCGTGCGGAAATGCGATCAACACAGCCAGCATGGAGACGCAAGGCTCGACGGATAAATAGGTCAGGGTGAACATCTTGTAGTGATGAGGAGAGAGGGTTTCGAAAAATCTTTGCTGGGCTTCCAACATGTGGATGCCCGCTTTCATGATCTCGCTTCGGCTTTTGGAGTTTGAAAAGATATAGGGCCGGTGAAGCAGAAGGATGAATAGCCATATAGTCGCGCAGAAGAATTCGCGTTGTGCGGCAAGCATAGGACATTCCTCGTCGAAGGATGTGTCGGGATTTTCGAATCGGTAGATGGCTGGGATGGTTGCAATATACTCCAAGGCCCCTTGGTGAAGACGTTCCACCTTGCTATAGTCTCGTGGGTAAGGCCCTTCTAACTCTAACTCCCTGATTTGTGGAAGGTGCTTGTGCATATGGTACTCGAGCAATCGCACTGTGAAGGTATTCGGTGTCTCGTATTCGCTCCTTTCGAAAGGAGCTGTAGATTTTCGGTTCCTGGGGATTTCGCAGTCTGTTGGCGGAACCACTGTATAGTCATTGGCCTTGAAATTGAGTGGTTTGCCTAGGACCATGCCCATCTCGCTGGAGCTGCCGTTAGCTGCGTCAAAATGGGCCGCCGGGCCTTATATTGTCTCACTCACCTGTCCCAAAGGTAAAGATTCAACATCAGACGTCGCCGTAGCACGATATCCCATAGCTCCACACAGGCACTCTCGGCGTCAGTGGCGTATAGTTTGCCATCGTCGCGATGGATGCCTATCTCTTGCGCATTGATGGTTGCTTGGGCAACGACGTGCCACGCTTCAGCAATCAGCCCGCGGTTCTTGAGCCATGCAGTGCGCAGAATCTGTGCTGCAATATAGTCCAAATTGATGACATTTTTTGGGAGCAGGCTCAGAAGCCGCATCGTGGGATCGTCTGACGGTCCATCTCCATCCACAACAATGCCTTTGATACAGAAAGTGTGAAGGTTTTCAGAACGGCCAGCTGGGAGGAACTGCAAAGCGCAGACCAGGACCTGAAAGAGGAGGGCCGAAAATATAAGCCTTTGGGAGGGAAATGTCCGTTCTGGTTGGTAAAGGGGCGAGGTAGGCTGATGGTAGTACTCCTCGAGTTTGGTTGTGAAATAGTTTCGGTCGAGGATGGTGTACTGCCAATTGACCTCGTCGAAGAAGACTTCGACCAGATCTCTCACGCAGGCTGAACATGGCAGTTGTTTCAGCACGGATTTGTAGATGTCGTAGGCGGCCTGGCACAGAGTGACATTCTTCTGATTCTGCGATGGACGGGGACTGCTCCCCAACTCCAGGTTTTCCAGTTTCTTGACGATACCAAGTGAGTTGTGCACGTTGACGTTGGAATAGCCGAAACAAGCGAGATCGGGGCTCCAGGTCTCTTCACTAGCAGATTGGTAATCTTGTGCACTGAAGTCGGGCGCCTTGGAGAAGGCGTCGACATACGCCCCCTCGACGGGCTTCTGGGAGCGACTGGAAACGTATCAACACCAAGGAGATAAGACGCTTTTCGGGCGTCGCGGGGGAAAAACGACTCACCCAGGAATCGCATCTCCATAGGAGCAGCTGTCTTGCTTTCCACGGAGCACACAAGTCATGCACGGCGTCTCCCTGTTACACTGTTTGCTACCGTCAGTCCCCACGGACATTGTGTGCCGGAAGGGCCTGGAAAAACCTTTTGCTTGCTATGGCGGCAGTTTGTACAACTAAAAGTGATGCGCATTCGTTTCTTTCGTATTTGGTCGCCCGAAAGACCTGCGGGATGGCGTCGGCTCTCCATAGCGGACTGGCAGGTGTCTCGTTGATGGTGTCTGATTTCTTCAATGAAAGAGGTTCTCGAAACCCGAAGCCTGCGGAGTATCGTCCTTACATAAAGCCGCAAGCGATGGGCCTACCATTCAGCTACTGCACGGACCCGACGGTAAGGCAATTACGGGCGAGACAGGGCCTGGGGTGCCATGGTGCCATGGTGCCATGGTACCATTACTCAGCACCTGCAAAAACACGAGGGCCACCCAAAAGCACCCAGAGGGAGATGCATCCTGATAGGTACATAGGCCTTACCAGTCGGGTTGTGCGGTGCCCGATCCATACCTGGATTTGCCGCCATCTTGACTTGATTTGGGCGGGATGGTGCGAGGCAACCCAGAGGCATCGGGAAGAATTATGCCCCTAGATTGCCCAGCTTTGCTTGTTCGGCGAATCCACCGGCTGGGAAATCATCCTTCCGATCCCACTTCTTCTGGCTTGCTCCGCTCATCCGCGCTGACTTTGCCGGGTATACAAACTCGACAAGCGAGATAACAGTCTGCGCTACCCAACCTGCAGCAGGTATCCAGGAAGGTTGTCCCTGCGGAAAAGAAAACAAAGACAAGGAAGATGAAAATTCTCTCAGCAGCAGAGGCAAATGTAGCACCGGGCGATCGTCGCAATGGAGACACGCGAGACGGTCCCGACGCTCTCCTGTTGCGATGGATCAACACGGTCAGGAAAATTGTGTTCAGCATCGCCACATAGTCGATGAAGCCGAAGCCCCAGGAGGAAGTAGGTGCATCTATTCGGCTGAGCATCATCTCGGAACAGTCGATTCTTGGGAGATGCCTGACAGGCGGACTTTCCAAACCGCTCCTCGCCACGAGGGTTCCAGCCGCCCAATATCAGACGTGGTAAACGACACCAGTACCCGGAGCGCAGGATCTACATTCCATGTCCCGTCAGGCTATCTCCGTGCTTGACTGTGTGCCACTGCTGTTCATGAATGTCGACGGGTGGAAGAGCCTGGGCAAGCCATCGCGTGTCGAGAGACTCCCATTCCCTGAGACAGGAGAGTGGGCACAAGCACTGATCCTAGTCCGCCGCCTTTCCTCCTGCTTTGCCGCATGAGCCCGACACACCAATAATCGAGAAGACATCCTTGATCGGCAGTCACTCAGACTTGCACCGAGCCCGGCCACGTCGATGTCGCCCTACCCATCACATGTTTGAGCAAGGTACCATGCAACGTCGGGGCATACGAAATTGATGCGTGAACGAGCGTGACTAATATCAGAGGATGCAATGATGCAGCTCAAGTGGGTATTGGGTTTTGTTCATGGTGGATGCTTCAGCGTTAGCAAATCCGTCAACCTGGGAATGTATGGGCAGATTTCTGCTGCATCCACCGCAATTTGTCGAAGCCTGGCCCAGCGCATTTGGAATATTGCCACCCCATGTCTCCGAAGCCCCATATATCGCTTCTGAGAACCGCTCCAGACCCCATGGACATACTCGGTAGTTGCGAATTGGGGACAAAATCGACGCTATCGAAGGATCGTATTGACGGTCAACGATGTACCGTGAGTACAGTGGTCGAGTCAATCGACAGGCACGCTGACGTGTTAGAGGCAAGGACAGGCACTGCCATCCAATCGCAGAGTGATATAGCCCGCCGCAGAGTCTCCGGAGTGGTGGCTGGAGGAAAACTGGGCTTCTATCCCTTGCGGTAACGGATTCTCATTTGAAATGCTTCAGTCTTGCAAAGGTTATGCCTATAACTTGACAGTTTAGGTAAACATGGCTTCCAATAAGGTGAGTGGGACAGGGTTTAGGTCTCGGGATCTAATGGTCTTATACACGGAATAAGCATGCCCAATGGATGAAAGCATAAGTGGCACCGATATGGTGAGAGGTCTCAGATATTTCCACCCCGACAAAGAAAGATTCTTCAGGTGCAAAAACATTCAGAGAAATTCATCAATCGAGGTGGCAAGCACAGTCTCAATAAATGTTCAATTGCTTCTCGTGCTCTGGGGTGAGGACCCAACACCGACCTCTCATAAGTCTGACGAGTCTGTGGTCCTCGACGCTAGGGCCTATGCTAGGAATTAAGTAATACGACCATCAGCCCCCCAGTCGAACAGAGGTGTGAGAGGCCGGGATCAGCAGACTTAGTCAATGGCAATGACCATAACCTGCCGTTGGACGAGACCCGCCAATGTTCGAGGCGACCTGGCGACTTCAGAGGCTGTATGCACTAAGAAGAACCCACCCGCTGCGGTGAGGAAAGGAGGAGTCTTCTCACGGACTGGTTAGTCCACAGGAAAGATGCACATGTTATGGGGACTACGAGCCTTCATTCACTCGCTCATGCCAAGGACGTGAGAGATGACGGCACCCGGTGCGCTTGCTCGACTCTTGCGGCAATGCGACTTCCTACCCGTTTTCGCTCTCGGACATCCGGCATCTGAGAAGCCCTTCTCGCCTGTTGGTCACTTTTTCAGGACACAGGAAACGGTATGAGAGTACACGGCAATGAACGTTACAGGAGCCTTGACGCCTTGAAGATCGGCAGGAGCGATAGTGCATGCAAGCGTCAGCGGTCGTCTCCTTGAGAACCTTGGTGGCGCATGCTTTCAGAGAGGGTGGTGCCTGTCCTCTTCCCGAAACCCCTGGATTGGTTGAGATTCGTCACAGCCATCTCCTTGCCATAATTTAAAAGCAGTGGTTCCATATTCCTCCGTGCTGGATTTGCTCAGGCTCAAGACTCCATGCCTGACTCCTTCTGCTTCTGACTGCTTATAATTGTTAAGATGATCACGCCTGAGCCCTTGCTGCGATTCTATTGCTTTCATCAAGCCTCCCCTTTGAGCATAGGATCAATCTTCCTGCCAGACCTGCTCCGAGCATCATTCCTGTCCATGCGAGTATCTAGCCAATCCTGCCTCGTCTCGATTACTATTGTTGCTTGTGCAATACGTTTCGAAGCCCTGGTTTTGCTGTCGAACGCAGCCTCCCAAGAAATCTGCACTGGCCACCGAGTCTATCCCACCTTCTGCGCGGCGAAACTTGATTCAGAGTTGCCGGTCCGGTCCTTGAGTGAGAGAGTAAGGAGCGGTGCTAGAACCTTGACGTCGTCCCGGCTAAATATTGTACGGGTCGATATACGTATTCCCTGCCATAAAGATCCGCGGACCATCTTCTGTGAATGTGTTGAGCATGGAAAAGTCTTTGACCTGCAAAAGCCTTGTCGAGGGAAGAACAAAGCACGGTACATTGCGTGGTGCTCTTGTGAATGCACCCTGGTAGCCTGCTTGTCGAGAGTTTTAGATTCTTCGTGCTTACCTAAACCGACGTCTGATTTGCAGGCAGTTGTTCACAATCCCTGAAGCACCAACGACGTTCCGACAGGCTGTATTCCGACAAGGCTGTGCTGATAGCGTACGATGGGCCCATCTCCAGGATGAATGATTACTGTACCTGCAGAAAAGTTTAGTCAGTCCTGGCGCATTCTAAGCGCTGTAGCTCGCATGGCACAATCGACGAATACGCCCCCTTTCGGCAGTTGCACGACCCAGCGGTATTAACTCAAGCAACAGCGGAGTTCTTCCAACTAGGGCAGTTCGAATCCGTGCTCTGATTTGCCCTGCGGTACAATCATTGCACCGAAGGATAAAAACTGACTGCTAGTCTGCGACTTATCCCGGGCCAGCAATGCGGGACAGGGTCGCCTGTCCCGCACTTGGGCGGGCCGAAATCTTCTTTTGGCCTCTCCTACGGAAAAAGCAGATGCTCTATCTGGAGAGCTCGGACAGAGTCATGATGAGGTTGGAAGAGAGGACAAACAATGCGAACTGCGTCGAGAAGTTGGATGACTGCAGACGGCACCTCTACGAATATTCTTCTTCACCAGCAGAAAGCACTACGGCACTATCCAGCCCTTCAAGCTCCCGGCGTCCACATACGCTATGCATCACATTTTTCTTACCCCAGTCTGCTCTCGTGTCCCGATCCCGCATGGGTCAAGATCTTGAGGAACGACCTCATGACAAACATGATAGGTTTCGGCCAGGTGCCCAGGCGTCGTGTCTAGTCGTCATCCAGGTGTAACATCAGACAGCTGAGACTGTCGGCTTTCTATGCGAATATGGTAAACCAACTCGCAAAGGGATGTCCATCGACCGCTCATGAGGCGGTCGTGTCCACAAACCTAGCAAGAACTAGATCGACTCCAGATCGGACAGCATTGTGAGGCGGCCAATCTTGACAGTAGCTTCGACACCTCCAATCGAGGAGATGAGCATAAGTAATGAGCTCTTGCCTTGACGCTTTGCACTCACACCAGCAGAAGCGACAACGCAGAGCTTCTTGCTCAAGCTCTCTAAACACCCAAGACTATATCAGATTGAAAGAGGAAAGAAGACGGGCGTGCACATTTTGATATTTGTGAGCTAACACAGTCAAGGCAGAGTCTGTCTCCACACGCTAACGCCGAACAACCAATTTCGCCGTGATCAAAGGGCGCTTACACTGGGGAAGTAGTCTCTGATCTTCAGCTGTGGTTACTTGCAATGGACAAACCTCTGGGAAAATGCCATTGAAGCCAGGGAAACGGTGCTCAACACTACATCAAAACTTATTCTGCGGCATTGTGAGCCGATCAGCCACATCTCGAATCCCAAGGACAGGAGATGGTGAAGCAGACTGCAGGCTGGGATGTTCTCAGGAGATCTCAGGACGGATCGGCATATTGCGTGTATCCCGCGTGGTGACGTCCTTCTCCCTCAAGGTTGTGGAGTAGAAAGGTCGTGTTTGTTCAGTTCATTCCCGCGTGGTCAATACACCTTGATCCAGACCGAAATTCGGGGGCAGAAGTGCAACGAAGCCTGTCAATGTTCTCTCAGCCGCACGCTATGACTTAGTATCATCTGCGGAGAGTGGCAGTGCCTGTACAATACTCTTTTCGGAGTAGACAATTGGGGGCTGGCTGTCATTGTCCATTGTACGAGCAGTCTCTCTCCTGACACGGGGTTTTCAAGGTCTAGAGCCATCTAGCACCGAGTGCAGAGTCCTCCAGGGTCATACAACCAGTAAAGTTCAACAAAGTCCGGGGAATACTTATCCATCACATACTCTAGAAAACCTAAAAAGTGATGAAAAAGGCCGGGGAATGTCAATGGCAAATGCTCCGTACTCTGTCTTCGTCAAGCAAGCCTTGATGAAAGGAAAAAGGGGGTGATCTGTTTCTGTAATAATACTCTGTACGTGATAGTGCAGGGAATGGATTTCCAAGGGTTGCAAGCTAAACTCTTCCGCGAACAACTTAGAAATTCAATCTTCGGCATGGGGCGCTAGTCGGTCTTGGCACTGTTTTAGCGCCGATGCCAATTTCAAGCAAGTCAGTCGGACAACTTTTTCAGCAACATCCAGTGCCTCCATCACGTTTATGTCGCCCCCTGGTTTGGATGTCTTCATGTTCTTTCTCACATGCATACGGCGGTCAAAGTTGATGAGGACTGGGAGTTGTTTCTTTGTCCTTTTCTCGGATTGATTGATTGGCTGGCGGTTGTCCTCCCAGACTCGACACCACCACCACCACCACCACCACCACCACCTTCACCTGTTTTGGAGTCAACAGTTTGACTTGTCCGTCCCCTCGGTCGTCCGAATCAACAGGCATGTCTCAGTCTAGTGGCGTGCCATCGGGCTATGCACCAACAGGGAGATCCAGGGCTCCATCTACCTACTACTGTAGGTAACGAGATGATCGAGGGTCAATGGGCTTGTCTTTCCCCCACAACCTCCGGACTCCTGCCTGGTATCCGACTGGCCCAATCCTCCGGCTCGCGTCGTGCGGGCTCGAAGCCCGATTCAGCCACGCCGAACCCCCGAGTCTCAAATTTATATCCACTACCGACAACGACAAACCATTCCTATCCCATGATTTGTTTTTCCCCAAGGTAGTCGTTGAGCGGTGCGTGCTTGCGTGGACGGCGTGTGGTTCGTTGGTTGCCATTTTCTATTTATTTTTTTGGTCTCCCCCCCATCAACACCCTGGTTGTCTCTCCTTTCTCCCCGTTGTCTTTCTCGTGGTGTATATTATACAGCGGTAATAGCCATTGTACTTGCGTTGCATTCTATCTCGTCCTTTCGCATTCATTGTCAGTTTTCGAGTCTTTCGTTGAATACGTCGTCCAATACCCTCTTTTGCATCTTGACTTTTCGCTTCTCCCCGACACAAAACAACAAAATCATCATGCAGTTGACAACTCTCCTGTTGGCATCTATTGCCTCCCTGGCAGCTGCTCAGACGGCCACCTCCTCCGCGGCCACAAGCACCTCGACCTCGAGTTGCGCTGCCCAGAAGTAAGAACCCTCCACCCACCCCGATTTGGCATTTTCCCTACATGTGTCACTGGCAGTTCCATTTGCTAACAGAGACGTTTTCCAGCATCCTCGATGCCTGCCTCGCCACGATCCAAGGACAGGTGAACTCGTGCGAGAGCACCGACTACGACTGCCTGTGCACGCAGTACGGCAACCTGCTGACCTGCTACAACAACTGCCCCAACGACGCGGGCGTCACGTCCGTCCAGCAGGAGCGCGAACAATACTGTGCCGCCGCGTCGGCCTACCCGTCCACCTCCACCTCTGCCCTCGCCGCCAGCTCCACCAGCTCGTCCAGCGCAGCCGCCGCAACCACGACGGACTCTGCCTCCTCAACCGGCGCCTTCTCATTTGGGTCTGCAAGCTCCTCCGCCAGCAGCGCCAGCGCCAGCGCGACCGGCGGGTCTTCGTCTGGCAACGCTGCTCCGACCTTGGAGATGGGCCGTGGCCTCGTTGCTCTTGCCATCGCCGGGTTGGGTCTTGTCTTGTAATCACCACCACCAACAAGAAAAAAAGCTGGACAATGTTTGATAAGAAAAATCCTTGCTGTGTTTGTTTCTCCGTTCTGATCGTTCGGTTCTGGCAAGCATTGCGTTTGGGGACAAGGGTAGGGGATATAAAAAGAAAAGGGTGGTGCGGCCCTCACATATCTATCCTCTAAGAGCAGGCGTGAAAAGAAACAATAGTTTTTAATTATAATCTCTCCAGCTTGATCGGAAACAAACCAAAAAATAACAAGCTTCGCTTTTCACTTTTTGCGCTGTGACCGTCGTTTCGGTGCCTGGGTTTCTGCTCCGTCGTCTTCGTTCTTTGCTACGCGCTTTCTTCCCTTTTGAGCCGGTCGAGGCATGCGCCCCGGAGCACTGGTGGCCTTTGCATCATGATCATCCTCCTCCTTCATTGCCGCCTGCAGAGCGTGACTGACCTCTCCACTCGCGGCCCCGGGCTGGTCGAATGCATCCAGCAACGCCTCCCGCTCCGCCTCGTCCAACAGCTCCAAATGTCCCAGGACATAGGCGACCTGTTCCAGCTCTCGGGCAGTGACGTTGAGTCTCTCTAGGACCGGCCCCACCGCGTCCAGTAACGTCAGGTACTCCTTGAGCGAGTACTTGAGCCTGTTCTTGTCGTCGCTCTTGGCAGACGCGGCGGGGAAGAACCACAAGAACATCTCGTCCTGGAAAAACGGGACGTGGACGGGGTCGAAGACGTTGAGAATGAGAGTGCCTGTGGCCGGGCCGATGCCGGTCAATTTGCACACCAGGTCCAGGGCTGCGGTGATGGTGGCGGTGGATGGAGAGGCTGAAGTTGAGGTTGATGATGAGGTTGCTGAGGAGGAGAGTTTGGCAAACGCAAGAGACGTCTGCGTCTGGATCGCCGACTCGTCATTCTTGCGGACCATGGCCGGGAGAAAGGGCCGCGAGTGGCCATGTGTTCTGCGAGAGGGGGGGAATAGAGAAGTCAGCAAAGTGCGCTTCATGCTTCCTGACTCGATGGGGGAGGAGGCAGATATTGAACGGAGGCCCCCAAGTAAGAAAGTTCACAGTCACAAAATGGCGAGGCTCCTCGGAGGAAAGGATGTATGCATTTTGAAGCAACTGAACCGGAGGACACACAGTGGAACATTGAAATACGGAGCAGTGGGCATGCGAGGCTGAACATGTGCTCTTCGCATTCCATCACAATCCTTCTCAACTGGGCGGACAAACCGTGGTAGTGCAGAGCTGAAACATGTACTTCTGTACGCGAGAACATGCCACCTTCCAAGCTCCCTCTCGACTCCTTGAACAAGCAAATAGTCCAGAGAAGCGAGACAAAGTAGAGTAGAAGCAAACATACAGTATCTCATGTCCCGTCATGATTAAGGCTCCGTTCGACAACCACCATTCCTTCCAGCACTTTTTTAGAATCCAAACAAAGAAGCGGGCGGGTATCGTCCAAAAAACGTCAAAAAGAGATACCTAGGTACTTACATCTTCCACTGAACCAGCCTCTCAACATCATCTTTGGTCAATCCACTGCTGCCGCTGGCTCCATCCTGCACATCAGGCGAATTCTGCTTTTTCAGGTTCTTCTTCTTCTTCTCGTCGTTACCATGCTTTGAGTCTCGCGCAGCGGCCGCGGCAGCAGCAACCGCGGCAGGCAATTCCACGAACCTCCAGCGATCGCGCGCCAGCGCGTCGGCGACCTTTTTGGCGTTGTTCTTGAGCTTGGATTGGTAAACCTTCTCGACCAGCGAGGGGTACAGTTTGAGTGCTTCACGGAATGCCAAGGGGGAAATTGCTGAAGGAGATGGAGGAATCAGGGGGGAAGAGGGAGATGACATTCTGATGTCCTCCTTTTTTTTGGCTGCCGTAAAGAGCTGAGAAACTTGGATGGCAAGGTCGGGATGGTGATTTGCTTTCAATTTGATGGTTGGTTATTGTCCCGAGCTCTATTGCCCTGGAAGTGATATAGTACGAGCAGATGTCGTCAAGAACGCGTGGGAGCATGCTCGTATTCCTGGGCATAACGCTAATGCTCCTTCATACTAATACCTTCACAACAATCTCGTCATGGGCTTTGTTTCCAATACTTCGATCAGACAAGGGCCTTGGACAATTGGTACAAGCGTTTCTGACTATGATCGCAAGCGGCTTGAGGGTACACTCTGTAGTCTCTCAGTACAGCCTTATTTTACCATCCTAGCTGGCCTGTTGCTAGATCCAACTCCGGTCTATTTCTGCCATTCTGGTTTGGAACACCAGGATACTGATACAATTCGCTCCGTCTCAATCAGCCAGGATCTCATTAGAATTCCTCGGTGAACTAGGCCTTGGCTCTTTTGACTTCTTCCTTGGGCTGGATCCTCGCCATCATCTCTTCTCTTTGCATCAGATGTCCCACCCTCTCCAAAAGCTGCAATAGCCCTTTCATGCTGTTGCCCCATTCGTCCAATACCTCGTCCGGTCCGCGTTTGACTTCAAAACTCACCACTCGGGCGGGTCTGTCAATGCGCGCGTAGACCGTTTTCTTCGTGACGAGGTCCGATATGTACTTCTCGGTCTCATCGTCCGAGAGGTCCAACAGCTCCGTCAAGCGCGGGAAGGTGATGCGCGTGTAGTACTTCGCAATTACCCGAACATTGTGTTCGATCACTCGATGCCTCAATGCTTCATAGCGGGTATGGGCCTGCGGGTCACTCGCATCCGGGGCTTTAGAGAAGATGTCGGTCGAGCAAAGATGCTCGCCGTATTGTTGTTCAACCATCGGCCACCGCATGAGTTCCGGAATCGTGAATTGTTTCAGGAGTGCTGCATCTTTGGGTACTTCCGAGTTGCGACTGTCCTGGTAAATCCGATGGAGAAGATCGGACTGCTCGTTGTCATATGGGGCGAGCAAGACAAAGTAGATGACTCGCTGCAGAACGGCACGCAGCTGCTCGGGGTTGTTCTCCACCGATTCCGTATCCAAGACTTGTCGGTAGTGCTTGCACACTTCTAGGTATTTGTCTTCGTGTTTCGCCAGGGTGATTTGTTGTTCGTAATATCGCAGTTTGAGATCGGTCACATCGTCTTCTTGCTCTTGCTCCTGCTCCTCCCCCTCGGACTTCTTCTTTTCTTCCTTCTCCTTCTTTTCCTTTTCTATTTGCTCGGGTGTCTTCTTCGGCTTTCGTGCAAAATATCTTGTGCTGATTTTTCTGCTGAGTATCACCGCCTGCGTCCAGTCGCCGTTTTGTATACACAGCGCCACCTGCTCTAGGATGAACTCTGTCTTTTCCCTTCTCGTCATCGATCCGAACGTCTCTACTTGGAGTTCGCATAGAATATCGCATGCTGACTTGATGTCGCCTTGCTCTTTCTTGATGTCGGAAAGAATCCTGGTGATTCTGGCTCGTTCGACCTCGACAAAGATCTATGGCTCTCGTCAGTCCGAGGGCACATTGATATAATGGTTTGAGCTTGCGCACCTTGCCCTCAGTCACGGTCCGGAGAGCCTCGATGACACTGAGTTTTGTGTCAAGGTCCGGTGTGTCATTAAGAAAGCCCATGACAGCCTGCACCATGTTTGTGATGGCCTGCTTGAGTTGGCCATGTTTCTTCGACAGAAGCAGGACTTGTTCGTTCAGTAAGCTCCAATCTCCAGCCTCTTTACATATCGTGACGATGGTAACTAGACACCGGGAGGTTGTGGCAAGGTCTGAGGACTGAAGCCATGGTTAGCAAGGCCAAAGCACAGGATCTCCAGGCTGTAATCACATACTTGTCTTGCTTGTTTCTCAAGCAGTAAGATCTTGTCGATGGCTTTGTGAATATCTTTCTGCAGGTAAAATCAGCCAGAGTTTCCTCCAGGGTAGTCATCGACTCTACCTTGGCTAATGCTTCTGCTTCGGGGAGGACCTTGTCCGCTTCCTTTGTAAAGTCCTTCTCCGGCTTAAAGATCGTGCCGTCCGACATTGTGGTGGGAGTAGGAACGCAAATCGAGGACTCGATATAGTAGCCGCGAAGTGCTACAGATGGTAGGAAGACGAGGAGAAAGGTCAATGAGGTCGAAAGGCCAAAATTGGAGGTTGGTAACTGGTTGATTGAGCAGTGTCTGGCCGCAGGTTTACATGGGCTTGGAGGCTACTCGGAGCCTTGACGCGTCCTTGGCGCCTGCCTCGCCTCTCAGCCTTGCGCTTAACAAAATTCACCCCTACCAACTTGCAGCTCCATCAGCGGAGAAGATACCTACTAGGTAGGTACCTTTGACCAAGATATTGCTATTCAACTAAAGCGTCTATATGAGCAGCCTCGAAATTCTTCCCCCTCAGATCCTCTAATAGCCCGTCATCCTTTCAATGCACCAATCCTTTCCCATGCCCGTGATTGTATTTAAACATTACCCAAGAAGCCCTGGCTCTCCAGCATCAAGACGATCTCGTGGACGATACTCCTCACAGACTGCTTCTCACAGTCCACGGTCAAGTCCGCATTAGTAGGCTTCTCATATGGATCGTTAATGCCAGTAAAGTTCCTGATTGAGTTCCTCCTCGCTCGCGCATAAACTCCACGCTTGTCCGTCTTCTCACAGTACTCGAGACTAGTGGCAACATGAACTAGGAAGAAGCTGCCGTATTGCTGAATGGTCTCCCTGGCCTCCTGGCGGGCCTCTTCGAATGGTGCAATGGGTGCAGCGATCACAGCAGCGCCAGCCTTGGTCAACTCTGCGGCAACAAAGGCGATACGCGCAATGTTAGTGTCGCGGTCCTCCCTTGTGAAGCCCAGTTCAGAGGACAACTCGTGACGGACTGTCTCACCCAGGAGGAGGGTGACGGGACGACCACCTTGTTCGTTGAAGGTGACTTGCAAAGCGCGTGCAACGGCGTCCTTGCCCGAGTTTTGGTAGCCAGTCAGGAACACGGTGAAGCCTTGTTTGGCGCGAGGAGGGTTCGACTCCCTCAGCACTTTCACGACTTCGGGGTACGAGAACCATTCTGGGATGGGAGCGCCAACTTTCAATCGCCTGCGCAGCTCAGTGCCAGAGATGTCCAAGGTCTTCACACCTGCGGGGACCTGATCCTTGGGCCGGTACTCGTCGGTATCCGGCAGGTAGGTCATCATCTGGAATTCCACGACCTCAATGCCCAACTCGGCTCGATATTTCTCGACCGCATGCTGGGCGTCATAGGGACCATAGAAATCTTTCCCTGAGCTGTTCTTGCCAGGACCTGCGTGGTCTCGGCCGATGATGAAGTGGGTAGCGCCGTGATTCTTGCGGATAATAGCATGCCAAATGGCTTCGCGAGGCCCTCCCATTCGCATTGCAAGGCCCAACAAGCCAAGAACCGCCATCCCGTTAGGATATCTGGGCATAAGAGCTTCATAGACACGGACACGGGTGAAGTGGTCAATGTCACCGGGCTTCGTCAGACCCACAACCGGGTGAATGAGCACATTGGCCTGACGCGCGCGAGCGGCGCGGACTGTCAGCTCACGATGCGCCCTGTGCATGGGGTTTCGGGTCTGGAAGGCAACCACACGAGTCCACCCAAGCTTCTCGAAATGCACTCTGAGTTCCGAGGGCGTGTATCGCAGTGCCACGTAGTCGTAATGATTGAGCTTGTTCACGGCCTCGACATTGCCGCCAATGTAAAATTCTTTGGTTGCCTGCATCAAGTACTTGATGGCCGGGTGTTCTGGGTCTCCTCCAAAGACCTCTCGTGCCTCTTTTTCCTTGTCTGGCTTGTAGATATCGTCCACGGTGAGGATAGCAAGGTTACGATCGTCTCGAAAGTCTCGGAGCGCGATCCGGGAACCTGACTTGATCTTGAGACGTTCAATCATCTGGGCTCCGACATCCAGGCAGATGGGCATGCTGAAGAGAGCTCCATTTGCCAGTCTCAGGTTCTCGACGACACCATTGTAGTCCTTCTCGTTCATGAAACCCTCCAACGGGGAGAAACCGCCATTCATTATGAGTTCCAGATCACACAACTGGCGCTCGGTGAGGACGACTGCAGGCAGTTTCTCGGCCTCCGCTTCAAGCTGGGCATGACGAGGGGCATCTCGAGCCAGGAGGTCCTTGAGGACTCCTCCGTGGGGTGGATTGGCCATGGAGATTGCGTTGGAGGGGTGTTGCCAGGGAAGATGTCACAAGTTTTGCTCGCTCAGCACGCAGCGTTGGGGTTTGGACACAGGTTTGGGAAAGGACAACGACGACGGGAAGATGGACAAGACAGGAGAAGTCAAGACGGGGGAAATATCCTAGTACAAATAATATAAACCACGTTCAGCACGAGCAGCCAAGGCAAATAGTAGAAAGCCTACTCTATTCTCGTTCATAGTTTGTTGTAATCCCCGCCACGCCACGGGTGAGCCCGCACACAAAATTTTACGAACCCTGAATGATGCATGGCGTCCTCGGCGTGTATGGCGTGCGAACCCCTGCCCTCTGGAGGCTGCTGCCCCTAGAAGGATCCCCCAGGATCGCCCCTAATGGTGGTTGGCTGCACTCAAAGCTACCAGCCTGTGTTGATGCTTGCACCGAGATCCAGTGCCTGGCAGTGGTCTCCGTCTGGCGTTGGACACGGCGAACATTTTTCTGAAAAAAAGGAAGGGGCCAAACAATGGCTGGCCTTGTGGCACGCTTGAAGCCAACCATTCCTTTCGAGTTCCCGCTAAGGCTGCCGATCTCCGTCACCATGCTCAGCCAGGAGATGAAGAACAGATAACGCGCCCGCCGCCAGGAGGCTGACATGAAGAACAGTGTCTGAAGTGAAATGGCTCGACTTGGGCTGACCACAGAGTTCCTCTCGGGAGTGCATTTCATCAACCACGAGAGCAGGCAAGGAGCGGTGTCCAGATGCAGACAAGTCGCGGATTCGGGTAACCCAAACGCAGCCAGTCACGCAGAGAAACTTTTATAAACACGAGGCCATGGACGGACACAAAGACAGGGCGGTCAGATAATCTGCAGCTGTGATTGATAAATTCTATCGGCAGGGGCATCTCGCAAAGAGGCCGCCCCAATGGGGGCCTTGCTCTCTTTCGCCCAGATAGTAAGGACGCTGCTGCTGCCAAGAAGCTCTATGTCCCTTTTTTGAACCTTTGTAATGCTCGAGGCGGCCACCACCGTCTTTCCCGTGCATCGATAACCATCGCCAATCATCCACCACCCCCTTGATGCTGCATGCAAGTGCTGATATCGTGTCGCTCATGTCTCTACTGTGTGAAACCCATCCAGAAAATGCATCAAGCCACCACCGATGGCCGAAGTCCCGATACGCCGACGCTATGATGCCAAAACACGAAGGGCACTTTCTAACCCCGTCTCATGATTGCTCCTCGAGGCTGACCTTCTGGAGAGCTTGTTCTAGAGCCTCGCGCTCTCTCTTTTTCTCCTGTTCCATCAAGAACTGTGCATATTTGGAGCGAGGGTTGTGAATGCCGCACTCCGTTTTCTGTTGACCCTTCCATCGACCCGCACGTTCGTCCTCCCCTTCCTTGACTGGTTGGGTCGAGTGCCAGTCGCCGACACTCTTGTAACCTCGGTCCAGCAGGGCGTTGTATGGCACGTCGTTGTCCTTGATGTACTGCTGGATCTGGGCGAAGCTCCAGTTGGCCATGGGATTGATCTTGAGCAGACCAGCCTCGTCGACCTCAATGATGTCGAGCGATCCTCTCGCTCCACCTTGGCTCCTTCTACGGCCAGTGAGAACAGCATATGCTTGCAGCTCACGGTAAGCCCGTTGCGCAGGCTCAACCTTGACCAGGTAGTCATATCTGTTGTCATCCGTCTCCCATAGCTTGTCGCCATACTTGTTCTTGAACTCTTCTGCGGTCTCGACTTCGGCTGGCTTGAACACATGAATGTTGACCAGAGGATATCTTTCTCGAACCTTGTCCACCAACTCCAAGGTCTCCGGGAAGTGATGGAGCGTGTCAAGGAAGATGAGATCTACCATCTGCGGCCGAGGGACCTTGAGCTTGGACAGCATGTCCAGCTGGACGAGTCCTGTCAGGCCGAAGGCCGTGGTCTGGTAGAGGTTGGGAAGGGTGGTGATGGCCCATCTCAGGATCTCTTGAGGCTCAAGGAACTGAAGCTGGCGATTGAGAAACCGAAGATGTTGTTTGGTGAAGTACACCTCGGACAATTCACTTTCACTGTTGGTACCGGAGGAGTAGCCAGAGTCGGCCCCCCCTAATGAGGGGCTGCTGCGGCCACTGCCACACGGGGTCTCTGCTCCTGAAGACATGTCGAGCTCACTGGGGCCGAAGGGATTGAATAGGGAAGAGACTCGGGCGAGGGAGAAAGAGAAGCTCGAGAGGAAACCCATTGAAAAGAGATCCGAGTGACGGCAACACAGGGGCATGATGAAAGTGCTGGAAGCCTACCTTTTTACAAATCAACGGCCTGCGATATCATCGTTGAGCACGCAATTCAGCGGTGGAGCGAACTAGGAGGTTGAGAGCCTCGCCATCCGCAGCCAAAATTTGCAAAATCAGTGAAGAGGTCATTCTTCCCTCAACTGCCTCACTGCCTGGGTCGATGGCGTGATCGAGGAGGCAAAGAGCCTTCCTCATCTTCATTGGATACCGACCACTCTCGACGTTGAGTGTCTTGTGTCATTTGCTGGCTTTCTCACTCCGAGACCCGTAGAATGTCGGGTGTCGGAGAAAATCTGGATTACATGCGTATTTAGAGGATAGGGTCTCCGGGCTCAGCTGGGCCCCAGTTGCTATTATACCGCCGTGCTCGGCTAGGCAATCGGAGTGCAGCGGTCTCGCCAGGTAATGTCTGAGGTTGCAACTTGCGTGACAGCTCCCTGTGAGCACCTCATCTAGCCAAGAGACGAGAATACGAGAATAGCAAAATGGCATCTAGGGAGGGCATAGTGGATTATGTCGTGAGATTGTGGTAGATTGACGACCAGCCGCAGTGTGAGTAAGGTTGAGATCATGTTGAGCCTGGACCGAACGCTGTGCGGCTGTGGTGCTGCGAGGGCGAGAGCCGGCGCGGGGTTCTGCCGAGCCCCGGTCAGATTTTTCTCTTTCAAGTTGTGTGCGAAGAGGCCAAACTCGCCAAGACTCACGTGAACACTGCTTATCAAGCGATGTCACGGGACATTGGGCTGCGACAAGCCCCTTTTGCCTGCGATTCTTCTGCCTCCCCTGCAATGCTGCCCGAAACCCAGCACTTGCATGTTCTGCCGCACGAACCCGTGGAGACAATTTTCTCTGTTCCATCCTTGAAGCTGTAGGTAACCTGGAAGCTTAGGCCCAATCTGTCAGTCAAGCTGAATGGTACTAGGTAGGAGACTCGGCAACCTGCGACTGAAAATATTCCCGCGATCTCTCTCCATTTGCTCTCAACGCTGATCCCAGCCTCTATGGGTTGTTCCTGCATTGGTCTCGAGATGCTATGACGTCGTCTTGCATGCAGTCGATCGCTTCCCCCTCATCATCCCTGTTGCCCTCCGACGTTGACCTTGCGCGGCTTCTGGACAGTGAGTAGCTTTCAACCTCCAACCGCGTCGCACGACGACCTTGCCATCTCTGAGGGTTGACTCTCAAACCGTACTGGAAATGGCATCACCTTCTCGCTCTCGCAAGCCCAGCTTGGCAAAGGACTTTCTCAGCGGCAGTACCTTTCTCGATGATCATCTCGAATACAAATCGCGCCAAACGGGGCCCTCAGCAAGTATTGATGGACTTCTGGAGCAGCCTCCTCGAGTCCCTCGGAGCGCGGTTTCCAATCTTTCTCTCTCGAGTGCGTCGAGAAGATCGATCAGTGCGATCCCTCCCTCACCGATAATTGCTCAAGAGAGTGGAACCGTGCACACAATCTCCCATACCAATTGCGTTCCTGAGCTTGGTGATCCCGCAAGGCTTGTCGCAACCATCTTCTACAACTCGAGCGCGCCACGGCATCCCCATATACACCCAGATCAATCGCCTCCTGCCCATCCTACAGATCCAATTCCAGTCCCAGAGATTGCTGAAGGCTCGGCTCCAACCACGAGCATTTCAGAGTATCCCCTCGAACCGCCCGCACCCGAACCTCAACCTCTTGATCATCTGTACGGCGCCTACATATCTCAATTGTGCTTGACGCATTTCCTCTCTACACTTGATAGCCTCCTGGTGCACAATACGTCGGATGAGAGGCAGCTGACTTCTTCCCACCGATGTTTGGCACCGGACCCATTCAAGCCAAGAGTCATGGAGATTACGTTTAGCCCCCCTCCGAACCCCGAATACTTGCCTTCTGCCCTCATCTCCAAGCACGAATCGATCTACAAGTTCGAAAGAGAATGGAATTGCGAGATCATTATACAACCCTCCAATGTCTACCGCCGACATAAACGTCTGTGTGTCTTTGACATGGATTCCACCCTCATCCGTCAGGAAGTGATTGACGAGATTGCAGCGTTTGTCGGGGTCAAAAAGGAAGTCGCTGCCATCACCGAGCGCGCTATGAACGGAGAACTCGACTTTGCGGCCTCCCTCAAAGCAAGAGTGGCACTGCTGAAGGGTGTGCCAGGTGACGTGTTTGAACAGCTAAAACCGAAAATTGTCATCACTCCGGGCGCGAAAGAGTTATGCAAATGCCTGAAACGGCTCGGCTTCACACTTGCCGTCTTCAGTGGTGGATTCCAGCCTCTTGCAAACTGGCTTGCTGGTGAACTGGGGCTCGACCACGCGTTCGCGAATCACCTTGCCGTGGACCCAGATTCGAGTACATTGACCGGGGAACTCGAGTCTTCGTATCCAATCGTGGATTCTCAACACAAACGGAACCTGTTGATAAGCTTAGCCAGCAACAAGGGGATTCCACTTGTGCAGACAATGGCGGTAGGAGACGGCGCGAACGATATCCCCATGCTCAAGACGGCCGGTCTCGGTGTCGCATGGAGAGCCAAATCCAAGGTCCAGATGGAGGCGCCCGCGCGATTGAACATTGGCGAGAGTATGCTGGACTTGGCCTACTTGTTGGGCTTGTCAAAGGAAGAAATCGACCAGCTGTTGCAGGACTAGATGGCCCGGATCATGGGGTAGTGTTGGCGATAATCAAAGATGGATGCATAGTGTCGAAGAATACACTGTATTGGTGAGCGCTTCAGCGAGCATTGTGAAAGGAACCCTGTCATCTCGTTTCAAGGCGGTGCATGGCGTGAGAAGGTGGATTGGAAGAAACATTCCATCTTTGGAGTACTATATCTGCCGCTTGTGCCAGTGCGGCTACGAGAGCACGAGAAACGAGCATTGTCCTGTTTGTTACACGATTTCATAAAGCTACCCAAGCAACATGGCTGTGCGATTCCGCAGCTGTTTCAAAGTAAACAATGGCTCAAACACCGCCAGTATTTTGTCTCCCAGCATTCAGAATATCATACAAGAGCTCCAAAGGCGAATAGTAGGGCACAAAACACCTCCCTGGCTGTACGTAGCCAAGATAACCCGAGTCATTTGATGTCCTCTGTTGTTTCCAATAACCGTTGGCACATCCCCAGCCCAATGACATTTCCCAATGCATTGATATCCAGCCTCAGATAGCGCCAGGTAAAATCCATGTTCATCTTCAAACAGTAATGAGATGCCACCTATGACATCCCAACTTTGCAAGCCACGATATGTGTGGAATGCCTCCATGTGTACTTCCCTTTTTTCCCTTCATCGCGATCCCGAACCTTCCTGCCCACCCACAACCTGTCCGTCCCCTTCGGTGATAGTGAACTTGTCAAAATCCGCGGTAAGCACTAAGCTCTCAGATCCGACGTCCACCTTGTCAGTCGTGGCGTTGCCTTTTATCTGTTGAGCAAAGAACGAGTCTATGCGCTGTTGGGCGTTGACAGCCCCAGTCATGGTTTGAGATTGTTGCAGCACGAAGAGAACGACGACTTTAGCAAAGTCGAGCTCTTCGCTGCTGATGGCTGATGCAGAAGGCCCAGAGACGCCACTTGTAGTAGCAGATGGGGATTGTGACGCTGTTGTGGTGGCGGAGCCAGCGGCCGTCGTCGCAGTCACGCTTGTAACAGTCGAAGCACCAGTTACCACAGATCCTGTTGGACTGACAGGCCCTATGGTTGGCGAGCTCGCCTGGAAAACAATCCCATTCGAGGTTGAAGTCCCTGCGTCTCCACCATCTTGTCTCCTTTCGAGGGTCGGCTCTGAGCACTCTGCTTCTGCACGCGCGGTGATTTGAGGTAGATGAGACTTGATGATCTTAGGTGGGCTTGGCTCAAAGCCAGGTAACATAATGAACCGTCTCGTCCTCCTCGTTCCCAGGTTTGAGACGCTAGAGTTGAAGTCAACTAGAGAATTTTCACCTGTACACGACAGATTGTTGAATGAGAAAAGAGATAATATCGTCGAGATATTGAGAGCGATGTCGAACCGCGTCTGTGCATCCGAAAGGGATGGCAGGATTGACAGACCCATTGTTGCATTTTTGTACTCGTTGTCGCCATCGTTCAACGTAATGGTCATACAATCGGCTGTGTTTCCAGACGTTTCACACTGGCTTCCCGTAAAGCCGTTGGAGCAGACACAGACACAAGCGTCGTTACTCACGATGCTTGTACCTCCATTTCGACAAGGATGACTGGCAGCACAGTCACTGAGGTCGGTAGAATTGTGTTGCTTTGGTACAAGAATTAGGAATATAGGTATTAATACAGCCGCGGCGATGAGAATGATGATGACAACAAGGACGAGAATAAAGATCGGTAATGACAGGCCGCAACATTTCCGCCGTTGTTTTCTGTGGTGGCTTTTGGACAGATCTGTGGTTGAGGCGTAGCCGTCAGCCTTTTCCCCGAGCGGCCAGGCAGTATCTCGTTTTGTCGGAGTACCACCTATAGCTGGGGCAGGAAAAGCCGATAGCATATCGGACATGGTAGAATGGCGATTTGTCGCTCCCATCTTTTCGCCATTGCCCCACATGTCCAACATGCCTAGGCGGCTTGCTGTCTTGCCTCTGTCGAGATTGGCGGCAAGCTTTGTTGCTCGTCTGATCAGGTCTGCCAGGCTGGTCGTGCTGCCACGACTTTCGGCTTCCCTGACTGCATCCATATCCAATCTGGGCGGCCGTCGACTGGCGGGGATTTTGTCACTCATGGCAGGCTGCTCGATACCCAAGCCAAGCAGATTATTCGTGGATTTCTGAGAATGTCCGGATGCCGGTGTCTGAGCAAGCATCATTCCAGAGGCAATTGTGTTTGGAGATTTTGGGGTCTGCAGATACTCTCTATCGGCAGAGGGAGAGGACGGAGGAGACGTGTCAAATGGCATCCTAACAGGAGTGTAACTTCGCGAGACAGGGGTACCTGTACGAGACCCAATATACTGGCTACTCATACCTGCAGCCACTGCTGCACTGAGGGCATCCATGGTTGCTTGCTTTTTCATATGAGTGGGAGGAGCTGGAAATTCTTCTGGGATATTCTGCTCGATCTGGCTGTCTCGATTCTTGATAGTAGTAAGGGCAGGTTTTGCTCGTTTCCCGAGGCTGGCTTGCCGCACAATTTGTGGCATTGGATCGGCCGAGCCTGGTCGGTCTGCCTCCGGATCAAGGGCGTATTGATCAAACCGCTCTTCCGGCCCGAGAGCTTCACTTTCAGCATAAACAGACCCGGAGTATCGTTTCGACGTTGGAGTTGGAAAGCCTCTTGATCTCGATCCGGGGGTTGTTCCGGGGGTGGGGTATTCATCCGCTACTGATGACACGTAGGATTGATGCATATTGTACTTGCGACCTGGCGACTGGGATGGTTCCTGTCTGATTCTTCCCGAGGAAGATGGAGGTATGGGTGGGGCGACGGGAAATCTGAAATTTTGGACCAACATCCCGTTCCCTGTTGGTCTCTGCTGCTGCTGGCGAGAAGGACTGTCATATCTGATCGGAGGCGGCGCAACACCAACGCCGGCAGGAACTTGACGGGCACTCAGCTTGACATTTGGAGGTACTCTCACTGATGGATGTGGGGGAAATTGTTGGTATTGCGAAGGCTGAGCATAGTTAGGTTTTGAGTAGTGAAAGCGGGCTTCATGACTGGGTTGTGGTGGTTGGGGTTGAGAAGGATCCATCGTAAGTATGGCTAGGAATTCGAGACTTCGATGGCGATTTTCGCGTGTTCAAGCGTGTGGCGGACTCCGTTACTGCGTCTCAGCAGGAGTAGGAGCTGTACCAGGCTTCAGATGTGTGCAAGCATGTTCCCGACATGCGTGTGAGGGGATAAGAGAAGTTGACAGTAAGGCCGCAAGCAACGAGACGGCAATGACTCGTGTTCTGGAAGAGGAGGGCTGAAGACTAATGCTTCTATGTCAGCTTGTCCGACAACAACTGCCATTTTCACTGGTCGTCTCTGAGAAGACTCTTGCCATAAAACGACCTCTTTCAAATCCTTCAAGAAATGCATTTGGCGTGGGTGGACTGGGCGTACCTCGTGTTGTCGCCTTTGCCAATACTCGACCACGCTCCTGCGCTTCTGCGCACCCTTCTTTCAGAAACCGTAAGCGTGCGGGGTTCAATGGGTGATACGAGCGCGCCAGATCTCGCTGACTTAGAATAAGAATTGACTGAAGAGGCGCAGACCAGGTGCAGAGGTCGCAAACCTAGTTGCAAAAGAGGTCGGTTGGTGGGAATATCAAACACAAAGAAGTTGCAGGCACCGGTCCGCAAAAGGGTCGAACGAAGAGAAATCGGGTGCGGTATGAACGAAGGCGAACGGATGAACGAGCGTGAAGCGATTGTGTAAAGGAGTGACTTGGAAGGATTGCACTGCAATAGAAAAAATAGCAGTCTGGGTATCTAACAAGAAGAGTCGACAGACATTGACCGAATCAGGCTGAACAAGCACAGAGGAACCTGAGAGAGGACAAGGACGAGATTGAGAAGGAGCGGAAAAGCACGACCACAGGACGGCGAGCGAATGAACGGAAACGAAATGTGTGGGAAGAAGGTGATACAACAAGTGAGAGAGAAGCTGTGTCAGGAGGTTTGCAGGTGGATGGAGTGATGGCTTGAGATGCATGCGACGCAGGCTGATGGCAGGCGGTACCTGGCTAACGGGCTGCGAATGGGATGAGGCCTCGGTATCTCGCAGCCGGGAGAGGGCCAGCCAAGGGCCACCACTGCCACCAGGGCGTGGAGTGGGGGCTGCAGGGTGGTCAGGGCTATTCTAGATGGGGGCCTAGCCTCCCCAGGCACAGGCGGCTTATTGGCCTAATGATCCTCGTGGGCGTGAATTAAACACGTTCGCCTGCAGACTCTTTAGCCGTTGTCGCCCGTTGCTCCACCGCCCAAACTCGCCTAGCCAGGGACAGCCAGGCACAGCCAGGGACCAGGGCGCGGCTCTGAAACACCAGCCTGCCGTCCATGCGAGGTGCCTTCCCCGGTGCCTCCTGTGCTGATTTCTGGCAAGACGCAGTGCGAGGAAGCAAGTGTATGGGAACAATTTCAGAATCCTTGGTGTGATCCCGGCTGTCGCAGCGACGAATCATGGAACACATCCGAAAATTCATTATCTGACAGGGTGCCGAACTGCCCGTGAGTCAGTGACAATTTTGATGCTGGCAAGGCTGCCCCCGGACACTGACCTGCTCGTAGTCCACTACCCCAGAATGGTCAGTGGTCAGACCAGATGACGGCCTCCGATGGGCCTGATGGGCCTGGTTGACCGGCAGGTCTCGAGGAACCTTAAGGGGCTTTGTTCAGGGAGACATATCTGTGCGGTGCCTACGACGTACAAGTAGTATGTTCATTGTCCGCACTACTCCCACAATGCAAAATCAGAGCCTCGAGTCTGGACAAGCCTCGAGTTGGCGAGTCGGACGCGTGGTCAATTGACTTTGGCTTGTTTCTAGTGCCGTGCGTGGCGTGTCGGTGCATTGTGGACATGAGATACGAGAGGCTACGATCCCGTAATTAATGTCCACACGCCCATGATGTGATTGTGCTCTATTTTCGACACACTCCATATGGATCAATAACAATCGCCCAACAAGACGTAGATTGGATCCTTTTCTCCTCTTCTTGCTCTAGAATAACCCTGTCTCCGTTCTGGCGCCATCGCACCTCCTCCACCACCTCCACTTGATCAAGATCAAGTCAATCTCTATTGCGATGATCTCATATCGACCCCCCTGCCGCCGGTCAAGGATCTATCCTGAGCAGTTCGTCTTGCTCGTCTTATATGCCGGTATATTTCTGGGGTGCTGCTTGTTCGTGAAAGTAGTGCTCATCCATCACTCCACGGCAAGCGCCCGCATATTGCGACAAGGTCTGTTCTGACTTCTACAAAAGACGACTGAGCCAAGCTAGCCCTTCGCACCGTAGTTACTACTAATTGCATGCGCCATGAGCTCAAGTTTGAGGGCGTCTTCGAGTTCGCTATGTATCCAGCCGGCACCTTCAGCACCTGATCGGTTGTTCTTGTACAACGACAAAGTGCGGAAGACGGCTCCCATGTCGGCTAATGAGGCTAACCACAGGTTCCAGCGACCATACCTAAGGATATAGCCGTAGCGGCGGTGTGTTGCAGAGATGCTGTGATGTGCCTGATATCGACCCAGCTTGTGCTGCCTCGTGTTAGTCTGTGCTACAGACACCTTTTTTGCGCTTCGCCTGGACTGCTGCTCGACTCGGCAGTCTCATTCTCAAGTTGGATGGATTGCTATGTCCCCGCGAAGCCGCAATTGACGCTGTCGCTGTTGGTGGTGTGCATCATCCAGTAACTCGGCTTCCCCAACTCACCGGCACGTCATTCACCCTTTCACCTTGCGCCTCATGTCTACTGTAACTGTTCTTCCTGTCAATCAAGCATGTGTGCTGGTTCAAGATGGCAACGACAGGGCGGCTGCCAGCTTTTGCAGGATTGGACCTTCCCTTCAAACAGGTGACATGGCACAACCTGTCGACATCTCCGTGTGCCTCGTCCCCGAACCTCACTCCTACCTCTTCCCTCCTTCGTTGTCTGCCCTCGGCTGCAGATGTCCGCTCCTTGTCTTTGGGTACTTCTTTTTGAGCTCGAATCGAGTTTGACTGATACTGCATCTCTTCCCTGTGAACAGCTTCTCCGGTATGGATCATTCACCTGGCTCCTTGCCGTCCAACGACTCTTCCAGCAGGTCAAGACATTCTGGTTATCCTCCAGGGACTCCAAAGCGTGAGAAACATCCCTGCCTCCAGAGCCTGCATCTTCCGCTGTACTAATCAGTGTGCGCCTCTGCAGCACCCATTGAACCTCCTCGGCGGCGGTCCTCTTTATTCTCTTCCAAAGTGTTACACCCTTCCCTCTCTGCGAAGACTCCAGAAGGAAATAGCGCAGACCGTAGCGAATACCCAAAGCCCCAGCCAGACACAGTACCGCTCAACACGCCCAACACCAGCCGTAAACGACTCCACGCGGGCTTGACCAGATCGATCGTCATGCCGGGTCACGTTGCACAAATGCAAAAGCTCTTTCAAAGCGCAAAAGCTTCATTCCGTCTTGACGTCCGGTTCGCTGCCTCTCCAGTAGGCTCCGTTGGTTCCAGATTGCCTCCGAGTCCTGGAACTGAGCACGCCTGCGTTGCTGATCCCGATCTTTCCCAAGACCCTGAAAGTGAAGCTTCGCAAAATGAATGCAAGGATTGGAGGTACTCCAGAGCTCCAAGGTCCATTGCTGAATTCGATATGGACGTAAGGGAACCTTTTCCTGAGGGATCTCCGCAACTTCCAGACTTGCTCTCAGTTGAGATGGACTGCAAGGTCTTGGCTGTTGAGCCGCCTAGCAGCGGATTCACTTCGCCCGTTGATGAAAAAGGCTTCGCGCCACATCTGAAGGATACGCCCAACCTGTCCTCATCTCTGGCGAAAAGGGGGTCGAGAAGCTCAACCGAAAAACATGACAACTCGTCTCCCCCAGGACATCTTTCCACCACTGACTTGGAGCGACCATTAACCGAGCTTCGTGTCAGTGCTGACTATGACTTGGATATCGATTCTGCAGAAGAGTCGCCCATTATCACTCACCTCCAACGGAAGTCGGCAGAAATAGAAGGGCCGTACAGGGATTCGTCATCCAGTGCAGGGGAGGGATTTGTCCTTTCTCCCACCGTGAAAGCTGCGGCTGACTCCGCGAAGCTGAAGCGTAGAATGTTCAGCGACCTCTTCCCAAAACCTCCGACCCACAACGGCAGTGGTCGCTGTGCATCTTCTTCCGGGGAATCACAGCATGCCGATATCAAACCATGTCCGGATCCTCTTTTGCATGCACGCGGACCGACCGTGCTATGCCCTGATCCCACCGCTCATTTCAGATCGCTGACACCCAATGTACCAGGACATCAAGGTGTCCCTTCAGCTTCAAATGCCCAAGGAAGCCAAGGACGACAATATGGGCTTCGTCAAGGCTTTGCTTGCCCGCCTGTCCCTTTCAGTCGCGCCAGCGCGACAGGCAGTCCAATGCCTTTACTGAGAGCCAGATCGCCTGCAAAGTCCCCTGGAGGAATAGGTCACAATGCATGGAATCCTCCCGCAGAATCCTCCCAGTCTCGATCTCATCATGAGCACATTAACCGGACATATCTTACCACGGCCTCGGAGCATTTCCAACCTGGTTGGTATTATGCCAAGGAGAGCCCTCACCCATCACCAAGGCCCGGTCCAGCAATGTACTCTTTCTCAACAGCAGCCGCAAAAGTCGTTGGACAAGATCCTGCTCCTGATTCTAGAATTCGAGACTCGTATAGAACAGACACTCTCACACCGCTGGCAAAGCCACCCAGCAGATTCAGAAAGAATGGCATCATTGCTCTTGCCAGAGCTCGTGGAGTCGCTAAGCACTATGGTGATCCTCCATATTCGTCGAGGCCTCCTCAGCGTCGCATGCAGCGTGGATGGTCACATTTGCCGGACAATATGCAGTTCAGGAGTAGCCCACCAAGATCCTCGGTGGAGTCTGCACTACGTTCACAACCGAAGAAGAGGTCGAGAGAGACAGAGACACCCAGGAGGGAGATTCTCGAACCTGAAGAAGCAGCAACGGAATCAATTGACCCAAAGTTGAAACTGGAAGAAGGAGAAGAGGTCATTGAAGTTGACGAAGAGACCCGGGCAGCAGTCCGCATGAGCCTGTTCGGTACTCCGGCCCCAAGCGCCAGCTCTGACACCGGAAGGGGCATGAAGGAGCTGAGCCCTAATGTCATGATCTGGCGAAAAGGGGCGGGACCTCCTGTGAGCAGGAAAAAAAGACGGCCTAGCTACTGGGACGCAGATTTAGAAGAGGTGATGAGGAGTCCCGCAGCGAGGCATGTGGTTTCGTCGCCGATCAAAAAGGACGACGTGAGATCCGAACGGGCTGAGGTTGAGTCTCAGGACGATGGCGCCAACAAGGAGAACCAGATGCTGCTGACCCAGGACGATCTTGAAGACGTCTCGAGAGTGGCAGAGGGACCAACCAATTTGGAAGAGGATGTCTCGATGGAAAACGAGGACTTAAGTGACGCTATCCCTTATTACTGACATGGTGAAGCTGCGAACCGCGCTGGTTGATGGTTACCAGGGCAAGATATTCGGATCGAGTTGGTATACTAACCCGTAGTGCTATTATCGGAATGTACTGCCATTCAATCCCACCGCCAGTTGTTCGTCCCTGGTACCTCGGTGGGATAGGAGCAGGAAAGCCTTTGTAGAATTTAACGACGGATCTTTTACACCAATTCCGCCAAACATGGTGAAAAGGTGTTCTCAGAAGCTTTGTTTGGCGTCATACCACCAGCGTAAATGAGATATGGTCAATCAAGCTTTAGAACTCTGGATCCAGTTCGCAGGTTTGCCATGGGCGGAGAGGTGGACAATAATGAAGACGATTTCTTCGCCTGTGGTATTTGGGATTTTGGAGACGGTATTGTGGGATTCGACAGAAGACTCTCCGAATCTCGATCTCCCGCCGTCCTGGATACTGTTGTGTTGCTTTCAATGTTGTCGCCATCCTTCTTTTCAAGCTCGTCGATATTGGCAGTCTCGTAATTGTCAACAATACCCAACTGGCGTCGGACAGCCCATATCTCCTCTTCCAAACCTCGCATTGCAGATGTGGTGTTTAGAATTTCAGGGATGGTCGAGGATATGGTTGTGGCGAAGTGGCTTTGACATGTGCGTAGAGCCGTTGGGATGAGGATGCCATACCATTTGAGGGGGTCCTTGGTCAAGTTTGACGCCAATGATGAGACCGAAAAGCAGTAGGGAGCAGTCGCTGACTGCTGGATATACTCCTCTGAATCACCTGTGGGCTTTTCCATATCCTCTTTGTTCCCTTGCGCTGCCGTGCGTTCATCTCCAGACTTGCCATTCCCCGTTTCGCAGCCGTTCTTCTGTACAGGAGCATGTTCTTCCACTTCCTCTTGTTCCTTTTCGTTGTAGCTCTCAGGCAGCCTTGTGTTCCCCGTCTCTTGGATCTTCACCACCTTCGCAGCCTTCATCCTCTCGTCAAATCCTTCCTCACCATACCTTCTCCCCACGCCCAAGGTGGAATTCGCATTCCGATTTGCTTGTGCCAGCGCAAAGAATCCCCCCGAGAGGTCCCTGGAAAGCTGGGCGCGAAGGTTAGTGTAGGTGTCCAGAATGGTCAGATAGGATACGAGAAGCGCATCTAGGCGGTCTGAGAGGAGGTTGGCCCCGGAGGATTCTTCGTCCTTGGACTGGTGTTGTGGTTCAACTTGCTCTGCTTGGACAAGCTGGGGTTGACTGCTGGAGCTGCCGTCAGGGGAGGTTGAACGTGAGGAGGGAGGAGAGGGCAGATGGGACGGCATTGTTCTTCTGTCTTTCGTTATGGCTTGTCTCCTCAAGACTGACTGTCTTTTGACATTGCAGTGGGCTTGTAGCGTGTTGGAATGTTGGTGGAACAGCACCTAGGTAGCCTCGCAGAACGAGATCTCGGTCCTTTCGGAGATGCCAGGCCGAGCATTGACGCAATCTGCGCGGGACGCGCAGGGTATGGATTTAAGCAACTTGAATTATCAGAATATCCTACAAGTCTACCCTCCTCTGTCCATAGCCATTGTTCCTTGTGCAATCACTTTTGGTATTGAAGACTCTGCAGAACCCTCTTGCAGATCTGGTTCGCACAGCAAAAGCTCTTCTGACAGCTATTGCCAAAGCGATTCGCCGCACCAAGAGCGCAACGCCGCCCAAAAATTCTGACCTGCTCTGAAGCCGTCGAATCCTCCTGCTTCCGCGCCACGCTCTTTAGAAAGATCAGGAGCTGGGCTTTTTCAGAGCCAGTCTCGATCGACCATTTCCACCTTTGCGCACCCTTGGCCCGTCCCTCCTCACTCCGGTCCCGATCGTACACATGGCCTCCTCCGCCCTGGCCACCGCAGCCGATACCTCAGCGTTCAGTGTCCGGTCGCTGTACCGGTCGCTGCTACGCGAGGGGAACAAGTTCGCAAACTACAATTTCAGAATGTACGCGAGGAGGAGAACGAGGGATGCGTTCCACGAGCACCAGCACGAGAGGGATCCAAGACGGATACAGGAGTTTATGCAGAAAGGATTGAAGGAGTTGCAGATGCTGAAGGTGAGTCCCTTCTTTTTCTATTTTCCGGAGAATGATACCTCCTTGGGGGCTTTCGAGGGATTGAAGGCATTCTTCTCGTGGATATGAGTATGAATATCTCCGGGAAATCCTGTTCTGCGACCCGGGAACAATTTAGGCAATCTGTGATTCATGAGAGAGAGAAAAAACTGACTTCTTCAATAGAGGCAGACGGTAGTATCACAATTCTACCAGCTGGACAGACTCGTGGTAGAAGGCGGAAAGACGGTATGCACCCCATTCTCTCTTATCCCTCGTGGTCTCTTTCTTACTTGCGCATCCAGGGCAAAGAAATTGGCGACCATGGTGGAATCGTGAGACAGAAAGATACAGGGTATGTGTCTTTGTTTGCTGGAATTCCCTTCTTTCATGATGCTAACGTCTTGCAGATGGGACTGATAATTGCCTGATCCTGTCTCTTCCTGTTGGTTCCATGTACTCCGAACTGTGCTTTTAGATGGATGGTCTCCTCTGCCAGGGATTGATCGTCCCGTGTGATACCAATGAACATACCAATCTCTGCACTCATGAATTGTTTCTCCTCTTGACTTGCTCTTTGGTATCGTGCTTCTCATCTCGTCGTAGACGCCATGCCTTCACGCATTCCTGGGCCCCTCTCCCGTTCTTGATCCAACTCCTGCTCGCTCCACCTTCCCAGAAGCTCGCTATACCTTCCCAATCACCGGCGATATAGTTTTTCCGACTTCGTAGCTCCGGATGATCCCGCCGCTATAATCCTAACAGCTCTCTAGCGTCTCTGTGAGCCCCTTGGCAATGTCCTCTTTTATCAACAACTTCATGCACCTCTCAGCCTTCTTCCTGATCTTTCACCACAACCACATCTCTTTTGAAGGTGAGTCTTTGCCCACTTGCGCACACTTGGATGTCATCTCGCACATACTTACCTGACAATAGAGACAAGGTCGCCGTCCGTCCGAGTGTTTAATTTGTGAAGAAGACGTGTCTCCGCGGCATCATGGCGCCGGTAAGTTGTTGTCTCCTTTGGTTTCCGTTCATGAGATGAGATGAGAACAAGACGCACTCTGGCACGAATCTACCACATGACTTTTACTGCCGGACCCCCACCATTCACCATCGCATCCTGTCTCTGTCCCCTTTATATCTCTCTGCCTCAACCACCGTCATTTCCAACCACCTCACCAATGCCCACCATGCAATTTGAGTGCGCGTTCTGTGACAAGGCCTACAACCACCGCAAGACTCTGAACAGGCACGTCAGAGACAAACACCCTGAGCAGACTGGTGGTCAATCTTCTGACCCCAGCTCGGCGGTGGTTGTCTCTGGCGTGCCTGTGCAGGGTCTTGCGGTGGTTGCTTCGCCGGCTGTCGCTGCCCCTGTCGCTGCTCCTGTCGTTGCTCCTGCCCCTCTTCCTCTCTTTTCCTCTGCCTTGCCCTCTTCTTATCCCCCCCTCTCTTCCTCTTCCTCTTCCTCGCCGTCGCCGCCGCCGGTGGCTGACAATCAACGACAGCTCCGGTCTTCTCGCTCGACGAGGAACCAAGACAACAACCCAACGCCGCGAAATCGGGCCGGCCTGGCCGATTTCGACGTGACCGAGGGCTTGCCTGTGCAACGCTACGAGCGAAGAAGTGTCACCATCAACCAGGACGCCTCCGCTGACCAGGCGGACGGCAACAATCAATCGGCCGAGAACAATGACAGCAACAACACCTGGGCTGAGCTACCTCTGCCGTCATTCTGGCCGCAGCTCTCACCAGTCAATCAGGTATGCCTCGCCCTGACTTTCGTAAATTTGGCCCTCGCTAATCCAATCACCCGTCTACAGGAACTGGTCCGTCGTGCACGCGCTCCCAATCCCAATGCCAAACTGTCGATTTGGGACCGAAAGACCTCAAGCTGGATCCCCGGCATCGAACTTGAGAGGCGCGAGGCAGCGAGAAAAGCACAGCTGAACAAAGCCAAGCACAGCTCTGCTGCAAACGTCGATGCAATGAATGTTGACGATGAAGAAGACAAGAACGACGAAGACAATGACGATCTGATGGACGTCGAAGGTCTCGCACCGGATGCAAAACGTCGCAAAGCAACCTCTGGCTCAAACGAACGAGTGTTTGAAGTTAAGAGATGGGAGAGAGTGCCTGTTGCTGTCGCCGAAAAGATGCCAGAACCCAAGTACCTTGCCGACCGCCGACCGGGAATGGAGAGTCTCTACAAGGGAGCATACAAAGCCACGAACGGATTCGGAACCATTGGAGACGCTGTTGCTGCGGCCATGAGTGGTGGTGCTACGGGATTTGACCTTGGTGATGGTGCCGGTCTCGGGAATGCTTCTGCCATCCTTGCCCCAGGATCTGGATCTGGTGTGCACAATCCACAAGCAGACGGCACATCTACGCCTGTTCGAAAGAACATGCCTCCGAGGCGCAAGAAGAAGAAGCTCGGTGGACCTGGGAGGAAGCCTAAGAATCCGAATCCCGAACCCGCTGCAGCTGCCGCTATTTCTGCTGCGGCTACTGAAGACACCGCTGCCGCAAGCACCGTCGGAGACGTAACCATGAGAAACACACCCGAAACAGCCGTTGAAGGCGCTGACAACGCAAACGGAACACCCGCCATCCAAGGCGATGCACTTATGCAGGACGCCGACGGAGAAGGGTCTGGATCAGAGAGTGAAGGAGAGGGAAGTGAGGAGGGAGAGATAAGCGCTGCCATTGACCCGGCTCTTACTGCAAACACCACTGTCGTCGATCTCACACTTACTGAACACACTCCTGTCATCGATCCCGCACTTTCTGATCACACTCCTGTCATCGATCCCGCACTTTCTGATCACACTCCGATCATTGATCCTGCACTTTCTGAGCACACACCTATCATCGATCCCGCAATTTCCGAAAACACCCCTACCATCGATCCCGCTCTTACCGAGGACCCCTTGGCCACGCAAATCACTCCCAAGCCAGTGGAGGAAGCCGCTTTGCCTCAAATAGATGGTGCTTCTGAAGAACACATGAAGGAAGAAGACACCGAGAAGAAAGAAGACGTTGCAGCTACTGAACCTGCTGACAGCCCTGAGAAACCCGAAGCTGAGGCCGACGCGGATGCAAATCATCCAGGTCTAGGTGCCAACGCTGACGCTGTCTCTGCCCCTGTAATTGAGCAGGAGGCCAAGATGAAAGAACACGAAGAAGGTGGAGGTGAAGGTGACGAAATGGATGTGCTTGGTGCGCTTGAGGCTGCAGTGGACAAGGAGACCAACGAAGATGCCTGACAGCAGCAAGGATAAACCCAGTACGCGACCACCACGACAGCGAAACACGCAAAGTGATACCCCACGAAGTTCAGATACCCCCGAGCGAGAACAGGAACGCTCAAAACATACTTGGTGTTGTCAGGATAGAGAGAACAGGCGGCTGGAATATGGTGCTTTCATAGGCGTGAACAGGGCGGCTCAGAGCATGATGTTTACGCAGACAAATACGAACAGAGTGGGTCAAACATTGGTACTGTGATGAGTGAAAACAGGAAAGCTTGAACAAAACGTTGCGGGCCACGGGAACAAGATAGCTTGAAGATGATCTCGCAACAAGCGAGACGGGGACAGCCTGAACATAAATGCTGCCATTCCGAGAGACACCAGTGTAAGCTTTCTTTCAATGAACATTGATTTGATGTTTTTATGGATACACTGATGGGCTTCAGCAGTCCTTCCATTTCCGAACTCCCGTTTCTGGCTCAGCATGTCCGACTTTCCACTATGTGCCTGTGATCTGCTCCATGGTATTCGTTGTTCGTCTACTTCGCACGACTGCCTCTCTTCTCCCTCACGCCCACTTGCCAATTCATGTTACAGGAGGTGGGGTTTACTCAAATGGGTTGGTCCGGGTTCCCCAGTAGGTGAGGAACACGCTCAGACCGACAGTCTCGAACAGGCGGGTCAAAACGCCGACAGCGACGGTGTCCAGAGGCCGGTTCTCAACGACGACTTGGGAAACGAGCTACGAGAGAAGTTTTGTTAGTGTTTGGTTCCCCAATCTTTTGCGTGGTGGTCTGGAATCATAAACATACCGAAGGACTGTAAGAAGCCATGAAGATCAGACCACCCAGATATGCAGCGCCCTTGTATGACAGAGTACCGGTGGCATTGATGAGAGCAGCGACACCGTAGGTCTGAACAGCAGAACCGACAATGGACGAGCCCCAGCTGGCGGCGGCAGTGGCGGTCTCCTTGGACTTGAAGAATTCTTCCTTGCTGTCGGCGGCCTTGGCGCGGTGGTAGGTGTCACCGAATAGAGGGGCCAATACGGCGGCAGAGGCGGCTTGGTTGAAGACAATGCCCAGGGCAATTGCGGAGGGTTTGACGGGTGGGAGGTCTGCGAGGGGAGAGGGGAACAGGTTAGCAGCGTGCTTCTACAGACAGGCATTTGGCTGAGGGACGAGCTCTGTCTTTCGAGCCTAGGTGGTGACGTAGAGCACATTCATTGCGGGATGGAGGAGGGTATGAGGACGTACAGTGCAGGGTTGCCATTGTGAAGATGTGTTTTGTTTACAGAGATTGAGGATGTGTAGTCTCAAGTGTTGCGGTGGTGAGAAAGATTGGAGTGGATGGATTGCGCTGCTGGAGGCTTGATGGGAGGAAGAAAATGGATGGGATGAAGTCGAGCTTGAGTCAAGCTTATATTGAACAGCCTGTGACGTGCAGGGAGGGAACCAAGTGACTTGGAGACTGTGCAACAAGTGGCGCCAGAGGCCAGAGCGACCGGGAAACTGAACCCAAAGCTTAAGCTATGGCGCAAACAATGACGACACGGAGGGTAAAGCAGCGGTAATAACGAGGAGCGACAACCGAATTACACTGCTATGCGGGCACAGTAAAGGGGTCTCACCGTTGTAATGACAGCAGAGGTGGCTTGTTTAACTCGATGATGTCAGTGCCGAGGATCAAGAGCGAGCACCTGACGTTAATCTTGGAGCCCGGGCGGTGCTGGGATTCTTTCACCTTCCAATCATCGAACGAGCCATCGGGGTCCTTTACATCCAAGGCCCTTTCATGTGCTTTGAACACCTCCAATTCCCGGTTGCTGAATGCTGCGAGCGGATGAGAAAACCTCACACACCTGGACAAAGTAATAATGCTTCCAAAGTACCTAGGTAGGAACAGCTGCCGCTAATGAGCATGGTTACCCCGGATTCTCTGTCCGCTAAGCTACCATCCAATCATTTCCGGTGCCTGATATCGGGGCTATCAGCAGCCTTGCAGAAAGAGCCTCCTGCGGAAAAAGTTTCGTGCTTCTAGACTGTCTATATCACTGAGACCACCAAAAGCATGCGCTGAGCGTGACACTGGTCATTATTTAGCATCCATTCAGTCCGACGGCGAACACATGATGAAAGCTTCTGCAGCGCGATAAGCCCTCTGTCCAAGTCGTCCCCACCCAAACATGCCTGCCTCCCGCTCCCCCTCTCCAGAGAACAACGTCTTTGCCTTCTCAACCACCCTCATCCCCGAGCGAGATAGCAAAAAGCCCGCAACAACAAGTCTCACCTTCGACAATCTCCTCCCGTCCAACACGCCCCTCCTCCTGCACGAGGACCTGCAAGAAGGATGCGGCGGCCAACTCTGGCCCGCTGGCATGGTCCTCGCCAAATACATGCTCAAACACCACCGGACCGGCTCACTGCGAGGAAAATCCGTCGTGGAGATCGGCGCCGGCGGTGGACTGGTGGGACTGGCCCTTGCTCTTGGGTGTGAAGACTTCGACGATGGGCACAAGATTTACATTACGGATCAGATACCCATGCTTGCACTGATGAGGAAGAATATCGCTCTTAACAAATTGGAAGACAAGGTCGTCGCGGAGGTCTACGATTGGGGCACTGCGCCTCCGCCCACTATACTATCACCTGGTACCCAACAACACCCGGACATCGTCCTAGCAGCGGACTGTGTCTATTTTGAACCCGCTTTCCCGCTTTTGCTCCAGACACTGACCGACCTTGTCGGTCCCGAAACGACCTGCTACTTCTGCTTCAAGAAGAGACGGAAAGCGGATATGCGATTCATTCGTGACATGATGAAAAATTTCCATGTCGACTATGTCGAGTACGACGGAAGAGAAGCGGATCAGAAAGAAGGGATTTTTTTGTATGCTGTAAGGCGAAAGACGAAAGAACAAAAGCAATGACAAAATGTTGACCATATTTCGTTTCAACAATAGAATTACAATTCTGAGTAATATTGTGGTATCTCTCCCGTGATATTCTTACAGCTGAAGCTGGTGATGCCACATCACCATGAGGCCCTGTTTGGCAGCATGCTCCCTTCAGTCTCATTTCGCGTGGTGCCAGCACCAAAGAACGGGGACAAATTTATCAATCTTTCTCTGCTCCTCCAAGCGGACAGGAGGGATTCAGACCAGAACCTGCCCAGCAGCCGAGGCTTGGATGGGGGTGTCTGCTGCCTCTGCTGCCCTGCTCCATTATCAGGGTCATTAGTAATATCGATGGGCCCCCCTCCCATCCGTCCCATGCATTCGTCTCGTCCCCGCGGCCTTTTGCCCAGGCCTCCGCGTAAGACTCCCTTTCAACTTCAACATCGCGCCGGAGACTTTGTCGCCGACGCTGGTCTTGCGGCGGGGAGTCGTGGTGGCGGCTGTTGCGGGTGTGCGACGCGCACCCACCCGACGTCTTCGTGTGGGTGCAGCGGTGGTGGCACCGGTGGCACCGGTGGCTCCAGTGGCTCCAGTCGCCCTGGTTCGCCTTCCACCCATCAAGCGCTGCTTGAGGGTGGGCTTGGTGCGGACTGCACGGGCGCCGCGGCCATTTTCTTCGGGCGGATGGTGGGTGGTTGTCGTGGTAGTGGTGACAGTCGTTCCACCTGGATGGCGCTTGGATTTTCTTCCTAGAACCATTTTTGACGTTTTGTTGTTTTGGTTTATTTGGTATGGATTCGACTTGAAGGCTCGGATGTGTTGTGTCTGTTGAATGTGGAGTGAAAGTGGAACTGTCAGGACTTAAATAGAGCCAACATGGAGGTTTATCAATACCTCGTGGAATGGGGGATTTACCTGCTTCTTTCCTCCAAGAACCAGCGACGTCATCTGGCGAGGGCCACTGGGTGCTACAACTCCGCATGAGGGAACCTTAGTTCTTTTGGCTTTCCATAAGAGATCAAGAGGGAATAGACGAAAACAGGTTTATCTATCGAAATGGAAGTTCTCGTGGTAGATCATGGTCTTCAACCAATCACAAATACGCTAGACAGCCACAGGATCTGCACGACCAAGGACCCCCATGACGCAGGGCAAGAGCGCCCTTGCACCGTTGCATCTCGATCGCTGTTGATTCCAAGGATGTTGCTAGCAGCCTGGACCATGACGATTGGGTGCCACACTCTCAATGCCCCTCCTTCTGCAAGCAAGCACATTAGGGAACTGTGTCCCTGTGGCGGTGCAGCCGTTTTCCCAGCGTGTCCAGGATGTCATTTCCGACGAGCTTTGGGTTGAGGGCGATGGGCAGGCTGAAAGATGAATATGGTGCTCTTTATTTGAGATGTCGGCGATGTTGCACGCAGCGAAGATTGTGGTAGGGTGGAATCAGATATAGCGAGCATGTAGAGGGAAAAGACAACATTGCGGCTAGAGAATCAAAACTACCTGGTAGGTAGGAAGGTACTCGCTACGAGCCGAAAGGGAGCAAAACAGCACAGACAAGAAGACAATCGAATGCTCATCCCACGAGCAGAACGGGAATCAAAGACGCTCTCGAAATAGACAAGTGGGAAAATCGCAAGTTCGAAGCTGTCAAATGCAGCCGCGCCTTCAACTCAGCTCACATTCATCGTCCTTGATCAGACTGTGTTACACACTGACGCAGCAACATGCAGTCCGCCAACAGCAAATCTCATCCTATGCCTGCGAAATCCCTCTTCCTTCGCTCTCGTGATGCAACTGCCAAAACTCCACTCAATCGCCAACCAATACCTCCACCAAATGCGACCAAACCTCGCAGAGTCCGTCATTCAGACGGGCGTGAGTCCCACCGAATCTCAAAGAGCAGAGAAAATGACAGAAATCCACGCCCAAGCTCAATTCTAGCAGATAGGTTTAGAGGTAATAACATTCCCTATGATCGGTCTGTACTCATCACGCCCAGAAAGCCTCGAACAATACCGAGAGAACGTGGAGATCGAAAGCAAAACACAGCTAGACGAGGTCGAGAGAAAACTGATTGGAGGCCTTGAAGAACTCACCGTTGACGTTGAAACGCACTTTCGCGAATTGACAGAGATCGAAGAGCCTTTGCAAAGACCTTTCGCTGCTGAAGCATTGACCAAGGTCACGGACGAGAGGTCGAGTGATGAAGTCCTGCTCACAGATCGTATTTCGGAGTTTCGTGCATTGCGCGAAGAGAAAGAGGAGCTCTTGTGCAAACTATGGAATGAATGGGAAGATATCCAATTCGACCTGATAAAACTTGCTGTGGAGGCCCTCGGTAAGCAGTCGATCCTGGTCACTCAGCTCCAAGGTGGAGCCATGAAGCCTGGCCAGCAGGAAAGACTCGAGAACACCCTCGACGCTGCTCAAAAGATCCATAACGAGATACATCACCGCCATGCAGAACTGGATCAAAACATGACGGGCTTGGAAGAGACCGTGGGCCAGATCGCGAACAGAACCAAGAAGGCGGCGACCGACATGCAGCAAGTATGCGCTCTTCCTTCTCTCACGCTCGACTCCAGGCTAATAACAAATCGCAGCAATACACCGTGCAAAAGAATAAGCTATTCAAGGGCCTCATGCAGTCCATTGAACAGCTTGCAGCATTGTGAAAGACATTGGGAGGGGGAGAGGTCTGACTGGTCTCGACCACACCGGCAGGGAATGCAACACGTGGACGCTCATTGATGCCGTGCTGACACTCAAATGCGCGTCAGGCAGTCCCCTCTGAGGTCATAATTGCAACAGCTGACCTTTTTATCCTCGAAAAGAAGAGAAAGCGTCTTGTGTGCAGACTGCGGCAGAGGAGCACGGCCCGCGTTTCGGCTTCGAAGTCTGAGGTTTTCGACAATTAATATCCGCGAATACCCGCGCCAACTTAGGGTCGAATGAGGTTGAGCCGGATCGCGGAATTGATGCTGGAATTTTTCGGCGGAGCCTTGTTTTTCTCTCAAGCTGGGGATTTCTTCCGCCAATCTCAACTCTAGGGGGGAGCTTCATCGTGTTGCTACTTGTGGCCACCTCTCAGCATAAACACACTGGTGGAAAATTTCTCGCCTGAAAATCTTTCGATTCTGCTTCAGCAGCCATGTGATGCAACGTCTCCACCCCCTGCAGTCGTCCTTCGCGTTCGATATCGGACGGCCTGATAAGGCCTTGTATTCTCAAGGGCGGACTGCTTTAGCGTGGAACGTGGTAAGTCGCGATCGTCAAAGGATGTGGACTGGCAGAACCAACGAAACGGATCTCTGAATGTGCCATCAATGGGGCGCAAGCCTCGTTCCACCCCCAAACCTTGCAGGAGTCCACTGAAGCACCATCGAATGTCTGTTGAACTGCAATTTTCAATGTGTCCGCCTCTGCCGAATGCCATATATGAGTCAAAGGTTAGTTTCGTACAGGTCTTTTTGGCTTCTCTTCCCCTCCTTCCATCCCTCCTTCGCAAGCTGCTTGTATTTCCGTTTTGCCTGGCTTGATACGTTATTTGTTCTTTGAGTCAATAAGTCTTGATCATCCATTATGGCTCCAGCGGCAATTTCGCCTGTCTCCCCACCCTCACCCACCCTTGACAATACTTCGAAGTTGACCAAGGCTGGCACGGCCGAAATCCTCGAGAAGACTGCCTCCAATGGGCTCCAAGTTGCGGATTTAGATGCTTCGAAACTGACTATAACCCGCAATTTGAATCCCAAGCATGTGCCCGCTGCCAACTCGGCAGAAGTTTGGTCGCAAAGCTGCACAACAGACCACATGCTCACCGCTCGCTGGACGGAGAAAGCTGGGTGGGAAGCACCCGAGATTCGGCCCTACGGGCCGCTTGCCATCATGCCCACGGCATCTGTCCTGCACTATGCCACCGAGTGTTTCGAAGGAATGAAAGCATACAGGGGTGTTGACGGCAAGGTTCGCCTTTTCAGGGCCGACCGCAATGCCAAGCGGTTCTTGCAATCAGCAGCTCGAATTGCATTGCCCAGCTTCCCGCCAGAGGAGTTTGTCAAGCTTTTGAAGAAATTCGTTGGCGTCGAGGCACCAAAATGGATTGCTGAGCCGGGATCTTTCATTTACATTCGACCTACGATGATAGCAACGGCACCTGCTCTGGGCGTGCAGAGACCCAAGGAGGCGCTCATGTATATTATCATGGTCATGTTTCCGTCTTTGGACGACCCAAGTTGCAAACCTCCTTCTATCCCTGCGCCGCTCAATGCTGGTAATGCCGCTGGTACCCAGCCCGAGTCAAAACACGTAGCAGCCTCAAATGGTATGCGCCTCCTCGCTTCACGACATGACATGATCCGAGCTTGGCCGGGCGGATTTGGGAATGCGAAGGTTGGGGCAAACTACGGACCCTCGCTTGTCGCACAGGGAGAAGCTCGGGCTAGGGGTTACGATCAGATTCTGTGGCTGTTTGGGGACGAGTGCTTCGTCACGGAAGCCGGCGGTTCCAACTTCTTCGTGTTGTGGGAGAACAAGCAATCTGGGCGGAGAGAGCTGGTCACCGCACCCTTGGGAGACGGCGTCATCCTGGAAGGCGTCACGCGCGCGTCGGTGTTGGAACTCGTCCGCTCGGGCGCGGTCGGGGGAGGCGACGTGGATGTCACCGAGAGGAAGTTCACCATGCATGAACTCATCGACGCCCAAAGGGAAGGTCGACTCATCGAGGCGTTTGGAGCAGGGACAGCCTTCTTCATCGCCCCCGTGCAGGACATCCATTTCCGAGGCACAGATCTTGTCCTACCCCTGGGACGAGAGACACAGGACGCCGCAGGTGCCAAGGGGGCCGCTTTTGCCATGGCTGTGAAGAAGGCCCTCAAGGACATCATGTATGGCCGGCTGGAGCATGAGTGGGGTGTTGTGGTTGAGGAAGAGAAGGGACCCGTCTACGAACAATGAGCCCTTGAATCACTTCGCCAGGTTTGCTTTTTCTTTTTCGGATTACCCCTGGCATCGGCAACGGACTGCAATCGAGTCTTGACTGGAAGCCAGCGGTAAAGTTGACTTGACGGATTGATACATGATGGATGAGGTGTCTTTGGGGGGGTATATATTGTTTATTTTTTGTACATATTTGTACATATTTGTCGCCGATGCATTGTGGAAAATGGACATTATGTATGTGAATACGAGCCCGTCGTCAGTCTTTTCAGAATGATTTGAGAACACGTTCGACGCCGGAGCATCGCCCTCGCGAGACGTTTGGTTTGGAACCTCCATGAGCATGGGCCTGAGCTTGCTAAACCCAGACGGTCGGCCGCAGATCCTCACATTGTTACTCCGTTCAAACATGCATTGCCGCTCCCATGTCCTGTCCTGGCCTCAGCCTCTCTCATGCCTTTCACGAACTCTCCCCTTTCGCATCCTTCGACCTTGCCCCGGTACTCTGCTCCGTCTCCGCCCTTACCTCCTGTGCCTTGTGGCCCTCCACGTCTCCACCACTCTTGTCTCCACCAGCTGGTGTGGATTCGACATCTTCGTCGCCGTCTTCTGTGATGATGACTTTTTTCTGGGCGAGTAGGTCCGCGAGACTGCCGTCCTTGTGCATGTTGATCAGAATGTCGCAGCCGCCGATGAACTCCTTGTCGACGTACAACTGGGGGATCGTGGGCCAGTCGGAGTATTCTTTTATTCCTGTAAACACAGCATGCGCGATTGGTTGTTAGCTTCCGCCTTCTCTAAATTTCATTCCCAATGGATGTCAACATGAAGAGGGAGAGAGGCGAGACGTACCACTCCTCAACTCCTCATCCTCCAAGACATTGAAAGCGGTGAATTTCCTCGGATCCACGCCCTGCAATCCCAAGATCTGAATCGACGTTCGGGAGAATCCACACTGCGGTGTCTCCGGGGTGCCCTTCATGAACAGCACCACGGGCGCCGAGGCGACGGCTCTGTCGATCGCCGCACGTACTTCCTGCGAGAGCAGCCGTGTTTGGGAGAGAGAGGATGATATGCGAGGGAGGAGAGAGGCTGGAGTGGCGCGGGGAGAGAGGGAGGCGAGGGCGCCGCGGAGGGCCTGTTTTCGATTAATTAGTTTCCATTTCCATTTCCTTTTTGTATGGGAATGTAATGCTGGGATGAGGTATTTACAGGTGTTCTTAACGTTCTCTGCAGCATCTTGGAAGTTTGTCGGGTATTCTGAAGAAGAAGGTGAAGGTCGTGAGTTGCTGTTGGAGAAAATTGTTCGATGGCGGCTCGGAGGATGATGTCAATTCAAATGTTGACAAATTGAGGTCCATCTTGTGGTGTAGACTCTGCGAGCCGCTTTTCTCCCCCAGATTTACACGGTATTTCCTCTCCTTTTCAGTTGCCTGACAAATCCACGAATGGATTCAAATACCGCTCTACACAAGAAGAAAGGGAAATGCAGAACCTGAGAAAGACACTGCTTGGTCCCTCTCCTCCCAGACATCTCACCAAGAAGCCATACGCTATGACCACAAACCCCACCAGCAGCGGCGAGCGATTCTCCGCCGCAGCGCATGAAAACGACGGTAAACACCACATTCTCCTGTCCGCCAGCGGCTCCGTAGCAGCGATCAAGATCCCCCTGATCGCCCAATCGCTCGGTTCGCACCCGAACGTGTCGATCCGCATCGTCCTGACAGAGGCCGCCGAGCAGTTTCTGCAGGGCCAGTCGGCCGAACAACCACCCTTGCGGTCTCTCCTGGATTATCCGGGGGTGGACGGCGTGTACCATGAAGAGGACGAGTGGTCGAAGCCGTGGGTGCGAGGCGACAAGATCCTGCACATTGAACTGAGGCGGTGGGCGCATGTGCTGATTGTGGCCCCGCTGTCGGCCAACACGATGGCGAAAATCGTCAACGGCATCAGCGACGGGTTGTTGTTGAGTGTCATTCGCGCCTGGGACACCACGGGCTTGATCGACATGCGCAAGAAGAGGATCTTTGTCGCCCCGGCCATGAACACCGCCATGTGGCGCCACCCGATCACCCGCAAGCATATCAAAGTACTAGAAGAAGACTGGGGCGCGGACAACCAGGACGACGGTTGGTTCACGATCCTGCGACCTACGGAGAAGGAGTTGGCTTGTGGAGATACAGGCGATGGCGCTATGATGGATTGGAGGCAGATTGTGGGTTACGTTGACGAGCACTTGGGACTCGGCATTCGGGATTTTTATGAGGTGAACGGTCAGTGACGACAAAGTTGCTATTATCACCGCCTATGGTCTAAGTCGTGGATTGAGAAATGAACGGTCAGTGACGACCGAGATGCTATTATGCGCCGCCTATGGTCTAAGTCGTGGATTGAGAAATGAACGGTCAGTGACGACAAAGTCGCTATTATCCACCGCCTATGGTCTAAGTCGTGCATGGAGAAATGAACGGTCAGTGACGACCGAGTTGCTACTAGGCGCCTATGGTCTTATGTCTTGGATTGAGAGGTGAACGGTCAGTGACGAACGAAATGCTATTATGCGCCGCCTATGGTCTGAGTCGTGGATTGAGACTCCTCCTGGGTCTTCCGATGAAGATAGTCTCCGAGCAGGCCGAGTGATATGACTCCGCCCGTGATCCAGGCACCGTTCCTGAACCACCACCAACAATCCTTAACGTCCTTCAGGTTCACCCGTCGGACCATGGTTGCCAAAGCCAGCGCACCACCGCCGCAACTACCGATGAAAAACACCGGACCTGCTCCGGCAAAATAGCCGGCAATCGCCAGGAGTCCAATCTGAGCGGCAGAGAAGAGAGACAGAGCGGCCTTTGAGTTGTGTTGGTGTGCTTGGGCGATCGACTTGATGCCCGCTTTGGCATCGTCCTTGATGTCCATGTAGGCATATATCATGTCGTAATTGAGAGTCCACGCGACACAGCTGGAATACAATGCCGCGGCAGCCGCAAGTGCGCCGGGGTTGGAGACGAGGTCGATGCCCAGCGCCGGAAAGCCCATGATGGCACCCCATGAAAACGTCAAGCCGAGAACAAATTGGGGGTAATGGGTGACTCGCTTCGCCAGAGGATATAAAGTGACCAAAGCAAGGCTCGGAACTCCATAGTAGAGACAAGGTAGGGGAAATTGTAAGAGCAGAGTCAATCCAGTAAGAAGCTGTGCGCCTAGATATACAATTGCATTTTCAACAGAAACAGCTTTCCGCGCAATGGGTCGTAGTCGTGTACGCTCGACGTGTGGATCCAGGTTGCGGTCCCAGAGATCATTTATTGTACAGCCGGCGCCTCGCATGATCAAGGCACCGGAGAAGAAGAGAGCCGTCGTAGATACCACTTCCAGTGGTGAAGCCATTGGTACAGCCATCGGCGCCGCCAGAAGCGTCGAAAACATACAGGGGAAGAAGAGGTAGTAGGTTCCCGCGGGTTTGTCGAGGCGGATAAGCTCGGCATACGGGATCCATGACGAGGGTAGTTTTGATATGATGCCGGTGGTGGGAGGTTTGTAGATCGTGGGAAGATCCTGGCCTAGCGGGGTAGGCGACGCCGAGGTCGCTAGATGTCTCCCTTGACTCGAGAAGCAAACCAGTGCGGGTATGTGTCTTTGTTTCCATGGTGTCGCTTCATGATGGAAAATCCGGTGCTGATATCGCCGAAACCCACGCACACATGTTGAAGTCTGAATAGAGAATCGAGAGGCCTGAGAAAGGACCTTTGCATGCGCTGGCCTTAACGTGCCGAACATGTCTAGCGGGCTTCCATGGTACTTTCGGGAAGAGACATTGAAAAGTTCCATGGCAAGGCTGAGAAGGATCGAGGTCGCGGTCTCTGTTTTAGGCATAGTGTAGCCTTGCTCCGCATTGTCTCTTTACACCCGGGCGCGTCGCGAATCGTCGAAGTGAAGATTTACTTGCGCCTCGTCATTTTGCGGCTGCGGCACCGCTTCACATTCCGCTCACTACATTGTCACCTTCTTCCACTCACCTCACTTCCTTCCACCTCTAGTCGCCTTAATCTTACCTCGAGCAGGCGTCCACCGACTGACCATCCACTTCTTTCTCCGCCTCACAGTGTCCCACGGCCTCGGTTGGGATGCGCTTCATCTCTAAATCACTTTTGCGGAGGAGAAGAGTTGTACAACTGAGCAGGGTTGTTTATCCTCTACTCGAAAGTGGCCAATCATGCCGTCGACGAGACCCTGTGCGGCCTTTGAGCCCATTTCACCCGATTTCGATCTGAAAGCCCTTGTTGAGTCCCAGCCTAACTTCGAGTGGGTTGTGCGCATCCACTGCGACATGATAGATCACCAAGGCCTGGAAAACTTTGAGAAGCTGGTCTTGATCCATGTCATCCTGGGCGGCAAGCCTCTTGTAATCGAGGGCTACGAGGAGCGACTCGACAGATGGACATTCGCGTTACAGTGGCTCCGCGACAACTGCGGCTCAAAAGGTATGGGCTCCACATTACACTCGCACCATGTTTATGTTCTAACGGGCATTTCTTTAGTTGAAAATGCGAGAGATCTCACCAAGAAGACCAACGTCCCGTTATCGATCGGCCACTACTTGAACCACATGGCGTTATTGACAAATCAGTGGACCCCACGGAACTACAAGGATCCCCAGCGTCAGCGGATGTACCTCAAGGATATCGACTGCCCGCAGCTGTGGCAAGACAAGTTGTCCGAAATCATTCCTCCCGGTCTGTTCTATCTCAACGAATCGACAGGTGACGTGGGTGGGTTTGGGGCAGTGGACGAAAACGACCCTATCAGGCCAGGCATGAGGAAGGGAAAGGGGATCGCCAGAGCGGGAGATTTGATGAGCAGCCTTCCGAAAGAAATGCGTGCAGAGAACCTGATGTGCTACATCGGCCACGAAGGCACTTATACCCCCGCCCACCGAGAGATGTGCGCAAGTCTTGGTCAGAACATTATGGTCGAAGCTTCCACTGGACTCGCTGAGGACGGCAAACTCACAAAGCCGGGCTCCTCGATCTGGTTCATGACTGAGTCCAAAGAACGGCAAGTCGTCGCCGAGTACTGGCTCTCTCGCCTTGGCCATGACATTGAGATCGAAAACCATTTCGCCCAGGTCAACGCGTGGAAGAATGCACCATTCAAGACGTATGTGGTCGAACAGAAGCCCGGCGACTTTATTCTTATTCCTCCATTGGCTCCGCATCAGGTGTGGAACCGTGGAACGAGAACCATGAAAGTCGCTTGGAACAGAACGACTGTGGAAACGCTTGAAATGGCAATGCATGAAGCTCTGCCCCGAGCAAGGATGGTGTGCCGAGATGAACAGTACAAGAACAAGGCAATGATTTATTACACCATGCAGAAATACTCGAGACTCCTTCGGCTGGCAGAGAAATTCAAGCAAAGATCCATGGGACTTAAACACAAAATGCCCAGTGACTCGAAAGTCCGGCAACTAGAAAAAGACTTTCGCAGGCTGCAGATTCTGTTTACTGAAATCTTGGTGTCAGAAAGTTTCCTTGCTGACCGCATCGAGAAGAAGGTTGAGTATATCCCTTATGACAGCAACATTACTTGTTCATATTGCCGCTGCAATATTTTCAACCGGTTCCTCACATGCCCTAATTGCGTCGAGCAGTTGGCGAACGGTGACGAAGACACATATGACATCTGCATGGAATGTTATGCAATGGGCAGAAGTTGTGCGTGCATATCAAAATTGAGATGGGTTGAGCAGTGGCCCTGGGGAGAACTCACACAGAAGCACGAACAATTTCGACAACAGATCCTGCAGTATGAAGGCAGATTGACCGAGAAATCTCCCATGCCACTTAAGATCGAACTGGACAGGCTCGGGAACAAAAGGACACTGGCGCAGATCTGCCAGCTTGAGTTAGGAAGGAGGCCATTTCGTGACATCCGGCGTCCGCAGTCACCTGTGACAGGCGACGATCGCGAAGAAGTGGAGGAGGTGGATGCAAACGGGAATGTGAAGAAAAAGAAGAAGATCAAGAGAACTGAGAAGTTTTTGAGGACACATGCTCGATGCCATGTTGACTTTCACTGGGAACCCAAATGGAAGCAAGCTGCGTGCACCAAATGCAGCAAACATTGGTGCTACGGCACACTTTTTCGAAGGTTCGACATGATGCCACAGGATATCCTTGCCGAACCGGACTGGCTGTGTCCGAGCTGTCTGAACATCTGTGGCTGCCGTCACTGTCGGGCTAAACCAGAATACAAACCCTACACACCATCTGGAACGATTCTCGGTCATAACACGAAGGCAATAGCAGATCCCCGCTCAGTGGAAAGCCTCGTTGACTTTGGCTATTCCAATATTGCCTGGATCCAGAAGGCGGGAGATGATCGTGGGGATCAGTCCCGTCGCCTTGAAAAGCGTCGGAAAGAGGCAGAGGCAGCCAAAGCTACGGGGCCTGAGCTAGGAGAACACTACGTTGACGGTGACCACGAGATGGATGACGGAGTGGAAGAAGGCCTCCTTCGGTTGGCGCAACAAGAAGGCATACCGATCGACCCAGCCCGACAAGGAGGCATACCGATCGACCCAGCTCTGGAACCTGCTGGTCCACCCGAATCTCCCGGAGAGGACGAAGATGACTACGACGAGAACCCAGAAGGGGCGAAAGTCAGAGGAGAAGTGGTTCCCATCGATCTTACATCTCAATACGCTCTCCCCGAGGGTGGCGTCATCAGAGACGTCGAGCATGCATATGATCCAACCGAGGCCATCACATACGACTATCCGGATCCTGAGATCGGTGTCCATGTTCCTGTCCCTGTTGAAGAAGAGCAAGCGATCGTGACTCCAGGGTACGCACCAGCTGGCGTGGAAGATGGGACAGAGATTGAAATGGTCGAGCGTAAACGCAAGCGTGGGAGGATCGATGATGGCGACCGCCCTTATCAATACAAGAAAGCCAAAGCCGACAAGAACAAAGTGCGAAAATCACTTATTGTGAAGTTGCCGCTTCCGAAAGCGAGACTCGAAGAAATGGAAAGGATGGCAAATGTTGCGCGGCAGGCGTTGAACGGAGTGGAAGTCCCTGCACCGGTCATCAGCTCTGATCTCCAAGCTCTCAACACTGCCGATGGAAATGTGCAGAAGAAGGTTCGGCGAGGTGTTGAACATGTTGAAGTTGAACAGGACGACGAATTCATGCCCGGTCGGTATCGTGACCGCAGGAAACCTGCCGCAGATGGATCCCTTCGACCACGAGCCGACGCTGAAATTACCAGGCGCCAGACTCGGACGCAACACAAACATTATGAAGAACCCTCGGAGGACGAGTTCAGTGAGGTTGTTTCTGAGCATGAGCCTTCTTCCGAGCGCCACAAATCTGCAAACAAGCCGGCACCGAAAGTGGTCAGGTTGGACGACGTCGACGCGGATTTGGATTCTTCCACATCCTCGGACGACGAAACCGTACAGAATGAGAGCTCTGCGTCGAGCCCGCCCGTTGAAGTTGGACCGAGCGGTCCCAAACCAGCACCACGAATGGCCACAAAGGCCCCCAAACTGACGGTGGCGCAGACTGTCCATACTCTAGCAACAAGCTCCCCTGCCGAGCGGAGTGAAAGATCGGTCTCAGTGGCCTCATCAGTACCTCCTCGAAAGAAAACTACACTCGCCCCATCGACCTCAGCTGCCTCCATCTTGAGCGAGGCGAAGGCCGCAGCAGAAGCGTCGGCGAATCGACGGGCGAAAATGGCAGCGATTGAGTGGATGGAGAATGACAGCGAAGACCTGGACGACGCTTGGTCACAGAACTCGTTCTTGGACGGACATTCCTCGCGCAATAAGGCCGCTAGTCCGGCTCAGAAAGAGGTCGCCCCTGCCAGAGAAGAAGAGGAGGAGCAAGATGAAGGAGAAGAAGAAGATCAAGAAGAGGAAGAGGAAGAAGCTGTTTCACATCCCAAGCCTGTCAAGAATAATAAGGAACAGCCGAGACGCTCTCCCCTCGCCCCAACAGTACCGAAGCGAGCCGTGGTGTCGACGGCGAAAGCCTTGGCTTCGGAGTGGGCGGACAGTGATGATTCGGACGACGGGACACAGACTCGTAGGCCGGGCGGTGCTTGGGTTGCCATTAATGGTGGAGCTGCGAACGCGAGTCGAGTGGCGCCTACAAAGCCTTCCGATACTGCTATGGGTCTGAAAAAGAGAGGAAGGCCCCGAAAATATGCTTAAGAGGATAGGAACGCATGGCTTGCACCGAACGCGATGATGGCTAGGAGCGGCCTCTCAGAGAGAAGCCGGCAGAGTCTGTTATGGATTGTACAGAGTGCTGATGACTGTATCCTCGAGGCTTGTCATGGCTTTACGAGTGTCCGGAAGCTTGGAGAGGGAAGAGCTTGAGCAACTTGGTACGACTTGGACGAACTGATGCATGATGCGAATCTTGAGCTCGGGAGTACATGCCAGCGAATTGGCGCTGATGTAATCGAGATTGATGTGAGCGGGCTGTAATTTTATCAGGGGCATAACTCCAGACGTGTTCAAATGTACTTGAATGACGATAAGCTGGTTGAAACTCATCATATTTGCGCTAAGAATTCCAGTAGTATCCGCCCCCTTTTTCGTCAGGCAAGGCTGCAAAGTCCGGAGCCATCGGGTTGCCAACTCCGAGAGGCTGAAGAGAATCATAATGAATGGAAAATGACATCGTGCGGATCGGGTCAAGGCACCGAAGTCGACGTGCACGTAATTATTTTCTTCCCTCGCTCTGTGGGAAATTGGACACTCCTCCCATACTACCTATATTCACAACCCCATTTTAACATTCCTCTGTGGGCACTAGGCGTCAGGACAAAGACCATGGAGAGCATGCGCGTGTTCCAGCGCAGCGCAGCTCTTCCACGACAGCTCTTCTTCTCCCAGGCGCGGTGCCGTTTGCCTGCGACACACCACCACCGCGCCATGTACCATCAGACTCGAGCTCCGCTGCAGCAGTCGTTCCGCACCAGACCACCGTCCCTCCAGCCACCCCAGCGAGCCCTCCTCCGACGATCGATACAGACGCAGCGACCTGCAGGCAATTTCTCTTCCCAAGCGTTCCGGACGCAGGGAGGTCGACAACAAGCGTTGCGGCGGCGAAATAATGTCACTTCAGGGAGTGGCCGGCGCTACAATTCCTCGAATACCAGTTCCAGTTCCAGTTCCAGTTCCGCGACCACGAACCAGAAACCATCCATCAAGGAGCGCCTCAAGACCATGTCGCGCGAGTACGGCTGGACGGCCGTGGGCGTCTACCTTGCGCTCTCGGCGCTCGATTTCCCCTTTTGTTTCCTCGCGGTGCGCCTGATTGGCACCGAGACCATCGGACACTACGAGCACGTGGTGGTCGAGACGGTCAAGGGCATCGTCAAGTGGCCGATCCAGGGGGCCGCAAAGGTGGCCGTCGACGGGGCCGTCGAGGAGGTTTCGGAGGAAAGCGGTGTCAAGGAGGTGATCGAGCAGCGGGCTCTACGGAAAGAAGGCAGGGTGCTGGAAGAAGAGCCCGCGACGAATGATCACGGGTATAAAGCCGCCGAGAAGGCGAACCAGGGCGAGGATGCTAGTATGTGGTTTTCTACTCTAGTTTTTCCCTTCACATGTCCTCCCGCCCTCTTGAGGTATCTGAAAGCTAACAATTGCCGCGTCTGTGTCGCGCAGGTATCTGGACTCAACTCGCCCTCGCGTACGCCGTGCACAAATCCTTCATCTTCATCCGAGTCCCCCTCACCGCCGCGGTGCTGCCCAAAGTCGTCAAGACGTTGAGATCTTGGGGTTGGAATATTGGAAAGATGCCACATCGGCAAGCAGTTGGTGCTGGCACGGGCATAAACACGAAGGGATCGAAAGTCAAACCGGGCGACTGAAGAAGAGAAAATATATATCTGGCTTCTTTTGGAGGAGATTCAGCCCTCACTCGGCTCATTTTTCTGCACCCGACGGAAGGGCTTGCATTTTCGCCCGTCGCCGGTCGTTCGCCAGATACAAGATTAATGTACAAAAACCCTACTTTTCAATTTGACCTCTTGCCTCCTGTTTCAACTAATCAAACCTCTGCCCCTCCAAGGGATCCCTCGTACCCTCTTTATCCAGTAACTGTACCACGGTCCCATCCTCCGTCTGTAAGCTCCACTCCAAGGTCTCAAAAAACCCACCGCGGCTCTTTCTCCTCAGACTGACGAATTTGGTCTTTGCCGTCCCCCTCGTCCCTTTCACCCAGAAGCTGATATCGATGACTCCCTGCATGGGCGACAACTCGCCACTGATCCAGGGTAACTTGCTGGCGAAGTAGATCTCATCGCCCAAAAGCTCGCGGGCGTGCTCGTTGGTGCGCAGAGCGTAGAGGATCGAGTTGACGGTCGAGGAGGAGGACTTTTCGTAGTTGAAGATTGCGAGCGATGAAACGGTCACTAGCACGATGAATACTGGTAGGGTTTTGAGCCAGATCGATATCATGGGACGTGGAAGGTCGGGGAGGGCGCGGTCGGGACGTCGTGAGAGGAGAGGTCCTGACCCTTCGCGCGGTGGAGGGACGAGGGGACGCACGATCCGGTCAGGGTCGGCGGGGATGTGTTGCGTAGAGGTAGAGGCCGACGACGCGGAGGACGAGGATAATGCGCGGTAGATGCTCAGTCCCCGCCGGGCGGAGATTGAGAAGGAAGGATCATGTAGGTGCTGCGCTCTCAGTATTGACTGGCGCATGGAGAGCGGGAGTGTCTGGAGCTGGGAGAAGCTGTAGGGCGTGGGGAGGAGCTTTCTTGCACCCATGGCGGCCTGCCTTTTGGGATTTTCCGTAACCTGTCGTTGTGTATGTATTATGTCATGCGACCCTTACTCAAGGAAAATGCACAGATTGAAAGTTGAACTGACATTTACCAACGCACGGAACACATGAGCCAAAAAGTGCAGGTGTTCAAGTTCCTGCGGAGAACTCGTCAAGGTCATGACTAGCCTGTTCGGGTCTGGCGTCTCCTCGAGGCAACTTCTGCTTGTCAGAAGTCGACACGCCATTCTTCCTCTCGCTAGTACTTCCTACACTGCGCCGAGCATGCCTCGATTCCACAAAAGAGCTGCTAGAGCTGCTAGAGCTGCTAGAGCTGCTAGAGCTGCTAATGAACATGCGGGACTGGCTGCAAGCTCTCTCTCGACAGTCACAAATCAGTTGGTTGAATTACCCTTCTGCATTCTTTCGCCCAAGTCAAGCTCAACCTGCCCTAGCACTATCGACACCCTTCGCTGAGTTACCGCCCTTGCCTTCATATCTTAACAGATCCTGTTACTCCTGGCGCACTCATCTCCCTTTAGTCCTGGTAGCGCCTCCATGTTCAACTGCATTGCAGCCCCTTTTGTCACACAATCCAGCATCACCCATTTACAATGGGATAAAGTCGTCCTGCTTACGGAACGGCCGTTCCTTGTCCATGGGATCCGCCTCATTGTTTTTATCACTGTTGGAAGCTTTGGGGGCCCCGGTATCCAGTCCTTTGGGGTTTCCTTTCGTTCGGGATCCCACAATATCTAAAGGCCTTTGGATTCCAGGATTGCTCAACGGCCGCCCAATCTCCACACGTCCTGCTTGGTCAACATGAGTACGCGGGCATCTGGGGTTGTAACAGATACCAAGTCTGGCATGATCACGGCACTGACGGAGATGACGATGACGACAGCTCCCTCCCTGCTCGCAGTAGCCAAAAATGGCAAAGTCTGAACATGGCACTGCCCCAGCAGCTACCTGAGCATGGAAATAGGGGCAAGGGAATCGATTGCATCGTCCAGCGAGAAAGTATTCGCACGTTGGCGAGGTGTATTGGGTCGGGACATGACTGAGATTACAGTTGATACCTTGGGAACACCATTGGTTGTCCAAGACCGATGGGCAAAGAGCAACCTTCGTGGGGTCGTGGCTGCGTGGGCAATTCATACCATTCGTGCAATGTCCTGGAAGGAAAGGGTTAGTATTCGGGTATTACTATCCTGCTCACCGAGTATCCCCTATACCTGTGAGACTGTATTGCTGGCATCGGCTCTCCCGAAAGGTCGGCGGCCTGCTTCTTCTCGTTAGCACGGAGTGCATCTCAAAGGTAGGTGCAATTGAGCAGGAGCCATGCTGACCTAGGTGCATTTGCGAATTCCTGTTGCTGAGTGTGAAGTCCTGAATGCTGGTTGGGCGTTGTTGTGTGGCGTTGTTGATCTTTCTGCATTCCTACGCCATCTCCTGAAGATTGATTGTTCGCTCGAAGCAATTGAAGAGGCGACTGGTAGGTTGCATTACGTGGGCCAAATTTCGAGCTGCCACAAGTCATCGGGCTCTCTAAAGGGGATGCAGATGCATGCACTTGGACTCCACCAACTGACTGATCTGCAAAACTTGAGAGGGCTCTTCAGAACGGGATGCTTTATCATACATTCATTTTTTCCGGAGGCCTGTGTCTGGTGATCAATCTTAGGAGCTGTCTGCTGCACGTCAAAGCCCTTCTTCAACTCTTTGTCTGTCAACAAATTAAGAGTCTGAATCGGAGGCAATTCCAGGGCCTGCTTCAAGGTGCCGGAGCCTTTCTGTCTGACGGCGGCTATGAATGACGGCTTTGGATATGGACCGACGGGTTGGGAGTATCGCATTCCACGGTCTGGTCTGATAAGACGTGAGCTGCGTCGCCGAGAAGCATTGTTGCTGTGAGAAGGAACGGTGCGTGTGTCAGGTGTGCCTTCGTCGGTTTTCATCTGATCTGTATCATGTTGTCAGCGTCTCGTGGCGCAGTGTTCGCCGTTCGCGACGTACTTTTGGGATACCCTATGTCGGGGTCCATAGCACCTTTATTCATGGTTTATGCGATCAAAGGGCCCAATTGACAAGGGGAAAATTGACTGGGTCATGCAGCATGAGGCTAATGAGAAGGGGAAACGCTCAAACAAGAGAAAGACTCTCTTTGAGGGTGCGGTCATTCTGAAAGCATGAGACGGAGCGTGAAGTAGAGATGGACAAGGCTGCGCTTGCCCCTTTACGATTAGAGCCTTGGGCAGGCATGTTTGCCGATCGGCCAGCCGTGCTCCACCCTTGCTTGTGAAATTTGGATCGGAGCTCCAAGCAACCCTGTGCTTTAAGTTGCTTTGTACACCATTGCTCCAAGACAATGAGTTGGTCAACAAGAAAATAATATCTATTCGTGTTTTCTAGAGCCGCGCAAAATGTTACAACCACGAATACCTTTCCGTTCGCTGTGCAGGAAATGTCAACTTCCCTCACCCAGCTTGCGCAGGACCTACGCGCAGGTACAAGTCATCGACCCCGTGCATCCGAGTGGCTCGGTCACAGACACTCCCATCACCGATCTCCCCCTCGCTCAGGCAGACGACCGAACATCTCTCTCCAAATTCGAAGTTCGGCTGCGCCGATATACTCCTCGAACACCAGGTATCCGACATCTGGTCCGTCCATTGAACGAACATTTATGGAAAGGCAGACCGCACAAGCCTCTCACATTTCCCAAAAAGGGCCACGGCAAAGGTGGCCGAAACCATACTGGTCATGTGGTGGTTCGACATCGCGGAGGTGGACACAAGAGACGGATACGAATTGTTGATTTTGCACGGCGTACTGGTGGAAAACATCTCGTCGAGCGAATCGAGCACGACCCAGGCCGCACTGCTCATATCGCCCTTGTCAAGAACCTTCAGACCGAAGAAAGGACTTACATCCTGGCGGCAGAAGGCTTACGGGCCGGAGACACTGTTGAGAGCTATCGGTCAGGCCTTCCACAGTCACTCATCGACGAGATGGGTGGGCACATCGACCAGGGTGTCCTAGCGTCCAAAACAGCGCATAGGGGCAATTGTCTGCAGCTAGGCATGATCCCTGTGGGCACCCCCATATTCAACATCACACCGACAAAAGGCGACATTGGGAAGATCTGCCGCAGTGCGGGAACACATGGAATCATCATTGGCAAAGGGGAAGACACGGTGCAGAAAGAGATGATGAAGTTGATTGGTGACAATGGCGACATGGATCTGTCTACCTTGAGCACAGATCAACTGAGGAAGTTCGAGAAGGCGGCTAACTATGTTACTGTGCGCCTTTCCAGCGGCGAGGTTCGACTGATTGACAAAGATGCTGTAGCAACCATTGGTGTTGCAAGCAATGTCAACTTCAAATATACCTCTCTGGGCAAGGCAGGTCGATCGCGATGGCTTAATATTCGACCAACTGTGCGAGGCGTGGCCATGAACGCAGCAGACCATCCACACGGTGGTGGTCGGGGCAAATCCAAGGGTAATCGCATCCCTGTGAGCCCTTGGGGCATCCCGGTAAGTGTGCTTCTTCCGCAGTGTCTGTTCCCCAATGCTGACCAGTCACCAGGCGAAATCCGGCTACAAGACGCGAGATAAGCACAAAATCAACCCTCTTGTGGTGACCCAGCGTCCAAGGAACCAGGGACGTCGGAGAAGAGGTTATGCATAGATTAGGACATGTATCAATATTCCCGGCATAGACGCGCTGTGCAGGTCCCCTTTCTCGGGCACTGGCTCGTCTTATTTGGAGGTCTAGCGAATGTGTGTGTAAAGATGAAGACCTTTTCGCAGAATTCTTTCCATTCACCTCTCCCAACAGGTAGCATCTTTTTGAGGCACAAAGGTCTATGACTGCTGCAGTTGTATAAAGAAGTCCAGGTGACTCGTCCAACCACTTGCACAGCCAATTAATGAACACATCCTGGTCGGATCAAATAGGAAGGGCGAGAGTGCTCAGTTCCGCGCTTCAGGACTCATTAGCCTACGAGAATTAGCGACTCCCAGGCTCCGATAAGTCCCTATAGTACCTAGGTAGGTACCTAGGTACGGAGTGCTGTCCCTCACCCGCCGAATATTTCCCCGTGCCCCCAGTTCCCCACCCCCTAAGCCTAGTGCAGCCTCGATTCTTAGTAATTCCCACTGGTTCGTCTGCCCACCCACAGCCCACTGAGTGTCTCTATCATGCATGGGTGAAGTGCTAGGAGGTTTGTTGCGTGCCAATTTCCATCTCGCTGAAACTCTGCGCGACGATGAGGTTCAATTTGGCCCAGCTTCGGTTCTAGCGGCCTAATTGATGGCCTCTCTTAACGCCAATCCTCGGTAGTTGTATATCTTGTGAAGCAGAAATGGACAGTTAGTCATGGACACAGAAACAGAATGGCCTCAACAACTCTCGTCGGTTCCAAGAGCAAAGCGCCGATCTCGCGTTCAATCAGCTTGTCAGAGATGCCGGAGACAGAAACTGAAGGTGGGTGGACCAGAGCGCGCTTCATCATGTATTCTTATTGATATCGATGGCCAGTGTGATCAGGAGCGACCTTGTTCGTTGTGCCTGAGGTCCGAGGTTCCCTGTATTTCAGAGTCTAGGCAAAGGTTAGTCGCGCTTGTCAATTGTATAAACCTTCTAGGAAAAGACCGTTCTAGTGAGCTAAGGATGGATTGTCCGGATTCAGGCGCAAGAAGTTGTCAAGGCTATCTTCCACCGATCCAGATAGTGGTCGGAACGAGAAACAACCCACAGCCGTCCATCCAGCGTCGCTTCACGCCACCAGTTCCTCCCCGCAATCACGGTTCAGCCATGGCGAAGACCAAGAGAACAGTTCTACACCCAGTCACCAAACGAATAGTCCCGCGAAAATCAAGGCGCAAGTTAGCCTTGACCGGCTTTGCGCGACAGATCCTCAAGCCTACAATCAGAGGATCTCATCAGCGGGACTGACACAGGAGGTCAGATTGCCGGACTGTTTGTTGATCATGCAACTGATGGCAACTATAGATCATTGACAACTTCAGCCCTGAGATCATCCTTGAGAGCTCTACCTCTGCACTCCCTGGAGGCGTGGGTAGTTCTCAAGGGACGTACGGAATATCTCAGGATGATATCACGATGGAACAGCTACTGGGCCTCGAATTACCTTCCAAACGGGTGACAGACTATTTCCTCAACACCTATCTCGATGCTGTACATTGGTTTATGATGCTTTTTCATGAGCCAACGTTCCGGTCCTCCTATGAGAGGCTGATGGCATCGAGGAGATTCCCGCGCACGAGGTCGAACCAGGTAATCTTCATCCTTCTGGTACTGTCCATGGGCGCACATTATGCTTCGGACGACGATGTGCGACAAAAGTTTCCTACTTTCCAGCTGGACACCTTCCGAAAGCTCTCCCTCAAAAAGGTCGAGGACAGCATGCACTCCGTGTATGATGCGGCAGAACTCGAATCTGTCCAAGTGTGTGTCCTTCTCGCGTCATACTATGTCTACTACGGTCGCCCCAATCTTGCATTCGTTGTTCTCGGTGCCGGACTCAGGTGTGCCCAACTCATGTTGCTGCACAGAGAGTCAACCTGGCGAGGTTTGTCGGAAATTGCGAAAGAGGAGCGCAGACGGACCTTTTGGGCTCTTTTTATTTTCGATCGGTATGTAAAAGGTTTTGGCAGTCAGCCCTCCTACTGATGTCAATATAGATTTGCAGCTACAATATATGGACGACCCTGTGGCATCCCGATTGGTGAAGTTGATATCAAGATCCCAGAGAATATCGGCGACACCACTATTCAGCATCCAACGTTTCGCTCAACTGCGACCATGCCAGATGGAACCGTGGAACCAGTCACCACATTTTCCTACTTGAAGTACAAGATCAAGTTGTACCAGATCTCTTCGCCTATCATTGGTGACTTGTATTTTCATCGAAGTTCTAGTGTGTCGGAGTTGGCGCTCAAGGTCTATCGAATTGACAAAGAGCTGTCCAACTTCTTCGCTTCTCTGCCGCCAGAGCTGAAGTTGGAAGATCTGTGTCGAAACACCGCCGAACCCATGACAGCTAATAGCAGACCTTTTATACTACAAGCACTGGCGCTTCAGATTGCCTATGACAATGTGCAGATCCTTCTACACCGCCCGTTACTGTCTCAAGATCTGCGAAGTTTCAAGCCAGACGCACCAACTTCCGGGTCCCAAAGTTCGAGGTACTCTTCCGGCCAGATCGATTTTGCCAACGACGCCAAATTGTCGCATCGGCATGTCCATGAAATCTTGCTTGCCAGCAGAGATAATTGTTGGGAATCTGCAATCAGGTCTTCAAAGCTCGGCCAGTATCGTCAATGCTTGATCTCGGCTCGGGACAGTCACGCCGCGGCATTTCTCGGTATCAATCTGTTCACGGCTGGCATGGTCCTGTGCGTCGTGGCTCTCTCACGGCCGCTATCCTCGGAGGCGCAAATGGCTAAACAGGCCGTTGCTCGGATCATGTCCCTCTCGCGGTTCTTATCAGGCAGAGCCCTCCTCTCCGCGCAAACATCAAAGATCCTAAAGGATCTTATTCGACTGATCGGGGAGAGAGAGATCAAGGCGATGCTTTCGGAATCAGACACATCTCAAAGCATGGCAACCTTATCAGGAATAAGACCTAGAGAGACAGCAGACTCCTCTAACGCAACACCTGGGCCTGCCTTCGGGGATCCGGAATACGCTGAAGAAGCCGCTGTGAACCCAACCACGACACAGATGAATGATGAACCGGTTCCCTTTACGATTGATCAAGTTGAAGCTTCCATGAACGATTTTGACTTTTCTGGCTTCGAGAATGTAGATTTCAACAATGGTTTACTGATCATGCAGCAAGGTAAGAATCACGGTTCTTGTCATTCTCTTGTGTGGTATTTTGGAGCTAACAAATAGTGCAAGCGATGTTCCCGGAAGTATCGGCGCTTGATCCAGAGAGATCAAATGATGACGGAACAAACCAGAACGCGGCCCAATACGGCGCTGACAATTCTTATATCAACCAAACTGGGGGAAGCGACATGGGTCTCTTGGGCTCTGACCTGAGCGTGATGAACACTGTTGGGCAGACCTGGCTTTGGGACTCTGTCACATGGTGAACCATTTGATCAGATGTGCGAAGTGGCTTGCCAAAGGAGGGCTCAAAACGAGCGTATGGCCGTGGGAGTCGCAAAAAGCTTCTGGATCTCAAGCTCTAGTTCCACAGAGAAACATGTGTGATTTATGTCTGTGTCCGTATAATTAAATCAGATGCTTGACGGGGCAGCAGCAAGCATTATCTGGAGGCTTTTGCCAGTCAGCCTTGCTACCCGACAAGGCTGTGATCGGTTAACCTTCCTTTCCCGAAAGCGGTGGTTGGAAATGTTCAAAAAAGTTTTGTGGTTTGGGGAAGAAATGATTGAACAAGCCCACGCCTTGGATTCGTACTGGAAATCCTCTCGCTAGCTTGCCTCCTCTAGTACCACAAGAAACCTCAGAGACCAAGATGGCCAAAACCAAGACGAAAGGACACTCGAAACAACAAAAAGACATCCTCCGCTCTACAACGTCCCCGCTCGTGAAAGGCGGCGTCGTTCCCAAAAAGTCGCACCAGAAATCGATCGAGGAGTTGCTGACCGAGGCCGCCGAACTCCTCGAACAGTCTCAGCCGGAACTTGCTCTCCCGCTCGCTGAAGAAGCTCTAAAAAGACTCGAAGATGAACGCCAACAAGAACAACATGCTCCGAACAAGGAGGATCAGATCGATATCGACGACCTACTGTCCCTGGCCGCACAGGGCGTGCCTACCTTACCCTCTGCCCTCACACTGAACGCCGAGATCCAAGTCGCACTGGGCGATGTGGACTCTGCACGACGGAATTTCACGCGCGCGACGCGGATCGACAAAGACGGGGCCCTGATCTCGGCGGAACCCTGGCTTTGGCTCGCGCAGCTGTGCGAAGAAGGCGGGGTCGAGAGTATCAGATACTTTGAGCAGGCGTGCGAGGTGCTCCGGAACGAGATCGAGGTCCTGGAAGAGGCGGTCAATGAGATGGACACCGGCGGTTCCGGAGCGGACGCGGGGACAAAGAAGGTGCTCGATGAGAAGAAATCAAAACTGGCCGATGCGCTCTGCGCCATGGCCGAAGTCTACATGACTGACCTGTCGTGGGAGAGTGACGCGGAGTCACGGTGCGAGACCCTCGTCACGGAGGCCGTCGCCGTATGTCCCGAACATCTGAGTGCCGGCGTGCTACAGACATTGGCGAGTGTGAGGATCAGTCAGGAACGGATCGAGGACGCGAGGACGGCGTTGAAGAGGAGTCTCGATATCTGGTGGAAAGACAACGCACCCCCACCTGCTTCTGACGACCTCAAGGAGAAAAAACGCAGTGCAGAAGAAGAAGGCAATGTAGGAGACGACGGACGGAAACCCGACTTCGCGACCCGCGTCTCCCTCAGCCGTTTGTTGATGGAGGTCCAGCTCGAACAGCTCGCCATGTCCGTCCTCGAGGGCCTTGTCCGCGAGGACGACCAGAGCGTCGAATGCTGGTACCTCGGCGGGTGGTGCCAGGTGCTCATCGCCCAGAAACCGGACACCAGTAATCCGGATGTAAAAGCAAAATGTAACGAGACCGCCAAGCAGTGGCTCGAGAACTGTCTCCGGCTCTACCGTGTTTTGGGGTACGAGGATGAGCGGCTCAGGGAGCATGCTGTCGAGTTGGTCGCCGGGTTGAAGAAGGAGTTGGGCGAGATGGATGAGGACGACGAGGGCGATGCTTGGGAGGATGTCGATGACCAGGAGGATGATGATGAGGACGAAGACGATGGGGACCTCGAAATCGAAGCTGATGGGGAGGACGAGGCGAGTAGTCATCCTGGTGCTAAGGCTGGGGATGGGGATGTGGAGATGACCTGATTAGAGACGTGGAAATGCCTCGACACGATTAAGCAACAGAAAGGACCTAATTAGACCATGAAAAATACAGACCGTGCTCGTCACGAATATTGACGATCGTCCGCTGGGGTTGAGGACAGTAACTTTGCAGCGCTGTCTCCCTATCTTGATACCCGCCATGTCATCTGAATCTCAGCCGAATATTCCGCCCTGCTAGGTCTGCGTCTTGAAGACACGGGCAAAGGTCTCCTGTGCCGTCTCCGGCTTGAAGTCAAAGAGCCCATTGTCCAACTTGCCAACCCCGTCCGCAACGCCATACCCACTAACCACCAACGGCTTGATGTTGAACATCATCTCCGACAAGTCGTCCTCGTTCACTCTGGCCTGTTCCTCGAGTTCCTTCGCCACAGAGACATCCAGCCAGCTGATTTGATACTTGACGCCTCTGACCTGCTCCAAAGCGCCAATCAAGTCTTCGACTTTACCCGTCCAGCCTTGCACCCGCAGCGTGCGCCCTGGACCCTCGAACGGAATCCGTAATGAATCAATGGTGTACCGTGCGATGTCGGGGATGCTCGTTACTCCAACCCTCCTACCAGGCTGGCCATATAGTTTTGCCGTGAGCTTCTCGTGGTCAACCCCGTAGAACTCATCGAGCGCCCACTCTGTGAAGATACCGGTGACCATGAGGGTGTACTGGAAGCCGGGTTCTCGAGCGGCCTTGGCACGTAAATAGGACCTTGTGGCTTGCTTGTCCCGGAAATAGCGCCAGTTTTGGATCTGGGGTTGCGAGATATCGCTGTTCCATTCTGAGGCGTAGAAGTGCTTTACTCCTGCGGAGACGGCAACTTCAACCATGGCAGGTTGCAGGATCATCAGGGGGTTGCCGACCGCGGATATGACGTGTGTGAAGCCTTCACGACTGAGTCAGAATACAGTCGCGGAAAGGAAGTTTCAGCTGCTTAATACGGACCTTGGTATGACTTGACTTCAAAGAATGAACCAACAACAACTTCGACGCCGACATTGCTGAATTTGTTGGCTCTTTCAGGGGTTGCGAGAATGGCGATGCGCTTGAATTGATGTCTCTGGCGGATAAGCTCATCCAGGAGCGGCTTTCCAAGAGCGCCGCTTGCGCCGATCAGGAGGACTGAAACATCTGCCATGTTGGACGCAAGTGATAGTAAGTAATAGACGAGTTTTTCTAATATCTTTGACTTGGACTGAAGTCGCCATATTGAAGCCCCAGGAAGGAGCGACTGTATTTAGAGCTTTTCGCGACAGCCACGACACCGTGGACGCACCAGGAGCTGAGGCGGGTGAGGTATATCCGCCTTAGGCTGATTTGATAATTCGAGAAAAGCCACATATTCTATAACTCAGCATGCTAGAATATGTGGCTTTTTCACATTATCAATCAAGTCGAAGATACTGCATAGCGGCCTATTATGGCCGTAGTTGTGTCGCAGCCTGGACCTATGTCACGTTTCTTTCCTGATACGGGCTTCGGTATACCAATGACGGCACCCCCTGCAGACGTTCCTTGAAAGAGAAGATGACTAATGGCGGGCAAGGGCCGGATGACATTCGCGAGCGTTTGAGATACTCGTAGGGTTGCCGCAATTGGACAACGGACCGGTTTTGGTAATGTCTCCGAAAGCTGAAGGACCGTTCGTTCATTCACCAGGTGGTCGAGTTCTGCCGTACTCCTTTGTCCCACGGAGCGATGTGGACGCACAGATTGTCCCAAGAATAATTGAGAGCTGAATCCAATTCCACGCTCCCACGATATGTCCGTACTCAAATCCAGCAACGCAGGACATTCTCTGGCGAGCACGATTGCGTACAGCATCAAACATGGCCAGGTCGGGCCGAATGAGCCGCCATCTCGGATAGTGCGAAGGTCAGTTGGGTGAGTCTGATCGATCAGTCTTCCTGCCATGCACTCTTTTTCACCGTCTCCTGAGATCTAGAGCTTCCGATGCCCACCTTGACCTTCGACCAGTCGCGCTGCATAAGGTGATCACCTTCTCTTGCATCCCTCCTGTGTTTCTCCAAGTAGAAACGGCCGCCTTCATAGCAGCCTAAGTATAGACCGCTGCCCAACGAAGTCCAGCAGGCACGCAGGAGAGCTCCGCGGAACAGGCCTTGGATGCCGTGTGTCTTGAGAATTTCTCTGGCCACAATAAATCCGCTTTTGCGCGACCCTTGAACGCCTTCCAGGAGGTATTTTGAAGCTTTTCCCTTGGAATCTGTTCTAGGGCTATCATCACCCGACCCTGCAGCGAGCATGATTCTGGTTTTGACCACGTCGATCGGAGTCGTGATCCACGCAGCTCCGCTTCCAGCGATAGCGGCACTCAACGCCGTAATACGTGCGCGTTCGGCTATTCCATCGACGGGTCTTCCGCCATTCCGCTCTTTACGCCTTTGCATGAAATATCCTTTCAGAAACTCAAAGGTAGGGAATTGCAGAGCAGTAAACGGCAAGTTTCTCGCGGCAAGCGCAGTATACCCTCTCCATAATCTTGAAGGATTCTTTCTGAAATGCTTGAAGACTTCCAAGGAGGTAGACGTTCTCTTCCCCCGAGCACTGAGCATCTGAGCGTTTTGCTTGAGGACTTCGGCAGGGGTGAGGATAGCGCAGCTGACAAGCTCAGCACCGCCACTGGCCGCAGCATGGATGGCAGGTTGGGGAAGAAATATCGTGGAGTTGGGGGGGACTGCTTCCGAGATTCCATACTTCAAGGCTTCGTATGTCGTGAAGAATGCGCCGGACGAGGGAATTGTGATAAGGATGATGGAACCAACGCCTTGGTACAGGCCACGGAATAAAGCAGGTTTCGTCTTGCCACTGGCATCTTTGTACAGCTGTTCATAGTGTTGCGATTGGAGACGTGTCTTGAGAGTGTCAAGAGGATAGACGAGCAGATCGACAGTAAACGCAGCAAATGCACCAGCCTATGCAGCATGTCAGGTGAAGCAATGGAAGCTGAGTCTGATGCCACTCACAAACCAGATGTCAGAGCTGGTATTGTTAGACATGGAAGAGACGCGCACACCAAGAGAATGAGATCTATGTACCTCGTACTCCGAAAATGATTGGGAAAAGAGAAGGTGAACTGGGTGGTCGACTAAGGAATGTCAATCAGTGGACAAAATAATTTTGGGAGAACGTCATTCATGCACCAGAGTTTCCCCGACACAAGGCTGAGACTCAGCCTTGTAGTGGAAGTTGTGTATCGGGCACCCGCAACGACACCATGCACTCTTTGATCAATCCAGCAAGCTCTCTGGCACTATGGTGACCTCCCGTGCCAATACATTGATACATGACCAAAAACTCCGCCAAGAAGACGTCCTGCCAGCAGATAAAACCGAATTCGCACATTCACGTGAACTCGGCTCACTTTCCTCTCTCGTTATCACCAAATCCAAAATGTCCCTCCCCACAAAGATGTCGGGCCCAACTCTTCGCAAACCAGCCTACTACATCAAGGTGCCTGCAGTCATGGCGTCCATCCCGGAGTATGTTCTTTTATATTATTGTACACTGCTCAGATCACTGACAATCATGCAGGAAAGAGACGCAGCTGAAGGCGGTCCAGCTCGAGGCGCTGGTAAGTGCAATTTCTTCCCATTCCTCAAACAAAACTGACTGGTGGAAAAGGTCGTCATGAAAGTGATCAAACACTGCGCAAGTCGTTTCCCCACCGTCGCAACCGGCTCCCTCGTCGGTATGGACAACAACAATGGCACCCTCGAGGTGACCAACACATTCCCCTTCCCTGTCGTGGATCTGCCGCCCGAGGCGCAATTCGACAACCAACCGCAACACTTCAACGCTGCTGCTTCTGCTCCTCGCGCAAAGGCCAACACTGCCTACCAAGCCGAGATGATTCGCATGCTGCGCGAGGTCAATGTCGACGCGAACAATGTGGGGTGGTACACAAGTGCAAACCTGGGAAATTTCGTCAACGCGAATTTCATTGAGAATCAGTATCACTACCAGAAGGAATTAAATGAGAAGACTGTGGCGCTTGTGCACGACGTCAGTCGCAGCTCTCAAGGGATTCTCAGCATTCGCGCCTTCCGGCTGTCGCCACAATTCATGACCGCGTACAAAGAGAACAAATTCACCACTGACCAGTAATGCAGACTTCACTCAATTTTTGAAAGAGCATCAATGCTAACATCCCTTGAACAGGCTTCTCAAGTCCGGTCTCAAGTACTCAGATATCCTCGTCGAAATCCCCGTGTCTGTCCACAACTCCCACCTCGTCAACACATTCCTCCACCAAGTGCCCGGCATGCTGGCTTCAGGCGTCATGAAACCTCCCAGCTCCGTTGACGAGATTGAGAATAATCCCATTGTCAAGAACGACACCCTAGCACCTTCATTCGAGTCACTTTCTATCTCCATCGACCCCTACCTCTCTCAAACCGCCGACAACCTTCTCGACAGCATTGAGACCCACCATGTTGAAGCCAACAATTTCTCTTACTATTCCCGTGCTCTTGCCCGTGAGCAGGCTAAGATCCAGCAGTGGCAGCAGAAGCGTAAGGCGGAAAATGCGGCGAGAGCACTGTCCAAGCAGCCACCATTGCCAGAGGACGAGTGGCAGAAATTGTTCAAATTGCCTACAGAGCCAAGCCGTTTGGAGAGCATGTTGAATAGTCGCCAGGTTGAGCAGTACGCCAAACAGGTCGATGGCTTTGTCGCAGGGACTACAGGAAAGATGTTTGCCGTCAGAGGAAATCTGTTGCCTGGCGACGGGACCGAGAACACCACCCCCCGAAATGAATGAATTGTGAGATGAGCATGATGCTATCTGTATGGACGACAAATAATGCAACTGCTTGCGATGGCAGTCGATGGCCACCAGCGCATGGTAAGCAGAGTGAAAAAACGGAGCTGAATCAAGAATTGAGTGAGCCTGAGACTCGACCTGATTCGAGGAAGGTAGAATTGACTGGCTGCTTGTGCAGTCTTGGACTATGAGATGAACTGGGCGAAATGAGACGAGTTTGAGCTATGAACGCGGCACAAAGTAATGCGCAGCGAAACCGAAACCGAGCACAGCCGGTACGGAGTGAAAGCAAAATGAGGAATGAAATGAAAACAATGACAACATGGCTCGGATGTGACTTGGACTTTTCGAGCCCTGCCGGCTCCTGCTGGTTCGACCGTGCCACCCATTTTTTGCGCAGCATGCCGAGTTGCGAGAGTGAGAGCGATGATATATCAAGAGGGCGTTCTGGTGTTAGAGCCAGGCAGCCTTGAGGCGCTCCGGCGGTTTTCTAGCTGGGTTGCTGTTGAACATAGAAGAGGCAAAAGCGCTGTTTGTATTTCAACTCGGCCATACGGGTGGTCCCAGGAAATGGACTCTTTCGTGTGGCAAGCTGCGAGCGGGAGACGCCAAAATGTGTCTGATGCAGAAACCCGGAGGGCCCAGCTTGAAACATGGAGGATGTGGAGATAGAACTGATAGAGAGAAAAAGAGCAGACAGCCGTTCAATTGACCGCGGCGGTCACTCTCTGCATTCTTGTTTCCGACTTCCATTTTCTTTGCCTCCTACTGAAAAATGACCATGGCGATGAACCGAGGTATTCAAGGCCCTTGCTTGGCTTTTTCTTCCCCCCTCAGCGCACGCAAACACTCTATGCTCGTATCTTGAACTGTGGGTAGAACCTCAGCGTGTGAACTTCGCATATAGCCTCTCTTGTGCTGTTGATCCCTAACAATTCTTTGTTCCTGTACGGAGACATTGGCATGACGACCGTCTCCTCTGACTTCGACGTTCCTGTTCCAGAGGCCGGAGAGGAGAGGAGAGGAGCAACGAGCGGACGGATCGGACCTTTTTTCGTTTCATCCACAAAAATGGTCCAGAGCTTGCTCGCACCTCGCGTCCAGGACTGTAGATTATTGATTGACTGATCCTAACAAGCAACTCGGGCTGGATTCTGCGCAAGGGTCTGACGTGTGTGCTTGATAAGGCAAGCTTCTCATATACCTAGGTAGATATCTAGCCACTCTGTTTACTTCGTACTGTGCTAGACATATCTGCATGGTAAGTAAGCAAGCAAGCAAGCAAATCAGCGAGCGAGCAAGGAGAGATTTCCTTGTTGCGGTCGATATCAAAATCATTCAGCATGCACTGCAGTTCAAGATATGGCTGAGATGGTATCTCAAAAAGAAAGAAAAGAGATGGACTGCTTTAACATAAGATTCCACCCAAAAGGCATGTCAGTCCGCATAAGTCTAAATGTACATGCTCCTTTGGCCGATTCCTCGCTTGCAGATTCGTCTGCATAGTAGTAGTAGCCCGGTGTCGAAGACAGCAATGGGTGCTGAGGTGACTCCGAAATGTCGGCGTTAGTTGTAGGCGGTCTTCTACAGGCACGACCCACCACTGGGATTGATGGGCTTCGCCCGGGAGTTGGGCGTGTTATGTCCTCTATCTGCGCAGTTCTAGTCTAAGAAATGAAGCACGGCGAGACGGAAAGGCGGCTCAGGAACTCGATGTTTCCCTCCCGTTTTTCCACAGGACTTCGTCCGTTGGGGATTTTGCCAGGCTTCACTAAAGTCAGAGCATGGAAAGAGAAAGCTGAGCAATCGTCCTGGCAAAGAAGAGATTAGGCTTTCAAAACCTATGCGACTGCGAAACACCGAGTCATGAGTAGCAAGGGAGCAAGGGGGAGCAGAAGGGGGGAAGGCCTCATGCAGTCGATGGAAGGACAGAGAAGGGGATTCATGGGGGTCCTCAGTGCTCAGGAGGCTCCGTTTCGACTTTGAGGGTTGTGAGCGAGCACTTGCCCGCCTTCTCCCACAAGTGGCAGTTGACAAGGACGGGGCAGTCTCACAATTGCAACCCATGTAGAATGAAGATTCCTGGCTGTAAGTTTTTTTCGTAGCTCAAGCCCCATGCGATCTGCGTCGTCCACCTTCTCCAAGTCCGGTGAGAAAGTCAAAGGCGAGCAGATGTCCCTGTGGTTGCTGTGGAGTCAACCAAATCTTTTGGAATGTTGTCTCAGGGAGCAGGTGTCCACAACAGGACCGGCATCTTCTGGATTTCGCAGCTTGCAACCCAGTTCGAGCAGAATGGAGCCATCCCAAATGCAGAAAATGGATCCTGGGCGGGCAGACCGTGTGTTCGAAGGAGAAGGAACAGGGTGGAGACGTTCAAGAAGTGTGGTGGGAACTCTCAGTACACAGTACATGACATAGAACCACCAACACAATGCATGCAAGTGACAGAACACCGCCAAAAATATTCATTTGAGGAACGAGAGGACCTCGCCGCACTTGAAGTCCTTTAAGTAGCCGGCAAAAACACTGAGGTGAAGTTGTGCTGCAAACGCCCATAAACCCCTCTATAACGCAAAGAAAGTTGTCAACAAGAATCAAAGCGCTCCTTGCCCATTTACCTCCTCAGATTCGGCGGGGGTCCGTCGGGGGCGTCCCGTGATTGAAGCTGAGAGAGCGGACTTCTTGAACCACTCAAGGTTTCGCGGAGTCATTCCATCGCCAGATCGCGCCGTAGATGGACGGTCGAAGATTGGGGCCAGAGCAAGTAGAGGCATTCTGGCTGCTCGCGAAACGCGTTGAGTTCCACTGACCCAAAGACTCTGGCTTAGTTCCAGTTTCGAGCTTCTGCGCCCTCGTCGGCGTCTCGCGCTCTTCGCTCGGCCTCGGAGCCCGAGCTCAGAAGCTGATTCTGGGTCTGCTTTTTCTGTGCCGACAGTTGGCTGGAAAGTTTCCCGCCCGGCTTATTGGCTCTTGCAGCGCGTTCCTGGTGGTTTCAGTCAGATCGCCATCTTCGTCCAAGGGCACAGCAGCGTCAAAGTTAGGGTAAGACCAGACTCCCAACGCTCACACCCTCTGCTAGATGCAACACAGCAAAACTCACCTCGGCTGCTCTGGCAGCAGCACTTCTGGCATTATCATCGCCCGGGGCCCCATCTCCCCCACCAAGAGGTCGACCAGGAGTACTGCTGGTAATTTTCTGCGGGATGGGCGCCGAGGTTTGTCTGGGCTGTGTGCTCGACCCAACGGTACGACCGGGGCTGGCGAAGTTGTCAGGTTTGTTGGCTGATTTGGAACACAAATTCCCCATCGCGAAAGGCCGTGGCACTAGTGGTAGGGGAGAGAACGACTAGGGAGTCGGAGCAAGGAAGTCGGAGCACAGACACCGAAGCGGGCACAATGAGAGAAGGGTTGAAGAAGCGATGGAAAAGAAGCGGTGCCTGGTGGGGGATTTGAGTCAGATGTCGCGATACCCGTTTGAATCAGCGGTTCGGGTGGAGTTGGAGGGCCTTTGGAGGGAGTTGGAGGGAGTTGGAGGGAGTTCCTCGGCGGGGACCTGCTACGCCACACCAGCTGTTGCACCCACTGCACCCGCCCAAGCCACCTAAGCCACTGCACCCACTGCACCCACTGCCACCCGCCGCACCTGATGCAGTCACGCGCACTGCCATTTGCGCAAGGCTGTGGCTACGGTACCGCAATACGGCCACTACGAAACACCTAATTCCAACCTCACCAGAGCCACAATCCATGAACATGTCCTATGAATCGACTGCTCAATGAGTCGAGCTACAGCAGATGACACGACTGAGAGTTGTCTGGTTCTTCCTCTCATCTCTCGCCCTCGTGCTTTCGAAAAACCAGGAAAATTTTCTTTTCGAACTTTCACGTATTTTTGCGGTTTGAAAAAAAAGGGTCTGCGACTCCACCCAAGCTAGGTAGGACGCGTGATACACGACGCGAATGAAGAAAGATTAATTACCACTAAAGATTTTTTGAAGAGGGCATCCTGGTTGACGCGGAGATCGTCGCAGGAACCATCCTGTGTCCTGGTGCACGGTCCCCAATGCCCCATCTGAACCACAGGTATCGGTTTGAACTTGACGATGGGTCATTGGGCGGTACCCTATGGCAGCATGGTGCCATGGTCTCTGGCAACAAGTTTGGAACTTGGACAATCAAGGGCCTTGGAAAACAGGCAGGCAATGTTGGCTTTTGCCGCTGTTAGTGGTCAGGATCGTGCACAGCAGGCTTCTCTGATGGGCAGTCTACGCTCCAACGCGGTTTGCTTTGGTCACTGATACAAAGTGTCTCGACGATCCAAAGCCGATTTCGACATGGGCACCTGCCTTCATACAAGCTACGTGCCAGCGTCCCACCAGAGAGAATCTGTTGACCCTTGTCGCTTGCAAGGCCTGAGCGATGGCTGACCCTGGGGCTTCGTGAGTGATCTCCACAGTTAGCCAGGCAGCGCGCATTACAGTCCTGCACACGGATATGCTGCATCCGCGTCCGTCAACCAGAAATGCAGCAAATGCTAATTCCCGGCAGGTGACCCCTCTACGGCTGCTTGAGCAAGAAAATGTTTCTGAAACAAGATGATCGCAAGCCAACCAGAAGGTGTTCCGGTTCTCGTCTTGATGTGGTGGGTTTACTGCGTGACTCTGGCTTCCTAATCTGGTGTGTTTTCGCATCCACAATTTCACCCATCCATTGGTTTCTTCCCATGGATCACCTCCAGCCTGCTCAACCATGCGCGGTCAAAGTATATTTCAATTGTGGCTACCCTTTTGCTGTATTTTTGCTTTCCTTGCCGGAGCTTTCCAATACCACCATTACAGGAACCTGATATTTGTCGATACAGTTGTCAATGGTAGGTTCAAAACAGAGTGACAAAATGGTATGGTTCAACTAGAGGAAATTTTTCTCGACGCGCTTTCTCCCAGTACAAATACCCCCCTCTGTCCTCTGTCCTCTTTCCTCTCCCTTCTCTTTTCTCTCTCCAGAGAAACCACACAGCACTTACAACACAGCCCGACCTCAGAGAAAATCAGATTAAAGCTGCATTCAGCCGGAATAGGACTCTGTATACAGCGACCTGCACTTGCCATTGTCTTCAAAGGACAACGACCCGCCAAACACAAGGTAGGATTTGAGTCTTATTCTCTGTTGCCACTGGAGGCTGACTGTTGCTCAAGGAGCCTGCAATAGTCCAGGCCCAAGCACCAACACCTTGGACTTGCCACCACAGTGCTCTACACGTTCAACCACCAGAGCAATCAAGATGGCCGGCAAATACAACTGCACACTGTGTGACAAGCACTTCACGGCCAAAAGCAGTCTCAAGAACCATGTGCAGAGCGTTCACCGCAGAGAAGTCGTCGTCTGTCGTTTCTGCCGATCGACTGTCAAAGCAGACATGTCCAACGTTCGCAGGCACGAAGACGGCTGCAAACGCAACAGGGCCGGCAACGGCGGCCGTTTGAAGTGCTTCTGGCACGGTTGCAACTACAACTGCAGCCGTTCCGACAACATGAAGCGGCACATGAGAAAGTGCCGTCACAAGCCCACTAACTGGGCTGGCGGGTACCCAAACCCCGTCAGGAACAATGGCCAGCAAGTTGCTCCAACACAGGGGCAAGAAGCACCCGCCCTGGCTCAAGGGACTGCTGTCACGCCCCAAACGGGCGTGAATGCCTTCCAGCAGGGCATCGACTTGGCACCAGGCGACCCTACCAATCCGGTGTGGTTCGCAGCCAATTATCCGCAGTTCGACGGTTATTGGCAACCGGCTGCAGCGTATCAATCGCCTGCGGCCGCCATGCCCGCCAACGTCGACTACCAGGTTGTTGAACCTGAGTGGAACGCCTCTGAAAATACCCCGTTGACAGATTACGGGGTAGAGGCAGTGAACAGCCTGACATAACCGCAAGCACCAGACAGTGACTCGACTGAGTCCTTCTAGTTGGTTTGCAAGTACCCAATGACTCCTAAGGCGCCTAGGATGTCAAAGGTTACAGTCAGGTTGACACCAGAGGCACAGAACTTGGCCAGGGCGGCTTCAAACACATCAACCACTGGCGGCAGATCAGAATAGCGTGCAGAAATGGTGGTATTGGAGGCAATCTTTCAAACCGGCTGTTGGTCACCACAGCCCTCCAACATTCAACATCAACCTCGTCGACATCAACCTCGTCGACATCAAACTCCTCGATATCAACCTCCTCGATGTCAACCTCCTCGATATCGACCTCCTCGATATCAACCTCCTCAACATCAACCTCCAATCCTCATCTTCTTGATCACCAGTAAACGATGCTTGGAAGTGTGAAAGACAGAGCCAGGTTGGTCAATCACTGTTTGAGCTGCAGATCAAACAGCTGATTTTTCACCCAGTTCTTGTCTGGAACAGTGTACAACATACGTTTCGCCAGTCCAAATCATCTGGATCTACAACATATCGACGAAACCCAATGAGGCTATTAAGCCTGGAAAGAGGGTGGCAGGGTGGTTTTCCGGGTTATTCTTCGTCGACTATCATCTGTCTCCATTGACAAAGTCGCGACAAAGTCACAAAGACTTTTGCTACTAATATCGGAGCGGCTTTCGTTACTTCATCAAAGCAACCTCTCATCAGAGCAACAGCTCAGCACCGCAATATCCCAGCACTGCAATATCCCAGCAAAGTAATGCTCCAGTAAAGCAATACCTCACCAAGAATTTACGCCATCTACTTCAACAATCCTGGCTTTATGTTCTTACAACTCACTCAATCAGTTAATACATCCTGGAAAGTGAGCGGTTGGGCGGGTTCAGGTCCCCTCTTGGTCTTTCATGATCTCTGATTTTCTCAAAGCTCGGCACTACTGTTCAAGTCTGTGTGGCTCTCGCCCCTTCAACAACACTTCGACATCAATACTTCTTCGACTCAACAACACTTCAACAACTACCTATACTCTCTCAGCTTGTCAGCAACACAACATGTCAACAGCATTTCGACAATCATCTACATTCTCTCAAATTATCAGCGACTTAACATGTTCATTCAGACAATCCTGGACAGCGGGTGGCGGGGTGGACTCCAGGACTTCTTCTCAAAATATCCCAGATTTTTACATAACGACCTCCATTAAACCGACATCATGGTCCCGGAACACGACGCAATTGGCAAGCGCAACAGCCAGAGTGCAACATTCCAATCGACAACTTATCAAAAGCACAACAACTTTGCAAATCGATCTCTTGGAAAGCGGGTGGCAGGGTGGTTTTCAAGAGTCATTTTCAATCTCATACATCAGGTGGCTATCTCTGCATCTCTTTGTTCAACATTAATCAATAACGTCCAAAGTCTTCTATGCAACGCCAACTCAAAGACACGATTTTCTGGAAAGAGGGTGGCAGGGTGGCTTCCAGAATCATTTCCACAATCACAGCAGCAATCTACCTCAGTAGGGAGTCTTACTCATCTACCCATCAAGGACTACAACATCTCACATTGGCATATTCATCTCAATCGGTTACAACATTTCAAGGAGTTCGACCGGCAGCACACCTTACAACAATTCACCATTTTGTTCCATACCCTGTACGACTATCGGCGATATAGATCAAATCTCCCCAAGAAACAAACTGCTATATCCTGGGCAACTATCAACAATATTTTGAGATCTCACATCAAAAATACGAGATACACTGTACAACTACTCACCAGTTCACAACATATTCAGCACGTACGACTATTGACGACATGATCTAATCTTCCTTCAAGAACCGCCATATCCTGGACAACCGTTAAGGATATCTTGAGATCTTGCATTAGAATACAAGATACCCTGTACAAATACTCACAACATATTCAGCCTGTGCGACTACTTTCCTGGAAAGAGGGTGGCAGGGAGGCTTCCGGGAGTTCTTTGACTATCATACAGCTCAGGTAAGTCAATTTCCTACATGCTCGCATGCTCGTTCAACAGCATCTGACTGCTATCAGACACCCATTTCGCTCACATTTGGCGTTGGATCATATCATCTTTGAAATTTGCAGCAACACGACTTTCACAGACCATTTTGTCATTTTTGTTTTGGTTTGTGGCAGGGTGTCATGAGCTGCTATCTCCAAGACCTTCGAAAGGATTACAATGTCTCCGCAGCATGATTTCTTGAAGCATTAGCCCCGGATATTCAGAGCGATGATTTCACAACTGACAAGCAGCGCATCACGATCAATGATCTTTATCGACATGCTACGACCCGTATTACCTGGAAAGAGGGCGGTTGGGTGGTATTCAGGTCTTCTATCTACTTCATATCTAACGACAGGTATTCTTTTCGTCTTCCCCCTTGTCGCTTTCTCTACTCACAAGATTCAGTGTACATTACCTTTCATTCTCTGCATCTCAATCTCAGCAAAACTTAACAGCTTTCGCCATCAAACCTGGAAAGAGGGTGGTCGGGTGGTATCCAGGTTTCTTTTTTCATTGCCAACAATCTCGTGGTATATATCCTCAACGTACCTCTTCTCCTGGTCCCTGCTGACTGATCTGAGTGTACATAGGAAACTTACCATTATCGATTCTTCATCATCAATAATCAATTTTAGCCCGGTTCTTCCTTGACAAGTATCAACATCTACCCTAGGTTTCCATCGAAAGCAATCAATATCTAAGCTATCCGCACCAAACCTGTCTCAACATCTAGCCCAGAAAGAGGATGGTTGGGTGGTTTCCAGGCTTTTTTTTAACGCCACTCGAGATGTACAGAGAGAGTAGGTTCCTCATCCTCGTCTTGTCTCTTCTCTCGAACGAAAATCCATGTGCTAATCCTCACGCAGATGCAAGACCTACTTGCTACCGTTTCGCATGTTGCGTGACAATATCTCATCATCGTGCCGAACGGTTTCACCTACCTCCTGAAGCCATGTATGCAGGCCACATTCAGCCAGCTTCAAGCCCATGGATCTGGGCAGTAGCTTTCAGAATCTACAGGTGAATAGTTCAGCAATATTGGTGTCGGACACTTTTCAGCAACCTTACTGCTGGGACGTTTTCACAGAGACCACACTGGCAACCCTAGGACCCCGGGATGGTTATGATTTCAAGCAAAAGGGCGAATTCAACAAGGGGGAGAGACTTCTCACACAGAGAACCCAAAACAACCAAAATGAGAATTTCTTCAATGCATCAGCGAACTGAAGCGTCGCAATCTCCTGCATCGCGAGGAACGAAGGGAAAGCACTCATCAACTAGCCCATCTAGTCAGAGGCGACAATGGAGTCGAATGATGCAGGGAATCAGGACTCGGGACGAGAATGATGGGGCTGAGTGAGAGGCTGCTCTGGCTGAGGTCTCACAGGCTTTCATATGATGGAATTAATCTCTCTCTCTCTCTCTCCCCCCCCC